AGAGCGAATGGCGGGGGAGAAAGAACACCAGTTCCCCTCCCACCTTTTGGTTGTGGCGATCTGAAGGAAGAGATGTGATGTAAAAAGTTTCTCGGTAGGAAGGGTAGATTACGGTAGATGCGTTGGCTGAAATTTCTGGAGTCAAAAGGGAGGCACAAATCACTATGAGGGAAAGAAAGGGTTGAAAGTGCGAGAAAGGAGGAGGCAAGTACAAGACGAAAGGTTGAGAAGGCCATTCATATATTGGGGCTACACTTTGGTACATCTTTTGTGTCTTTTGCTGCGTTTGGAAATATATATCTTGTTCTTCTGGTTTCAGCATGTCGTATCGTATCCTGGTTCATCTCCTCTATGGTGACGCGCTGCAGTACTTGTACGGACAGCAAGAAGAAGAAGAAGCTTGGCAAGCAGAGGGTGGTGGTTTTCATAGCCCCTCTCCTTCACCTTCACTTTACCCCCTGTTTTCTGATGTTGACAAAGGCCAACGCAAGCCCAGTTTCCGCCCATATATCAATCCTCCGTCTCTTTATGTACAAGCTTGTAGTAATAGCAGCCAGTTTCCTCCCCTCTCTCCCCACCATGCCACCTCTTCAGAGCAACAACATGTAGAGGTTTCCAGCCACCGCTTTATCCAGCGACCTCAGCTTCCTCGACAGGCGCCACCTTCTTCTTCTTCTTCTTCTTTGGCGCCACCTTTGCAGGAGGGGTCCCCGATGTATCTGCTGAAGCAGCCGGCGCACCGCTGGCATCCTCGCCGCCGCCGCCTCCTCCCCCTTCTACGGCCTGCGACGCCGCCTTCTTGACCTTCTTCTTGGGCTTGACTTTTGTACCCTCGTTCTCGGCGCCGTCTGCGGCCTTCTTGGCTGCGGCCTTCTTCTTCGTCTTCTTCTTGATGACGACGCCCTGTACGTCGGCCCCCTGGGCCATTTGTATCCTCTCGTTGGCGCGCTGCATCTCCAGCCGTAGCCGCTCCACCTCCTTCATAGCCTGCTGCATCTCCGCCTCCTCCCTTTGCTGCCTTTCATAGTCAAACGCCTCGGACGGGTTGCCTTCGAGGCTGAACGAGCCAATGGTGCTGGAGTCCACCTGGAGGAGGGAGTGCTGCTTTGATTTCTTAGATCTGGCCTTGGGGAGTGTGCTGTTTTCCGAGTCGTACTGCCGCCCCGTGCCGCTGTCGCTGCCTTCGAGAGTCTCATCAGTAGCTACGACGACCCTCTGTCGTGGCTGCGGCCGCGGTCGGGAGGGCGCGGCGACTGTGTGGCCAATCTTCTCGAGGTCTAATTGCATGACGGGTATGGAGTCAATGTCCAAGGCGGGCCCATTATTGTTCTGCAGGATATTGTGAATGGGCGTTGATGTCCTGAGGATATTATCGCTCGGGATGTAAAAGGGGTCGTCCTTGTTCTTCTCCATCCTTTCTGCCTTTCTCCTGGCAAGAATATCGGCATCCAAGTAGCTATCCTCGCTCGCTTGCTGATAAGAGCCTGCCGTGTCGTCATCCGGATCGGCCAGTCTAGTGATGGCCGGTGCTGACGATGAGATGCTTGAAGGCGGTGGCCGCTGATGATAGTAGACCTCAAAGTCGTCGGCTTCGTCTGACTGAAGAGTGACAATGTCGGTTTGAGACAGGAGCCGACCGAGGTTGCCGTGGATTGGTTCGTCGAGGTCCAACCCCTCCGGAAGGGGTACATTCTTCTGCGCATGCGCGGCGACGGAATTCAGTTCCCAACCGGTAAACAAGGACGGGATGGCCTGTGTAAGGAGCAAAGGCGGCTCTTGGTTATTCTCATCTGTTGACGGGGGTTGCCCCGAGACCGCCTCTGCGGTAAGCTTGAGCAGCTCAATAAACTCGACCGCTCTCTCTTGTACTTCGAGGCTTGGATGGAGGGCCAGCGGCTCCAGCACGTCTAGGATGCGGGCGAGGAGCAGCGAGATCCTCGACTTCCGCTCCGCGGTCCACGGCTCGAGCTCACTGCCGGCAATGGATGAGAAGACCTTGGCAGTGGCATGGAGCGCCACTGCGAGAATGTCGGGTTTCCCAATCCTCGGAATGGCCTGCAGCAGTGCATTGAGGCTGTCATCTGGCATGGCCAGCTGTATTGAGTACTCCCCAATGATCCATATGGCCGACCTGAGGGCTCCCGAGCTGAGCGAATGTCCAACCGGATTCTCAGACAGCAATTGATCGAGAATGAGATCCGCCGCCCTGACGGCAGTGGCTCTCATTGCTCTGACCTTGACGGCGACGTTCCGCAGCTCGTCTCCTACTTTCTCGGCCACATCGACTTGTTGACGGGTCGGGAGCAGGGCGCCGGTGTCGGCGTCAAAGGTTCGGGGCACAGGGGACATGCGCACGAGCTGTGTCAGCACATCAATGTACCAATCAAAGTCCAGCACGCTCGAATAGTTGTCCTTGGAGCACATGAACAAGATCCTTTCGATGATGTCTATTCGGTAGTCGTCGGGGAGGAGGAGAGCCTGCGTGTCTCGGACAGTTGGCGCGGTGATCGCGGTTTGCGCTTCATCGTCCGATTCTGTCTCTGGAGTATTGGCTGAGCTTCCGGGAACACGGCGATCCTTGGACGGCAGAGACGACTTGAGCTGCTTCATGAGACGGCTCACGATGGGAACCAAATTATCGCTGGTGACCATACCCTTGACGAGGTTGAGGGCCTGGACGCGAATGGTAATGTCCGAGCTGTCAATGCATTCCAGGATGACGTCTTCCTGCTGGGAAACGAGATGGGGGTGTGTGAGAACAATCTTGTTGAAAGCCAACAGGGCAACATATTTGACTTGCTCGGTACGTTAGCCACCATAAGAACAGGAGAAAGGGGTGGATTGTGATAGCTCACGGTTTGCATCGCCATTAATCATAATCATTCCTCGCAGCTTGTTGACACAGAGAGTTGCAATCTCGTCTGCTCCCGCGACGTCCTCGGCGCTGTCCAAAATGCCGCCCTGGATGATGCCGTTGATGCACTCGTACAGCAGGGACATGGCCGGGGTAGTTCGGATAATGTTGGTCAGGGGAGGTAGCAGCTTTCGGACAAGGCGAGGCTCAAGCGGTGTCAAGCTCGCAAACTGAATGATGAGGTTAGTTGGATCCAACAGGAGAAGAGGGGGGGAGGGGGGGAGACGAACAAGCTTGATGAGCTTAATGGCCATCCAGTTGTTACCGCTGTCGACCAATAGCTCGAATAGCCGTGGCGCCAGAGGCAAAAAGTCCTTGGGACGTCGCGAACCCAGCTCGCAGACAACGTTGACAATGGCCGCAGTGACGCTGGGGTCTTCGTTGGGGTCCATCAGCCGGTCCTTGATCTTGGGCCATGCTGCACGCAGAGCTTCGGGGTATACGAGCGCCAGGCGGTACAGCGTGACGAGGGTCTTCTTGCGTATGTTTGCATGGCTGTGGTTCAGTCGCGGCAGCAGGTCGGCGAGGGTGGAGAGAGCCAAAGACGGGGTGATGACGTGGGGGAGAGTCGCAATCGGGAGGGAGATGACCGTCGGCGAGGTAGCAGCCAAGTCCTAATGACGATGGCAGTATCAGTAGGAGTGAGGCGTGAGACGAGGGAAAGGCTGCAGAGACAGACCTTTTTCAAGAGATTGGTGGCCAGCATGAGGACTTCGGTGTCGTGCCGGAAGCTCTGCACAGCGCCCAGGTATCCCACCCTCTTCTGGTGATACTTGGGTGACGACATGACCTCGAGGACGTGGAACGAGGCCCATGACATGTCGTGGCCGACCATTTCCAGGTAGATGAGCTTGAGGAGGGCCGTTGCCTTGAGGTCTGCATGAGAAGAAGCTGTCAGCGGTCATCTGATTGAAGAGAGAGACGAGTCGCTTGAGGAGACTGGGGAGAGAGTAGAGGAAGATGGAACGAACCCATGTCCTGACTGCGGACCTCGGCGCGGCACTCCTTGAGCGTCTTCTGGATGTACTCCTTCTCATTGCCCTTGTGGTTGCGCAGACCCCGGATGAGGTCGTAGAGCGACTTCTCGAACCTGCAATGCGCGCGCAATCAGCGACCGTTCACCTGCGTATGTACGTTCTTCTGATGCCCGCCGTTATGGATGGAGGTTTACATGTTGGAATGACGGATTGCCCCGCGCGGGGCTTTGCGATGGGACGGAAGCGAAGGGCCTGGCGAGAGACCGAATCGGAGCGGAGAGAGAGAGAGTTCGGGGAGCGAGCGAGGCGTGGCTCTCGTCAGGGAGTGATGAAGATGAAGGCTCGCAGCAGCCCAACCATCCTGCTATCGCGCTCAAGTCCTGGTGTCGCGGGTTGTCGTCGTTGTCTTCGCGGGAGGGGCGACGAGCGAATGCGTGAGAGGCAGAATAGAGAGAGACGGAGGAGGAAGCTCGAGATAGCTTCAAGGCGTTGATTTAGGCGTTAGGTAAGGTAAGGTACTAGTAGGTAGGTAGGTACCTTTAGGTGACCGCTAACGAAAGGCCAAGGTTGCGTCGTCACACCCAATGGGCAGAGGTACCCTTAGTCGTAATAACGGGAAGAGAGAACCTGAGCCATGACGGAATTGCCGCCGAAACCTCGGAGCTTTTGCTGCAGGTGTGCAAGTACTGATATTAGTACCCAGGTCAGGTACTACGGACCGGCGAAAACCCGCTGTGACGTCCTCTATTGGCGCCGCAGTCGGTTCGCGAAAGGCTTCTTTTTTTTTGTCCTATGCCCATACTTCTTTTCTAAATCTTGCCGTTTGCCCGGTATAAGTCTCTCTCTCTGCATATCAACTCTCTACATGTCGTCAATCACTATTCATTGATCATGGCATTGACCTCTTCCATTTAATCTTCTCACTCGCCGCAAACCGTCCAACGGCGCATTCGCTTTCGCATCCGCATCCGCCTCACTCACTCATCCGCTCGCTCGCTCACCATTCCCGCCTCCTCGCCTTCCAAACCACACACATCATGGCCGCGCGAACCGCCTCTCGCCGTCTCCTCCTCTCCAGCCCTCCCTCACCGGCCCTCCCCCGCCGCCACCGCGCCTTCATCTCCCTCCCCGGCTCCTCCCCCCAAAGCCTCGTCGCCACGCGGACCCTCCCCTACGCCCGCGAGCCCCTCTACGAGCTCATCGCAGACGTCGACTCCTACTCGTCCTTTGTCCCCTACTGCTCCCGCTCCCGCGTCACGCAGTGGTCCCCGCCAGACGCCTCCGGCCGCCGCTGGCCCGCCCTCGCCGACCTGCACGTCGGCTGGGGCGGCTTCGACGAGGTCTTTACCAGCCGCCTGCGCTGCGTCCCCGGCGTCTCCGTCGAGGCCCGTAGCGGAGGGTCTGCTGGGGACGGCCCTGCGAAAGACGCCTCGTCCGTCTTTAAGACCCTCGAGACACTGTGGTCCTTGACACCAGTGACCCGGCAGTCCGCAACAACGCCTTCCACCGAGGTCCGGCTCACCATTACGTTCGAGTTTGTCAACCCTCTCTATGCCGCCGTCAGCGCTGCTGTTTCCGATAAGATGGCCGCTCTCATGATTGAAGCGTTTGAAAAGCGAGTGCACTCCAAACTAAGCGCTCAGCAGCGTCTGTAGCGCAGAGCTGCCTTGGAGACGTTACTGGGGAACTCATGAATGACGATGCTAGACACCAGAAAGAGTATGGGAAGAATCAGAGGCGGAAAAGGTGCTAGACGGGTAATGATGATTCGATAGATTGAGATAGATATTTAGGGTCCCTAGACTCGCGACAACTAACATCCCCCCTTCTCGTAGCTCAACAGCTTTCCCTTCCGTTGCAGCCATAAACGCACACCACAAACAGACTGGAAGAAGAAGAAGAAGAAGAAGAAGAAGAAGAGCAAAACTACAAAGCAAGCAAATAGATCATATCCTCATCAGACGTAGCCATCCCCCTTTGTCTAACCCGCTCCAAATTGCTCCCTGATATCCAAATGTCATCTTCCATATACGCCATAACGTCCCCGTCTCTCATGTCAGCCGCCGGGCAGGGGGGTGTCAAAGCCAGACATCATGAGGATCCGAGACTCGACGCATCGCAACCCTTTTCTCCGTCGCACAGGCGAATGCCACATACTCTAGGACAAATGCAACCGGATGTGTGAAGAAGCCGAACCAAGACAATGAAAGCTTGAGCGCTCAACCACCACGGACGACGAAACAAGAGGGGAATCTTTCGCTCAAAAGCAACAACAGATAAGGGCATAAAATCATGAGAATCAGATTGCAAGATGGTGAAGAGAAGGCGAAAAAAAAAGAAAAGGAAGAAAGGAACGATGAAGAGAAAGGTAGAGAAAGAAGAGAAAATCAGTTACAGCAGAAAGAGGCAGTCATTAAGTCAGTCGCTTGCATGTGTGATGCAATCGTAGTCAAAGCTCCCGTGCTCCCCCTGAATCAAATCTCATGCAATGGGAGGCAGAATCGGCATCATTTCTTCGTTGACCTATGACCGATGTTAGCCAACCTCCTCTCGACGAGCACTTGTTGGATTCTCTCAGCTCACTTCTTTTTCACAGGCTTTCCCGACAGGAAATTCAGCATGGTGGTGTTCTGCTTGCTGCTGCTGGAACTACTCTTCTTCTTTGGCGGTGCCGCGTTGACAATCTTGATGCCGGGAGGCACCGTTGGGGGGCCCCGAGGCGTGGGAGGGGGGCCGCCGTGCCAGCCGGGCGGAGGCGGCGGCATCTGGGGCATCTGGGGCATGCCCGCGCCGGGTCTCGGTCGGTTGAGCGGTGACATCCCTGGCGGCATCTGATCGTGCTTGGGCATCGGAGGCATCCCGGGCGGGAGCTTGGGTCCGCCTACCGGTGGTGCTTTGTCGAGCGGCCACATGGTCATGGTAATGGCCCAGTCCGGCTCAATCACCTTTTCCCACACGGAGGGCAGAATGATGTCGCCGTTGGGGCCGATCAAGTCATAGTGACCCTCTTGGACATGAGGTCCTAGGACGTCGACCTGAAGGAAGGCTTGCTTGATCAACTCCTCCATTCCCTGGTACCATACATGTCAGTTCAGCTTGCCAGAGAAAGTCATTACACAAAGGACGGGGCCAAAGGTGAGGGGGCTGATAAGAAGGGTTCTCATCAATAGCCGGAAACATACCTGCCAGGTGTTGCAGAGGTGGAAGGGAAAGCTGAACTTTCGACCAACAGCATCCTTAAACTTGATGGGCGCCAGCTCTGCCTTTTTGGCTGCCTCCTCTGCTTTGCGTGTGGATTCTTCCAGGGCGGCCCGAGTCTCCTCCTGGATCTTCTTTTTCAATTCCTCGGCCTCTTTCTTCGCAGCGGCAGCAGCCTCGGCAGCCTTTTGCGCCGCCTCCCTCTCGGCCTCAAGCTTGGCCCGGTGTTCGGCCTCGGCCTTGGCCTTGGCTTCTTCCTGAATCAGCCTGAGCTTCTCGGCCTCCTCGGCTGCCTTTTGAGCGGCTGCGGCCTTGGCGTCTGCCTCCGCCTTGAGAGCCGCCTCGACACGGAGCCTGGCCGCTTCTTCAATTCGAGCGGCTTCTTCGGCTTCCCTCTTGGCCTGAGCTGCCTTGGCCTCGGCCTCGGCCTTCATAGCCGCTTCGATGCGGAGGCGGGTGGCCTCCTCGATCCGGGCTGCTTCCTCCGCGGCCTTCTTTTCAGCGGCGGCTTTGGCGGCGGTTTCTGCCCGTATGGCCGCCTCCAGACGGAGACGAGCCGCTTCCTCAGCGCGAGCGCGCTCCTCATCCTCCCTCCTCCTCCGCTCCTCGGCGGCCTTGATTTCGGCTTCGAACCGAAATCGCGCAGTCTCCTCGGCGCGGGCCATGGCCTCAGCATGCTCCCGTTTCCTGTCCTCTTCCGCCTTCTTCTCGGCTTCAATCCTCTCGCGGGCAGCGCGCTCGGCTTCGGCCCTGGCACGCTCAATCTCCCTCCTGGCCTCTTCCTGCTGCAACCTCATTTCCTCCATCTTCTTGGCCAGGGCTTCCTCGGCGTCCTTGCGGATCTTCTCCTCCAGCTCCCGCTGCCGCGCTGCTTTCTCGGCCCTCTCCTGCTCGGCCTTGAAGTCAGCGAGCTCCTTCTGCAAACGCTCCTTTTCGGGATCGGGCGGCGGCGGCGGGGCTGGAGTGGGCTCCTTTGGGGCGGGAGGCGTGGCGGGAGCGGGAGCTTCAGTGGGCGGCGGCTGTGGAGGCTGCGGCAGGTGGCGCTGCATCATGGGGGGCGGCATGCCGGGGTAGTGGGCCCCGTGCTGTGGGCTGTAGTAGGGCCCTGGAGGGGGAGCGCCGTATGGCATCATGTCGTACATGTGCCTCTGGTCGCCGCCATAGTAGCTGCCGTTGGATGAGCCGGTGGGCGAGAAGGGATTGGCGCCGTAGTTGCCATAGGGCGCCATCTGGCCGCCGCCGTTGTATCCCATGTAGGGGCCAACGTGGTTTTGCTGCTGGCCGGGATAAGCCGGGTGGCCGCGGCCATAGTAGCTGTTGCGACCAGCCGGATGCTGCTGGTGCGCGTGTGGGTGCTGGGCATAGTGGCCATAGTGGCCGTATTCCTCGGAGGGATCCACGCTGGGCGGTGCGGCCGGTGCGTAAGACTGCACCTGCTGATGGTAGGAGGCGTCCTGTCTAGGCGCGGGCCGTTGGCGCCTCGTGGCGGTTTGCTCAGAGGCGCGGGTGCGCAGCTGGGGCCTGCCGTGGTTCGTCGAGGCGGAGTCTGACGGCTGGAGGTCGTCGTCGTAGTCGTCGTCGTAGTTGTCCGAGTAGGCGTCCGAGTACTCGCCCTGCTGGGAGTCCTCCTCGCTCGAGTAGGCGGACGGCGGGCTGCGGCGTCTGTCGTAGCCGGCGGTCCTGTCGTAAGAGGCCGTCCGAGGCTGGGGTCGTCGGTCTGCAAATCTGTAGGCGCTGCCGGGGCGACGATGGTCAGTATCGCATCTGTCGACTCGATCGCTTGGGTTGCGGGAGGCAGCTTCTGGCGGGCTGCGTGGCAAAGTCGGGGCTGCAGTACTAACCTCATCACAGGCAAACTTGTGGCAGGATTGCCTTCGTTCTACTCACCACAAGCCGCACAAGACCGCCCGACGATGGGACGATTGTTTGTGTCTGGAATACCTGGGGAGGGAATGGCGGGGGACCAAAAGATGGCTGGCTCTTAGGGCGGGCGGCAACGGGGGGGAGGGAGAGAGAGAGAGAGAGAAAAAAAAAAAACACAGCAACGAGCCCAAGCCGGTTCGGTCAGCAGCCTGAAACTGCAGTAGTCCGGTCGAATCCAAGCGGCCAAAATGGCGAGCCTCTGCAGATCCGTGAGAGGATGAGGAGGGAGAGGCAAAGGGAGGCGAAAAAGCCGATGCAAAGGGAGAATTTGAGAGAGGACAGAGGACAGCTGGGCGAATCAAGGGCTGTTCGCAGAGTGACTAAGGCAGCAGAAGTCACTAACTACTACCTTGACCAGCTCGTTGAAGTTGATGCGATGAGTCTTGAATGGCCGAGAGAGAGAGAAGTACCGGCCAGGTTGGTCTGTACCTTAGGTATGCCTGGACTGCTAGGGATGGTACGAATTATGGAAACGGTGTGCAATTGTGCTAGACTACTAGCCGAGAGCTCAATGGGAGAAAGTAGGAGGAGATATCAAATAACAATAACAATCATGAGACGGGCAAAGAAGTGACAGTAACTGAAGTAGGTAGCAGGCAGTTGTCAAGGTATCCTCTATGCTCCCTCGTGTGTCTTAGGTAGGCGGGTACAAAGCTGGCTGGTAGGTTGGTGAGAACCTGGAGAGGGCAGCGGAAAAGGCGCTCAGCGGGCGAGGGCGGGGGATTTCCGAGGGTCTTATCAAGTCTGAGTACCCAGTCGGTACGTGCAAACAAAAACCAGAAGAAGAGAAAATAAAAAATCACAGGCAAAAATATAAAAAATACAAGCAGAGAAAAATTTCTCAGAATGCCAGTTGGGGTGGTATTACACACAAGGCGTTTGTCAGATGCAGTGACAGGCAGACCAACGACAAGCCAGCATCGACGGGGGGTTGTGTGGGCGATCGGCGGTGAGGGGGCGCTGAGATCTGGGTTGGGGGAAGACTGGTACACAATTTGCTGTGTGTAGGAGTCGAGAGAAGCAGAGAGAGACAGAGAGAAGCGCAGCAGCATGAGGAACAGAGAGACGCAAGTGGATGGTGAGGTGAGGATGCGCGATGAAACGGTGTGTGAGTGTGTGTGTGTGAGTGTGTGTGTGAGTGTGTGTATGTGTGTGCAGGCATCAACAGCTCAGGTCAAGCGGCTGTGCAGCCCATGGCTGTGTCTAAAGTGTACCAAGGCGGCACTCTGGTGCTTGCTGGCAGCCTGGGCGCATCTGCAGCTTGTGCAGGTACTCTCAGGTAGAGCAACCAGCTGGGTGTGGCGCTGCCAGCCGCGATACAACACAAAGTACCTCACGGATAAACAACATACTACCTAGACGCAGAACAGGGAAGAAGGACGAATACCAACACTCACACAAAAAGGGAGGATTGAGTGAATGTGTGAGCAGCGGGAGTGGCCAGAAGGAGTCGCCCCATCATCACCGAATGGGGAGATGTTTGCAGATGAACAGCGCACACTGCAGGCGAGTGCATAGACTCATATCGATTTTTCAGTCTGTACCTTGGCATCTTTGTGTTCAAATCTTCTTTTTGGTGTTGCTGGAGCTTCTGGCCCTCAGCGGGACGGCGCGGAGCTCTCACTAGTACTGTAACGCCTTAGCGGCCCATCGTGGGGGATCGGGCATGGAAGCTTCATGGATTGGATGGATCAGATGGATCAAGGGCAGTGGATGAGAAACGAGGCGAGGTACTTTAGACTGGGCGAGCACTGCCGGGTTGGACTGAAAGGAGTCCAGGAAGCAAAATCATTATACTAACTTACTAACCTAGTATCCGCTTGTCATTTGCTGTTTTACTTTATCTCCTCTGGCGAGATGCTTAGAGCTGTTGTCTCATGTGCTGCTGCTGCTGCTGATGATGATGATGATGGAAATTCAACATGACCAAAAATCAAGATGGCGGCGTTTAGGGCTGTGTGATGTTGCCCATGCACCCGGTACCTGTAAATGGCAGGCTGTGCGAAAAGGGCTCCAGAGCACCTACCAAGGTATGGACATCAGGCTGATCACCGCCAAGATGACCACCTAAAGTAAGGTAGGGCGGTGCAGACAAAATGTTTTTGACTGCCTTGCTTGTTCCACTTTCATTTGAGAGTGGAGAGGAAAGGGTTTGTATCTCCTGCTGCTATTGCTATATTTCCCCCCCTGTCTGGCTGGCTATAAGCTTGACATCTCATAGTAAATCTGGCTCTTTACTCTGTAGAAGCAACTTGGGCTGCTAAATAGATACCTAGCCACTCCCTTCTTTTGCCGCGGATAGTCTGTGAGAGCAATGGTGTAACCCGTCTTGCTGTGCAATCAGTCACCTACCTATGTACCTACCTTACATGGCACGGCAAATATGAGCTGGCTGACTCTGGCGTGCGTGCGTGCCGTATGACTTGTTTCTTCTCACTCCCTTGTTCTCAGTCCAGACGGAACATGTCTGCATCCTCACCTCCATTCAGCAACAACCTCCTCTCCGCCCAATCCGCCCGCCTCTGATAGGCCCGTCTTTGACTGCTGACCGCCTGCTGGCGATGATGGACGAGGATGCAAGCTCCCCAGATCAACCTATAAGGTGACGGTATAGTATCCGTACATATAGTAGTATCTTCTGATTGAGGCACGTCGATTCACAGCGGACTGCAGTCGTACAGGTGCCAGTCCGTGACAGCGACTCACCTGAGAATTGCCCTGCCGAGTGGGGTTCTCCTACTGCAGAATACCTACACACTCAACTCTCAGCTGCGTGTCCCTGGCCTTGCAGATGCTCACATGCTGATGTTCCGTAGTATATGACTACAGATAGTCGAGAGCATATAGCAAGGCGGCTGAGCTCATTGGCGGTCTTCTGCATGTACGGAGCAGAGCCCATGCAGTCGAGGAGTAGCATGCAGGGTAGTAGTGGACGATTAGTACTCGTAGTATATCATTTCATGCACACATCGACCGCCCCTCTCCCTCCGTCGATGATTAACTGGAGCTCCCCAGAGCCGATGGATGCTGCAGATGCGCTGAGCCGAGGGCAATGTAACATGATACGTGTTCCTGGCGCTGCTGAAGCATCTGTGATCCGACAGGCGGCAGCAGCAGCAGCAGCACTTCCCGGGCCTCCCGTGTTTGTCGGCTGAGTTGAGCCAGAAGCATCTGACGCTGCCGTGTGGATGATCCGGTGAAGTAGTGGTATAGGTGAGATGCACAAGGTCGTTTTTGACATCAACTTTCTGACAATATCTGAAGCCTCTCGCCCGCTTGAACACTTTCTTGGCAATCAGAGACGCCCACATAGGTAGGCGATGGAGTGTAAGGTGGGTGTTAGGTAGGTACTAGGTAGTATCGATATCAGCCCGCCATCTCTACCGATCCGGCACCCGTCAACCGCTCACACTGACTTTTGGTTCCGTGAAGTCCTTTGCTTGCATATTCTTCATACGTAGTAGCCATCTCTTTTCCTAGGCCCACAAGCATTCAGAGTCTTCAAGTTGCGGAGCCCAAGAAATTGAACTCACCTGCATTGACGCCCAACCCGGCTCTATCGATTGACTCATTGTCTCCGAGACGGCGCCGCACGAATGCATGAACACTGTCAGGCAGCAATTGGCAGCCTAGAATATCCCGGGCATTATGGCGACCAGGGGGGAAGAAGCGAAAGAAGGAAATTAGTATGTATTAGCAAAGACATTTGTTGCTCTCAGAGGATAGAACCTGTTGGGTTCCAGCCTCTAAGCCCAGCCTACATGTACAAGGCCAGTGGTTGTCTGTAGGCTCTGGCAATAGCCTCGCCCACCGAATCTTATAAGCAGGGATGATGCTTCGTGGGCCTTGATCGCGACAACATATCGTAGAGCATGTATACGAGTACTTTTCCCCAGATGGTTCTCGTAGCCGCACATACATTCCGTCGTCGATCCTTCTCCCATATTCCTCTCCCTCTGTGGTTTGGCAGCGAACACACCAACGGAGTACGACGCCGTCCACGTATCCCGTACATCCCGGCATATATTGCCGTCTACCGTAGAGGGTATCACATTCGCATTCTCCCGTAAGAGGTCTCCCTGCTTCCCAAAATCAGACGAAGCGGCAACATCATGGGCGAGCCCGAGCCCGAGCCACTCGCAGGCCGACACGGGACTGCTTGGTGCTCGTGCATGCCTTTCCGTGCGTAATGCCGTGGGACAAGCAGCCAAAGGGCCACGATGTCTGTACGAGTACCCAAAGAAGGCAGCATGTACAATTTACAGGTTTCCACCGGCTGGAAAGAGGACGGGAGACAAACCGTTCACTTGTTCACATAGCTAGCTAGCAGATCAGATGCAGTAGAAACCACCTTGATAGTAGACAATCCAAGGCTTGGAGAAGAAGAAAAAGGCCAGCGTATTGCACACCCGCCGCTGGACAGCTTGGCTGCATCACACTCCAGGAATCCAGAGGTTCATCGGCAATAAAAGCCTTGATTCACCGGGTCTATACATACATGGCCAAGAAAACCACTTTGGATATCAACCGCCCGAGTATGTCGATTTCGCCACAAACGCGGATATTACGTACCCTCAATGCGCATCGTTTGTCCCAGCAGCTCAATGGCCACTCCACGTGTCACGTACCCTCATCCCGCCTATCCATCTGCAAGGCGTCCATCAACTTCAAGTCAGTATTACGTACCCTCTGTACGACACACAAAGGCTTCGCCTAGCTCACGTCTTGCGCCTTTCCGTGCCGCTAGCCAGACTTGTTTCCACCTGGTGAGGGGTTGTCAGGATGGTTGCCAAGTGCCAGCTTCACATCCTAGCCACCCAAATCCCGAAAGCATCTCCTAGTTTTAAGAAAAGGTTCCTCCAACTTGAAATCCGCGCCTTCATCGCACAACAGTTTGTGAAGACTCTGAAAGACAGGCACGGGCAGCTGCCACCTCTCCAGAGTCGTAGCCCTGCCAAAGAGGATCCTTGGCATCGTACTTTCGTACAATATCGCCGAGTTTCTTCGTTGCAGCCAAGTTGAGCTGTTCAATCGTCGACGTTTCTGGTAGGGTGACCTCATCCGAATCCGATGGCTTCTTTTGCCTTAAATCCTTGTCGAGGAGTTTATCGGTAACCTAGTCCCATGGATCAGCGAACCTGTTCTGAACGACAAATTTGCTTTTGCGCCTTCCATACTCGTTTCAGTCCGTAGTAACCCCGTAGATAATCATCACATAGCTCAATGCTTCGGCAGAAACGCTTCAAGCTTTCTGCAAGATACGCCTGAGGGTTTCCATCGCTGCCAGACTCTGCAGCCATGAAGAGCATCTCGCCTAGGCGGGCATGGAGCTAGAGGAAGAACAAATCATGGTTAGCATCCGTACTCGCTTCTCAAACAGCGTATACCTTCTTCTTGGGGGCACCTTACATTCCACGCATTTGGCGCGATGACAAGTGCCTCTTCTTGAGCGTATATGGCTTGCGCGTACAGACCCTGGGACAGATACAAGTCTGAGAGCTCAATCCAGGCCTCGGCATCCGTGGTCGCGAAGTCGAGGAACTGCACCAGGGCTTCGCTCGCTTCAGCTGTCCTTCCCATTGCACGAAGGAGCGCTATTCTCCTCTTTGAGATTGGCTGTTTACGATCAGCCTTGGGCTCGCCGACTGCTACCGGGATACTCACCACGTTTGTGTTATCATTGGCCAAGATTGCCTCGTATTCCTTCAGCACCTTTTCCAGCTCGCTGTTGTCTGTTGCCTCGGCTTCCTTCACCAGGCCCTTGAGGGCTTGAATGCGCTCGTCGTTCCCCCCGAACCTAATCACCAATCTTTCGAGGCATTGGTGCGCCGTTGTATAGTCACCAGTCCGTAGACAGGCGAGCAAGAGGTTTTCGTATATTGTCCATGTCTTGGAGTTTTCTGGGGGTGAAAATAGCGAGAACAGCGGCGATGCTGAGTATGACGCAGGATTCTTCCGCAGGAACTCGGGGGCTTGCTGAGCTACCTGCAGAGCTTCGGCGTGGGAGAGGCTGGCATGAGGTCGGAGCAATAGAGGCGGCATGTCGGAGGTTGCTGGTGGCTGTGACGTAGTTAAAGATGAGTAGTGTCAACCAAGTCCTCACAAAGCCTCGGAAACGATGGCAGCGGCGGCGGGTGACGGGGTCTTTTGGTGTCGCGAAAAGAGCTCCAAGCAGACGGTTAGGAAAGGTGCACTTCAGCTCTTAACACATGATGCTATCGCAACTGTTGAGCTACCTATGCTCCACTGTAATTGTGATTCCCCACTTGCTCACCTTCCCAACTTCCTTCTGACAATGTGGCTCAATCGGATTATCAAGATTCCGTACCGTCGCCGTCTGCCAATCATCTTACAGCTTTTTGCACCCCACCTTGCCCACTCAACAATTGATATAGAAACTTTTTTTTTTCGCTCTCCTCTCGTTTCTCTTTTTTCCAGTTCTTCTTCTCTGTCCATCTTTTTCTTCTCGTCGCAAAGGCAAGTCGCTTCTCAAGGTGATCTTTTCACCTCCAGCAGCCGACAAGGCACTCGCGAGTCTTTCTTTGTGAAGCTCTATGCGTTGTCGGATCAGCTGCAGCGATGATCGACGTGGAAGCGGGCAGTGCAGCTGGCTCGGGGCTGGACGATATGGCTGCTCTCAAAGCGGCGGCTGAGGCCGTCGAGGCTGCTGAGACTCCCAAAGCCCAGACTGCCGACGTTGAGGCTTCTCGAGATGAGACGTCCAACGTCGAGACCAAGGCTGAAAAGCCCGAGGCTCAAAAGGACGTGCCGCCGCACCGATCGCATGATCCCACGAATAACTTGAAGCGAAGCGATCCCTTCCAGTTCGGCAGCCGCTATCTTGAGGCCGGAGACGATGTCTTCGAGTTCAATGCCTGGGACCACGTTGAGACTGACGATGCTTACAAGCTGTATGCAGAGGGTCAGTTGGAGAAGCAGCGTCAGTCTCCCGTGTCCGACTTTGACAAGAGTAGGTTTTTCTCCCCTCGGCTGCCTTTTTTCTTTTGCTTTCCAACCGGTCTGTGTGATGATACACAATCCAAATGCATAGTTCATCTGAGTAATCTGATGAAAAACCTTACCTTCAATTCTTTCGCTCCCATCTGACATACCAACCAACTCTTCACATTTGTTTTACATTTTGGCATCCTCTGCATACGGTGTTGCTAACATGGACATCAAGACAGGTTCAACTCAAACCCGGCCATGTGGTGGAACAAGTTCTACAAGAACAACACGGCCAACTTCTTCAAGGATCGCAAGTGGCTCCAACAAGAGTTTCCCATCCTGGCCGAAGTGACCAAGGAGGATGCCGGACCACAGCTCATCCTGGAGATTGGCGCGGGGGCGGGTAATACCGCCTTTCCCGTCCTCGCCAACAACAAGAATCCTCTGTTGAAGATTCATGCCTGCGACTTTTCCAAGCAAGCCGTAGAAGTTATGCGCAATAGCGAAGCCTATGATACCAAGCACATGCAAGCCGACGTCTGGGACGTTTCCTCAGACAGCCTCCCGCCCGACGTCGAGGAGGGTACTGTAGACCTGGCCATTATGATTTTCGTATTTTCCGCATTATCACCCCGAGAATGGACGCAGGCAGTACGAAATGTGTATAGAGCCTTGAAGCCTGGAGGAGTGGTCTGCTTCCGAGACTATGGAAGAGGTGACTTAGCTCAAGTCCGCTTTCGAAAGGGGAGATACATGGAAGAAAACTTTTACATCCGCGGAGACGGCACCCGCGTGTACTTTTTCGATCAAGATGAACTTGCCGGCATCTGGTCAGGCCCGGAGGACGCCCAGGAGACGGACGCCCCACGATTTACGATTGAGAAGCTCGGCGTTGATCGGCGGTTGCTCGTGAACAGAGCTGAGAAGATCAAGATGTATCGCTGCTGGCTTCAGGGACAATTTAGAAAGAAATAGAAGGATTCCCACGAGCAAGACAAACATAGACACAAGACACAAGGAATGATGATAATGAACCAAAGCATTTCTACTTGAACTGAACATCTAAAGGTGCAGGAAGAATCGTCGTGCCAGCTCATCTCCAATCAGCTTGTATGGACTTGTTGCTTTGTGCTCAGTAGAGCAGCGTCTCGCGGACCCTGTCGCGCTGGTGCTGGTCAAAGCCAATGGAGTCGAGGTAGCTGTCCAAGCCTCCGTGGTTGTCCCTGATATGGCGCTCGATGGCGGAGATCATGTCTCTTGCAGTCCTGGCCCACTCGTCCGTCAGGCCAACTTCACGAATTTCTTTGAGCATCTGAGGGCGAATGGGCATGAGGGCGTCGTCAGTGAGGAAGTAGTCGTGCTCGATGGCGGCTAGGGGCATGTCGAGTATCATCAATACCAAGGCGCATATGAGACCTATCGAACGTTGTTGAGGTTATCATCATTGGCCGCGATACACCTAGGTAGAAGGGGGGGGGGGTATCAAAATAGGGAGAGCACATCTTACCCGTACGGTCCTTGCCCTGAGTACAGTGTATGACGCAGGGCAGCGTCTGGGGCGACGTATAGAACGAGAGGGCTTCGCGGAGTTCCGGGCCGCAGAGGTCGATCGTGTCGAGGCCGATGCGGACAAGGCCGCGAGGCACCATGACCTGACGGCTGATGATCCTAATGGCCTCTATACGGTATTGGAAGACGAACAGGAAGATGAACTTGCTTTGAAAGGGGGGGGACAGCCGCGGAAGTGGCCCACGATTAGTCTACGCCTGTGACTTGGAGACGATGGTAGACAAAGGGGGGGCCGAGATTGAGGGCTTGCTTACAAAAAGTCCCACCATGACAGCAGGCTCAGGAGATGCCATTCGAAGGCCTTGCCGTTGATCTTGATGCCGTGATATTCGACGCCTGGGATCTTCTCGTCTACTTCGGAACGGCGGTGTTTTCTGATTTGCTTGAGGATCTCGGTCCTACGTTGAAACTGAGTTGAGCAGGATGCCGGGAGATGCTGTTCTTTCCCGTCTTTCAATCGGGGACTGAGCCGTTACCTACTTTGTGCGTAGGTCAACGACTGTTTTGATGCCTAGCTGATCGTGGATGAGCTGCCTGTCTGCAGCCGTGGCATCGTCTAGTGACCGGTAGACGAGGAATAGTAAGCTCGATGAATCAATTCATGATTCTTCTCCCCTCTTTCTAAGGTACCGTACTTAGCCTTCCAGATCGAAAGAAGAGGCCCTCTCGGATAGTTCTACACAATGATCAGTCAGTTCAAATGGCTATAATCAGAGAGGAGAGACGAATGGGTTTAAGTGTGGTTCAGACCTCTTCTTCAGAAACTGGTTGACGGTTTTGCCAACGTCCCTGAAATTAGGGACTTTTTGCAGTTGGGCTTCAGGCTCCATGATTGGCTGAACTCGAGTGGGTGAGTGATAGGCGTGGAAGTTGCTGTTCCTTCTTCTCTTCTCTATGTTGCCGCTGTTGCTACGATTGCCGTTTGTTTGATATCAAGAGTAGAACCTTGATGTTGCGCGAAACCTTCATGGAAACATTGACAAACGGGTTGCAGAGTGCAGGGGTTTTCTTTCTTGTTGCCTGTTTGCTTCAGTGTCGGCAACGCTAGTATTGCTGTTGCGATTACCCAAGTAGGTAGGTACTGTGATGACCTACCCTGTATGCACGGGTCTTTCATTTTCGCCTTGGAACGAAGAAGGCTACGAAATCCAAAAATATCATGGAGGTGTATCGAAGTTCTGTCGGTTTTTGGAGGGTTGGGGGGGGAAGGGCTTTTTCTTCCTTGTTGGATATAATCGCATGGTGATCAATCTGCCAGGGCGGAATTTATCACTACGAACAACGCCTTGATCATCACCACTACAGCCACCACTGCTTATACAGGAATGTGTCCGAACTTCCAGATTCTATTTTGTAAAAGACATGAGCGAACTAGTTCAATATGAATGCTATTTGTTCCATTTACTCAGTATCAATGAGACTCTAGAGGCTCTCGCATGCTATGCTATCGGAGCAACAGATGCCTAATACGGAATATACCTAGGTTTTGGTGGATGAATTGAAGACTACAAAAGTGGCTGCGCCAGCGAAATACTACGTACGCCATCAAGTCGTCTGGTGGCTTACGGAGCAAATGCTCGTACTTTAGAATACATGCGCGCATCCAGTCTGACGGATCTGGAGTCGCACATGGGCTAAACGTGAGGGTGCCGCGTTACGTCACTGTGCTCAGCCCCCCCATGAAGCCGATGGAATCGAGGCCATCGAGGGGGTTTATTTGGTGTACAGCGTCTTGTACATATCACAGGTACATATGCTTTCAATACCTAAGATAATTGACCGCAAACTGGAGGTTTTGGTGGTTTAACTGCTCGCGGAGGAAAAAACAAGGAGTAGGACCAAGTATTAGTACGAGAGCTGAAGTGAGGCGGTCTCAACCGTAAGACTAACGACAAGGCAGCAAAGCAATGAAAAAGCCGAGGTGAGGTGGACTTGATCGGAAGACTGGAGACATTATGGAACTTTCCCATCACCCCATGTCAGCCGGCTGTTGGTGTCGAGCTCAGGAATGGCTCCTCCTGGCTTCCGCTGTGGTGATGGCAGAGCAAGCAAGCCCTTTCATCTTAGTCTGGGCTCGTCAGATGGCTCGCTTGGCAGAGTATAAGCCACAATGAATCCAAGGTGAGTATGATCCAACACATACCCTGCCTAGGAGGCACTGCTATGTACATGGCAGTTCCAAAGTACCGTAACTTGGAAGGTCTTTTAGCATGGAAGACTTGGAACAGGCTGTCAACAGATTACACGTGGATACCTCACAAACTGACTTAGTATAAGTTAAGGAGAACCATGTTTGGTATCCATCATCGAGAAGGACAAGACCAGAATTGTCTTGGACAAATGCTAATGTAGCTACCCGCCTCAGCTGTGTTCCGCAACAGGGCAAGGGGTGCCGATCGACACGAGCTTTCGGCAGGGATGGGAAGGGATCTTGATCGTGTACTAGGTAGGTAGGTAGTAAGGATACTACGGAGTAACTGTACGTATGTTTACACAGAATCGGCCTGAATGATGCAGCGAGAAATCCTAGGAGAGACAGATTTTAAGCATTCGCCTGCGCCAGAAGCTGCGGACTAGCCGGGATCTAGCGGACAAGACGCTGGTCGGGGCTCGGTGAGAATCAACTGGCGATGGGCAGCTTGGAAATGCCTGCAAAAAACAGCGTTGGGAGCTGGAATAGCGTCATGCACCAGCACCTAGCTCGAGCCCCATGACGTCAGGCCCGACGCTGGAACATGGGGGAGGCGTCGCTGTTTGTTGTTTCTGGCATGTGTCTTGTCTTGTCTTGTCTTGTCTGGCCTTGTCAAGTCTATTACTACCTATTGCCTTGGTACACTCGGTACTATCCCTGCCAACGAAAAAGCGATTAGTACATACTAGTAGCACCGTAGGTACTCTTAGAAGCTCCCGTCGTTCAGCTACTGTAAGTCAGTCGGTACATATCTTGGATCTGGCCCCAGCTGGCTGTAGAGGTACAGTTGTAGAAGAGCAAAGGAGGAGGAAAAGGTACAGCGGCCAAGTACCGCCAAGTGCGAAAAAAGAATCCATCATCATTCTATTTCGATGATGGAATGAATACTGCCGGCCGCGGGTGGTGCCTTCCACCTTGCCGGCGCTTTGCTTCTGTACTGTACCTACTTAAGCCCATCTATTCCGCTCCTTCTCTCAGCTTTAGTCAGATTCTCCAGACATGCTTCTGCTGTAGAACCTCATCTGCCTTCTCCAGGCATCGACCACACTGGCATTGGCATCTCAAGGTATAGTTGAATTGTTGGATCATTTCGTCGTCGTCGCTGCTACTGCCGTTTGTACAGTCACTCGGCGTCTCTCTCTGTGGCTGCTGCTGCTGCTGCAAGGCGCTGCAAGGCGCTGCAGGACGCTGCCATCCGTACAACCCGCCAATCCGCCTCGCGAAACGACGCCGTCAAGCGATGAAACTTGCTGACACTGGCTGATCCGAGACAATCAGATACCACCCGACCTGACTTGACCTGACCTGACCTGACCTGATCGATCCTACCTAGCCTGGCCTGGCCTCTCGCTTTTGCCTCGCCTCACCTCGCCGCACCTGTATGTACAACAGGGTCATATAAAAGGAAGAAACCACACAGCCACTCAAAACAGCTGCCGAACAAAGACTCTTCCGACACCACAACGACGACGACGACGATCTAACTCCATAAGCTCTAAGCGCGGCAACAAACCTCTTCTCACGTACCTACACCACCGACGACGCTCGGCCGTCCATTGCGCTCCATACGTTCTTTGGCACACAACTTACCAACAGTTCCGTATAATCCAGCAGCAATTCTCCTGCGTCCTCGTACTCTCTCGTACTCGCGTCGTATCGCGCCCGTCCTTGTCAGTGCAGCGTCACTTGACCAGCACTGCGACATCCTTCTTTCGGATTGGCGGCGGCTCACTAACCGCCTTTTCCCTCGACTGGCCTCGTATCTGATCTGGAGTCACCCCACCCCGACGGGGCCTGGATGATGCAAACAGCTGCAGAAGCTGGGGAAGAAGCGCGGCCATCGCCATCCGTGGCAGTGGCAAAGTCGCCCTCGCGCTCTCATGAGCCGGGATCCCACAGTCCATGTATGTCTTGACCCTGTGCTGGTGAGAGGAAGGGGGGGAAGAGATGGATCCAAAGAAGAGCAAAGGAGCAAATGAAGCACCATCCCGTTTCCTCCCCTTCTTGCATCCCGCTTTTTGTTTCATCCTTTTTGTCCTTCTTCTATACACTGCACCCATATGTTGGCAAGCTCCGTTACGTGCTTCGTATGCTTGCTCTATCCCACCGCAGGATTTGCTTTTCGTGTTAGCCGTTGGTCTCCCGTGTCTAAGCGGCGCGGGACATTGAGATTTAATGTTTGCCGTCATTTCGTCCTTCACTTTCTGCTCCCGGCCCTGCCTGCTGACTTCGTATCGCAGTATCGACCGCCGGTAGGCTCAAGTACGCCGATCCTCGCAGCCTCCCAAGCTTCCCGTCTACCGGTCTGAGCCCAGGCGGCGCAGCAGCCAGCGCGGCAGCATCTCTTGGCTGGTTCACCCACAAGCCAGTCGAGACGTGGAAGCCGGACAAGGCGTCGTCGGCATCGGCCGCCGCAGTTCTGGCTAAAGACTACAAGATGTCACCGATGTGGGAGCCCACCATGGACGGAACGGGCACCAAGGCGGCCGTGCTGGCTGTCGGCTCTGCCAGCACCGCATACAGGCAGTCGAGCGTCAAGAAGCCTTTGTACGACTCATGGGGCAGTTCTGCCGCAACGCAGGCTTTCAGCGCAAACGCGAGGCGGCCAGAACCGGAGCCGGAGCCGGCCACGCTGACCACATCTCACGGAAGCTCTGCCGCCACACAGGCGTTCCAAGCGAGCCGAGTCCAATCGGCCAAAGCGGCCAGCTCACCGCCCGGCTCTCCTAGAGAGAAATCTTTGGTGGCCGCCAAGGGAGCCATGGCTCCCTCGAAGCTCGGCACACCCCGCTCGAGGCTCCGGTCATACTCCCAACCCCAGGAACCGTCTTATCCAGAAGCGACTAGGGCTTCCGTGAGTGCCCTGAATGGAGCATCCATAGCTCACCGGGCTGCCATGAACAAGCCGCCGCCAGCAGTCGAGGACACCGGCGCGATTCCAGTCACCACCATGACCCGCAACATGTTCACCTCACACCCCCCTGTGAAGCCCGAAGTCGACGAACAGACGGACAACGAAAGAATCCACCAATCAGCGGTCGAGATGGCAAAGAAGATGTACCGGCAGCAGCAGAGCCGGCACGAGGGCGACGGCCTAGAGGCCGGGACTGGAGAGACCTCAGCGAATGGCTATGTCGACTTACAGGAAGCGGCGTATAGGCAAGCACAGGCACGGCTTGCCAAGCTTCAAGATGAACACGACAGAAACCGGCGATACCACGAGTACTACGGCGCGGATAAGCCACTGCGCCGCCGGTTTACTATTGCCAACAAGCTGCGCCGTCGATCCGCCAGTGACAGCGACATGGAAGGCCGTGCCCGCTCCGACTTGATACGCCAACAAATGACCCTCTTCTCCTCTAGGCTCGAGCAAGTGGACGAAGAGAAGCGCCAAAGAGACCGGGAAGCTCTCTACACGGCTGCGCAGCGCAACGTCAAGGCAAGCCTCCAGGGAATGGACGAAAAAGTCTATTTCGAGACTGGCAAGATGAACCCGACGGTTTTGGGTGACTGGCAGTTTAGGGCCCAGCAAGCCGCCCAGCTTCGACACGACACACGAACAGAAGGCGAGGGCAGGGTGGACATCGGAGGCGGAGTATTCATGGACGCGGATGAAATCGATGCCATTGCCGCCAGGAGAGTGCGGCCCGTACTGGACAATATACACGAAAAGGCCGAGGCCGAGCGGGAGCGTGTGGCGTCGGCTCGAATGGAGGAAGCAGCAAACAAGGCCGAGGCTGAAAGAGAAAAGGCCCGTGAGCGCGAGCTGAAAGATCTTCAGAAGAGGGTCAAAGGTATGTTGGAAAGATAACGTCACCCTTGTCTCACAATCCTGTTGTTGTGTTATGGAGAACTATGCCTGACAGCTGTCTCGTCAACAGAGGAGGATAAGCAACAGGAAAAGGCCAGAAGACAGCAAGAGAAGCAAGAAGAGAAGCAGAAGAGAGAAGAGGAGAAGATGGCCAAAGCCGAACAAAAGAAGCTGGCCAAGGAGGAACGGCGCAAGTCCAGGACGGAGCCGGAGGCGGTCTCGGGTGCCCTCGACTCAGGTATGCGGGGAGAGACGGAAGCGCGAGAGGCAGATCCGCAGAGCAGGCGAAATTCCAGCGTGCCAGAAGTGACCACCCCGCCCGCGCAGCAGGAGACTGGCGCAGATCTCGTCGACAGCTCACCTAAGAAGTCATCAGAAGGACCCACGTCCCCGACGGCCCGAGTCAAGGGCTGGATCAAGAATCGATTCTCGCGGGGCAAGTCCCTCAGCGAGCCAGACGAGAAGAAGAAGGGCTTCGTCGGCGGCGCCGCGCTGAGGGACTCTGGCCCAGGTGGCAGCACAGGCAGCCTGGAGAACCGCTCGTCCAGCATGCGGGAGGTTTCGCTTGCCGGGAGGGGTGTCGAAGAGACTGCCGATGCTCATCCCCAGCTCCAGAACAGAGACTCTCGCGGCGTGAGCCCGGTCAGCTCGGGAAGCGGCAGAAGCAGTGATATCGAGAGCTTCGAGACGCCTCGGGCCATTATGGACCAGCCTCCCCGACAAGGAAACAGCCCCATGCGGGACTCTCGATTCAAAGAAATGATGGATCAATGAGTTTCTCATTGCATTGGGTAGTTTCATGCTTCGGCATTGATGAGGCTTGCTTATTCGTCTGCCGGATACACGATGACGGCGTTTGGCATGACACATTTCTGGGGTTTCAGTTCCTTCTATTTGCTGTTCATTTATACCACTACTTAGCGCTGCATTTTCATGTGACCAATAGTTGTAATAGTCATGAGTAACTGAAATATTTTTGATGAGTATATATTGGGCTGGGAATCATTCTATGAGGGCTACAGTGTTCTCTTCTTAAGCTCAATGGCATCAACAAGCTCACTGGGCATGTGTGGTTAATCTTGCTTGTCAGAGATGATTTTGTAAGAGTGCATAGGTAATCATAAAACATACATTACTTGTTAATCGTTGTACATCTAATCCGTGAGAAAACAACCATCCGTGATGAAATTTGAACCTGTTGAACGCCCTTTTACATGCCTCTTGACTCCATTTTCCTAAAACCCCCCAAACTACTCGTACATGTTTATGCGGGAAAACAAACCAAAGCACTGGAAAAGGCCCAAGTGCCCAAAAGGCCATTTGGGCCCAGCTCAGCTATGCAGCTCATTCATTGAAAGGCATATCGGTTGTAATCGTCTCGGTTGTAGTCGTTGCTGCCGCCGTCCTGGCTACGATTCGCCGACTCCATCTCGTGAGCCTTTGTGAAGCGCGCCGTGACGGGCTTGGTGCGGATGGCGGGCAGGAGGTCGACGACGAAGGAGAGGATGTAAAAGGTGAAGATGAAGGCAATGATCCATTCGAAGACGGCGGCGACGTTGTCGTTGTTGCTCCAGTTGGTGCCGACGAAGACGATTGCGAGGACGAACTCGACGATGACGAAGGTGGTCTTTATCCAGAAGGAGATGCGGAGGATGCGGTGCTGGCGGTTGTCTGTTGGGAAGATAACACGTGTGAGTCTTTTTTGTACAGGCTTTTTTTTTCTTCTTCTTTTCTTCTTCTTTTTCTTTCTTATTCTTGGTGTTGTTTTCTTCTCTTGATGGGGAAAAAGAACTTACAAATACCCAGATCGTAGTACTCCCAGCAGATGAAGACGGCGGACAAGAGGTACCCGGCAATGAAGAGCAGGAGAAAGATGTCGTGCGCCTTGTGGTGGTGGTGCGTGTCGAAGATGGAGAGGAGGATGAGGCCGGCGGTGCCGATGACGGCGAAGACGATGCTGATGATGGCGAGGACTTTTTCCTTGACGGTGGTGTTGGGCACGAGGCGGCCGTTGTGCCGCAGCCAGCGCTCGGAGGCAAAGGCCAGGTCGAGGAAGACGGTGGTGACGGCGGAGCCGGCGATGAAGAGGGGCTTGAGCTTGCTGGCGCCAATGTCGCTGATGAAGGCGATCTGGTCGTTGCTGCCCATCCACGAGTAGTGCGTGGTGTTTGTGTCGACGACCCAGTAGAGGAGCAGGCCGAGGAGCATGCCGCACCAGACGAGGCTGGAGATGACGGGGAGGATCTGGGGGGGGAAGAGAAGAGAAAGGGTTAGGAACGTGGCTTTTTTTCTTGTTTTGGTGGAGAGGGATGTGTTGTTTATTTGGGGGGGATTTGCCTTACCCAGTACGATATTAAGCCTCTGGCAGCCATGGCGGTTTGGCTGGAGTTGTTGTGTTGTTGTTGGTGTTTGTGGCTGGCTGGGGCTGGTCTGTCGACTTGTATTCGGATACTACCTGGTGGAGGATGAAAGCCTACAGCGGGTGGTGAAATGTAATGTATATCAACTATTACTGGGGGTCGACGGAAAGTGAATAAGCGCTGCCAAGGGGAAAGTGAACGAGAGAGAGCTGGAGACAAAAAAAATAAGAAGAGAAGAAAAGTCGTGATAATCAGGAGAGCGAGCTACAAGTATTACACAGCCATGGAAAACAAGCAACGGAGAGCGGACCACTGCTTTCGCCCGGTTCGGGTGTGTACATGCGGTTTGTAGTGCCAGTCCTGCTTATTCCGCGAGCTTCTGCAGGTATTCACTTATTTCTCTAAGGTACTTATTGAAGTCGGGTTCCATCATGCTACCTGGCATGGGAATCATGGCAAAACCCTCGTCCGTCTGTACCGGAGCACCACAGAAATTGGAAGCGCAAAACACGCAATGGCATAGTGATTGATTTCTTGGCACACGCGACCCTTGACGCAGTTTGGCCATCGATGACGTAGATGTATGACGGCAGCGACGGGGGGGTCGCTAGTGGCGGGTTTGACGGGTCTTTGGAGCGGACGCTTGGCTTGATTGGGTAGGCGGGGTTTACCGATCCGGAGGCCGGAGATGGCTGTGATTGGTTGGAGATTGATTGGCTTTTCTTTTTTTTTTTCCCTTTTTTCCTTCTTTTTTGTTCGGGTTGTTCTTGAAGGATAATTAGTCATGATGACTTCGTTCTTGTGGTGGCTTGGTTGCCAGTCAGATGGCGCAAGGCTGTGTGTGGTGTGGATGAAGCGGACTTTGGACGCGTGTCTGTGGCTTTGTGGTGAGGAGGAGGAGAAAAGGAAAGAGGTATTAGGAGTTCTTTGATTGTGAACAAATGCTGGCGTCTTGTCGAAACCATTGACTTTCAACGTAGTATCTGAAGAGAAACTGGTGGTTGGCCACAAACCACTACCATGTGGTAGAAGGTTGAGGCTCAACATCAAACCTCTCATTCCAGGCCTGCTCTACCATAGATAAAATCCACCAGCTTCTTCAAAACGTCGGCTTCGTCTATCTCGCACGAAAACTCATCCATAAGCTGCACAAAAGCCTGGGCGTGCGTCAAAAAGTTGCTAAAGACGTCGGTGCCGGGATTGCTTGGGAGCGGAATCCGTTGATTGAGCCGATGGACGGTGAATCTCATGCACTGCATCAGCTGTCCTTCCTTGTCCAACCAGTTGCGCATGGCTAGCCGCACAAGGCGGTGCATGTCAAAAGAGTCACTTCCTTCTCGCTGTGAAATGAATGCGTATGCCTTGAGCGTGCCGATTGCTTCAATGGCGTCAATGGGTTTGGCTCGGGGCAGAAGACGCTTTCGGATATCCTTTTCCGCCAGCATGCTCATGAATTTCAGGTATTCTGCCGCCAGCGGGTTGTGCTGCAATATCTGATTGAAGGAGATGAGCCACGTCGTGGCTACGGGGTTTTGAATCTCCCTGTATCGGTGCCGATCCTCAAAGTCTCGACTGAGGAGGTCAATCAGATCCTCATAGTCCGATTCGCAGAGCTCGAGATACTCGGCCGTGGAGATGGATTTGGCTGCCATGAACGCCGAAGCCTGTCGAATGGCTAGCGGTAAGTTTGCAAGGAAATCAAGCAACTTGCTCGTGGCTTCTACGTTGCTCGTCTGGCTGTCTGTCAGGCCATGCTGCAGCAGGCTCAAGGCTTCGTCTTGTCCCATTTCGACAATGTGGATCGTGTTCCTTGACGGAATGTCGAGCCTCACAGCTGCCTCGTGATTCCTCGTCGTGAACAGAATCGAACCTCTTCGACTGAATGGCAGATGGGCCGAGAGTCCAGAAGTGCCAAAGAGTAGCGAGACATCGTCCGCGTTGTCGACAACCAGGAGCCAGTTACCACTGCTCTCATCACTCAAAGCTGCTTTGACGAGCTGCTTCACATCAACGCTGCCACCGCTATCGATGTTTTTAACCTTGAGATGCTTGCCAATGTTGCGATAAGCAGACTCGAAACTGGCCGCGTCCAGGGCCGGTACCCAGAAGACGGAGCAGTCGGGATGCTCATCACGAATGAGATACGAAGCCTCTATCGCAAGCTGCGTCTTGCCCACTCCACCAAGTCCTTCGAGAGCGGTTCTCTGGCAGTCATCCTTGTTTGCGCTGGGTCGAATCATGTCTAGGAGCTCCGACAGAATGCTTTGTCTCCCAACAAAATCCTGATTCCGTCCAAAGGGGACCAGGAAATGGCTCTTTGGTGGTTCTTGGATTGGTTGCCGAAACACATTGTCTCTCTCCGCTTGGATGATGGACCGCTCTATTCGATCCGTCTGGATATATCGTTCGAGCATCGCCTTTGAAGCAGCTGCCGCCGTTGCTGCCGCATAATCCTGCCACTTCTTGTTCTTGTGGCAATCGGCGTAGTCGCACACGCCCTTGACCACGATGCAGGGGATTTCCTCCCACACGCCGGCCCCTTCCATCTCAAATGCGATAATTTTCTCTTCCCGGGCGATCTTATCTCGGTCTTCTCCAGACTTCATCACTGTGTCGCCCGACGCAACTGCGCCAATATGGACGGCAGGCCGCGTCGATTTGTCTTGCTCGCTTTGCTCCTGGAGTCGCTGCCTCGGAACTAGGTACTCTTCATCACAGCCCAGCTCATCACACGACAAGCCAAGGGCCTCATTGCATACTGGGTCTTTTCTCCCATGGCACACGCTGCAGATGCAAGTTGCTGATGAGTCGCGGTGCTTGTGGCGATAGCTCGATTCGAATAGCTTATCTTCAGATGTCCCGGGATAGTCATACTTGGCTTGATGCCTCGAGGCCCTTTCCTGGAGCTGCTCCAAAAACTGACAAGTCTTGTCTCGGAGCTTCTCTCGGCCGCTGGCTGTGTCAAACATGGCCAAAAGGCTGCCGACATTTCTGTCATGTCTCCTCAGATTATCCTGGACGGTGTCTTTGCGCAGAAACTCATCGGGATATCTCCTGCCAAAGTCGTACTGCACAAGAGTCTTGCTAATCACAACGTCGCCTAGGAGTATCTCTTCTCGCCCATTATAGGGCACGCCGCCGCATATTCCTGCAAGAAGTACGAGTCGCAGGCCTCGATAGCTTGTCCGCATGTGAGTGGCCGCAGAGGCGGCATTGACCTTGCCCATGTGAGTCAATAGAGCCAGCACGACATCGTGTTTGCCTATGCGACCGGTTGTGTAGACGTTGGGGTCTCCGGCTGCCCTCATGTATGGATCGCCGTCTTCATCCCAGAACTCGTCGAAGAGGAGAGCAACGGCGTCGTACTCGAGCGGCAATGCGCAGATGATGGCGACTTCAAAGTCTTCGCGACACGATGGCCGTGATGACATGATGAAGATTTGACTCTGTTTCCTTGCTTCTTGGGCATCGGGTATTTGATCAGTTGTTGTTGTTGCCTTTGATAGGTTTGCTTAATGGTTTGAGGCCGTCAACTCAGCTGCTGGGTTCTCCAACCCATCGCGGTTCTGGTAACATGTGAACTTGATGATAACGGCCAAGATACCTGCAAACATTCATGAGATAATTCTCGGGTAGACGGACAGAATCTTACCTCAACACCGCGCGGGGAGTTGAATCCTAAAAGAATATGACCCAATCACATGGATGACGCGACAACCCCGCCCTGATGGTTGGAGTTCCCAATCTATTCTCAGAAGGGTGAAAGGATTGGCCGGGGGATGTGTGTATAGTATGCGCATGGTATTAACCGTGCAGGCTGTGGAAGAACAACACACCTCATGTTGCAGCCAAGTAGGCCAACCATGTGCACATTCACAACTATACCTGGGTTTCACTCACCTCGTATGCTTAGAGCGTCTGTGAGGTATGTAGTAACTGTGATAAGCGGCGGCGAAAAGTTGCGTATGGCTTCAGAGGAACCAGTACATGTTGTATATGCACTGGCTCTTGCGACTGAGGAGTCAACGAAGGAAGTCGAAGCCTGTCTAGGAAAGCAGACGATATGTCGGCAGCAAAGAGATGAACGTGCTTCTCCTTGTAACTTGTCATCAAGACCTGGGGCTTGTTGGTTTTGTTAGCTTGCATGTTCGTGACCGATATGTATATGAGCAATCACTGGCAAGGAGAAGAAAGTCATACTTGAAAGCCTCCTTCAGGACTACTGTAGCTCTCGCGAGCCGCTCGCTGTCCTTGTGCCAGCGCTATCAAGAGTGCTAGAATATAAGGATCATGGCAGTAATTGCTTGGTGTCAGCCTTCTCAACAGGAGGCTGCGCAAAGAATTCGTGGCTTCACTCTGGCGGACGCCTCTGTACGTTTTCACCCTGTCGTGGCGTTGAAGCTCGATATCAAACCGATCGATGCATGCCGCGAAAGGCACGTTATTCCGCCGGGCAGTATAGTCACCGACCAGAACGCAAGGGAGGTTGCAGGCACGGTTATCAAAGCGCAAGTATATACCTCCCCTGACTTGAGCAATCAACATCGAAACACCAAGAGGATGAGAAAGTGTGTGGTCCGCACCTGTAATGGATGGAGAAGCGCTCATCAGACGTGATAATTCGTCCCAGCTGGGCCTCGCGCCATTCGAAATCCGGAGCACCTCGACCGCGGCGGGAGGCCAGCTGCCTCACGAAACGGGCGTTTACATTCTCTTCCAGCTTCTCTCTTAGAGACGACGCCATACCTTGTAGAGACCCAAGTGCAGGCTCCAGTGTTGCCTCCTCGAATGAGCACTCCAGGAGCTCGAGATGGCGAAGAGTCCACTCCACGGGGTGCACAAAGAGCCTCTCGCGGCAGTACAAGCGGAGGAGCTGGTTGGTTGATAGAGTGGTCGTGGGGGCTTTGAGAGGCAATGAAGGCGCCATGTTATATATGAGATAGACGGATATATATAAGAGCGAATTTGGTTCGGACGTGACGTGACGCGGGTTGTAGAAAGATTGGCTGGTCAAGAGGGGACTTTATGGGTTCAGTTCAGTTGAGTTCCTTGCCCTGAGCTGCTCGCTTATATGAATAGATTTATGTTGACACTCTTAGAGTGAATGTATGAAATGAGCAAGCACAAGATCTTGGGCGTCTGACTTGTGTCGGCCTGTGCTTTGAATGAGCCCCTTTGCTGTTATTGATCCATCATACGTCGAGAGGTATCAACCAAGGTGTAGGTAGTCATGCCCTCACTAACACGGTATTTTCCAAGTCTGCATGATCGGCTAATGGCCATTCGGGATCCATTACATCAAGCGGTTCATGAAAGAATCAGGAGAGCAGAGTAAATCATGTGCACACATGGACTTAATACGAGCACAATAAAGGGTGGCGCTTTTGGTGGTAAACGGCGCATTTGTATGCACATGGTTGGTTTTTCTGTATGCTCATGTTTGTTTTGTCCTCAGTACATGCTTCAACAAACCGCTTGACATCTTCCGCTTACTTGACGTTTCTTCTTTGAGTCACGCCGAAGATCTCACCCATGGCCCGTCGATCCGCTGCGGCCCGACGATGTGCATCCTGTAAGCGGACATCATGTGCTCCTTTATAAGTCCAGTCTCCCCTCACTCTGCTTACATGCATTCTCTTCTCCCGCTGCTCAGCACACAATACAACTCCATATCCTTACCACAGCTTCTCACGCTCAGCATGGCCCTTCCAGCCCCTCAGATCCAGATGTTGGAAAAGGCAGACTATACGAAGCAACATCTGATCACTCTCCATGACGCCTACCCTCTGCCTCAGCTGACGGCTGGTGACATTCGCATCCGCAGCCGCATCATCTCCATCACCACCAACAACTTTACATATGCTCGACTTGGTCATCTACTTGGCTGGTGGGATGTCTGGGCCGTGCCTCCGTCTCTTCCTGCGCCCTACAATGACACCTCCAAATACGGCCGCGTTTCGGCATGGGGCTACTGTGAAGTGATTGAGAGTCAAAACGACAAGGTGCCAATCGGAACCAAGCTGTATGGCTACCTCCCCATTGGAGACTATCCCGAGATACTCCAGGTAGCGGTGGATGATGATACCGGCCATGTCCTGGAGATCAGTGAGCGGAGAGCCAAGCAGATGAGGATTTACAACCGATACCTACCGTATCCTCCAGACACAGACCTGATGGCAGACAAGTCCTCTCGCGGATTGGACTCGGCCCTGCTGCCATTCTTCGAGACGAGTTACTTACTGAACCGATATGCCTTTGCTTGGGACTCGACAAAGTTGACGCATCCTCTGGGCCTCCCGCTTCCCTGGAGCTCAGACGATGCTGACCTTGCAAATGCCGTGGTGGTGATGCTCGGGGCATCGGGAAAGACGGCACTATCCTTCGCATATCAGCTGCGTCAGTCAAGGCCCGTTGACCAACAGCCTCGCAAGCTCGTGGCAGTTGGATCGGTTGCATCGCGGAGCTTCACCGAAGGTACTGGTCTGTTTGACGACGTGATGCTGTATGCAGAGGCTTCCAGTGCCACGGATGCGACCATTGCGGCCAGGCTTGGGATTGATGCCAACACCAAGGTGCTGCTCATTAATTTTGCTGGTAGAGGCACGGTTGATGAGGATTTGCATGCTGTTCTCACGCGTGTCTCTAAGAGCGTCGTTGTGCTTATTGTTGGCGGCGATCCGCAAGGGGGAGGATCCAAATTGGGCGCTCTAACGAAAGTGCCAGGCAGCGGCGTCGTCATGTGTAATGCCTCTGGTCTGCGAGACTCTGCCCTGGAAACTGATGGGATGGCGGCATATTTTGAGCGTTTCCAACAAGAATGGAGCCGGTTCAAGGAGAGAGGAGCTGTCCAGGGGTTCAAGCTGCGCTGGGGCAAAGGGATGGAAGAGTATACGCAAGGCTGGGACTCGCTTTGCGCTGGGAGCATCGATCCAACCCTTGGCTTAGTGTATGAAGTATGAAGTACGAGAACGTAGATACCGATTGTTGCACAACGTTGGGTATGATAACGGACTACAACATGGTTGGCAGAGATGGTTGTGTAACTCTGAGATGTACTATCGCTCTTCGACGCCGCAAAGATGGTCATGTGGTTTGCTGGTTTGCCTTCCCTTCGTCTACCCCTCACCACCTCTTATCCTGAGCATGAGTAGAAGAAAGAGTCTAGATGCTTTAGGCACCCGTATGAATGCTGTGACCGCCTCAGTGACGGAAAAGGACCGCGAGTTGCCGCGACAACGACACGTATTGAACCTGTTGGTGCGATGTCGGGTCGTTGACTAAGAGATACGAGTGGCTATGAAGCCATGAAAAGCTGCCCCCGTATGTCTCAGAAGAGGCTACACCGACTGGAAGCATCACGTAGAGCTGTATTACTTGAGCAATGGTCGGCGCGTTTCCTACCAAGCAGAAAATTATAAATACCGCCTCCTCGGACCATGCTGGCCTTGACCATTCATTCACCTTTCCACCCAACTCCAGCTTCTTTCTTTGACTTTGCACATCATCCACCTCTACCTGCTATCGGCATCTTCGTCGATCTGCTCCAGCCCTCTCCTATTCATTCTTTGACCAAAAAAAAAAAACACCATGGCAACTGCCGAGGGCCAGAAGACATGGAGTCAGTACGGTGCACATGTTGTGACCAGGCCGACTCCAGAAGTCGTCGGCATCAACAGAGATCTGATATCGACCTCTTCTGCTCAGCTGCTTCAGCATGCCTCCAAGGCTTGGACTGGTGGAATCAGAGAGACCAGCTGCATGCACTCCGTGTACCGAGACAGACCAGCCGGACTGCAGCCTCGCGACGTGCTGACACACTCTTTCCATGATGTGGACGAACAAGGCGTGTCTCTGGTATCGTACAAGAACGGATTCGTCGATGGCATCATCCGTGCTTTCCAGCAGGATCTCCATCTCGTGCTGCGCCCTGATGATGTGTGGCTTGCCATCGTGGTCCAGTTCAGCTTCTACGTCAACGGCCACGCTGAAGAAATGAGGAAATTCTTCGTCGCCCACGAGGGCCGGAGGAAGCTGGTTGTCAGGACAGGCTCGCCCAGTCCGTTGTCTGTCGACTTCGGCGTAATTGCCAAGACGTTCAAGAGCTTGATTCAAGACAACGTTGTCGATCCCGAGCTCACGTCTTGGATACTGCCGGACTTTTCGACCACGACGGACGAGGACATCACCACAACCACTGTAGCCATGATGGCGACTACAAAGAGATACTTTGAATTCATCGCAATGGGCGGATGCGGTTTCCCCAGCGTCACGCTGCTTGGCGAACGAGCAGACTGGGTCAAGCTTCACGCAAAGGTGGAAAGACTCAGGACCTACGGCGGAGAGCTTGCCGATTGGAGCAAGCTTCTCACCAAGGTGGTAGGGAAGATGGTTGAGACGTTTGATCAGCCAGATCGACAGGCCACCAAGGACTTCTGGATGAGAGCCGTCCACCAGGCCGGCAGAGACGGCTCTCTCACGGTCGAGACGCTTTCGGGTTGGATCACGGCCTTTTGCCGGTGGGACGAGGAGGGCAGGACGATACGCCAGGTTGACGAAGCAGCAAGCACCAGTTATGGACAACAACACATCGATAGGAAGCGATTCGTCATTGACGATGTTGCGTTTCCCATCATCAGCCCCAAGGACGTCCCACGAGCCGCGACTGAAGTGCCGATAACGTTTCTGGATGCATTGACTGGCATCCGCTACGAGACAACAGCCGTGGCGGGATTGGTGGGCGTGAAGCCAAGTGCGAGCATCGAGGGAGGTCCGTATGACACCTTTCAGCCACGGTCGGGCTACTGGATCGTGGTCGACGAAGCTGGCCCGATACCTGCCGATTTCACGCTGGGCGACAATTTCGCTATGAAGAGCATCTAGATGGCAAAATGGATTGACAATGATTGTGTGGCTACTGAGCTTGTATGGGGGATGCCTGGGCAGTGTGAACGTTAGGTACATGTATTAGCCGGCCTGGATGATGTTACCGTCTCGGCCATTTCTTTATCTGGATCTGACTGAGGCTGTTTATTGACCATTGCATGTGAGTAAGAAGTGAAGACACATTGCTTTTGACTGTAAGATTGAGGAACCTGTCAGCAAGCACTCGATATAAAGATGGCCCGGATCGATGCTTACGTGTGTCTTACCATGTCATCTCCATGGCCATCGTTGGGCATCACCAGGGTTAGTGTCGTCTGATCCTTTTTTTTTTGGCGTTACTATGACTGTCGCCATTCTTGAAATACATATTCAAAATCATTCGCAACTGTAGCAGCTATCCCATCCCTTCACAGCTGCCCGAGGCGCCCTCAACGACTTGAAGCCGACAGCTCAGCTCAAACCGGGCCATGGACGGAAACGTTAATCAGCCGACAAGGGTGATAATCATCGGAGCAGGTTGTAGAGCCCGACGTCAATTCTTGTCAATCTTGTAATATAGATCATCACTAACTCGGAGACAGGTTGGGCTGGTCTGGCCGCAGCGAAAACGTACGGAAGCTGTGATGATGATGAGGAGTTACTCGTCCCTGCTAACGGCATACAGATACCTTCAAGTAAATCCCTCTATATCATTGACGATTCTCGATGCAGAAGCTACAGTGGGTGGTGTATGGTCCAAGGCAAGATGCTATCCAGGCTTCATAGCGGATGGCCCCGTGGGACTCTTCGACTTTAGCGACCTGCCCATGTCCAAAGTCGTTGGGCTCAAGGTCTGGGACGAGTTGCCCGGCATTAAGGTGTACGAGTACTTGCACGAGTACGCCCGAAGGTTTCATCTCCTGGAGCGGTGCAAGTTTTCGTGTCGAGTCACGCACATTCGCCGTTCGCCGTCGCAAAAGGGATGGACTGTTGAAGCGCAGACTACAAGTGATGATGGGAAGATAGGTTCCGAGACGTTTGACTGCGACAAGCTGATTGTGGCCACGGGGAACTTCAACACTCCGAAATACCCCGACGTCGAGACATCAGAGTTCAACGGACTGGTGATGCACACCAAAGACATTGGGCAAAAGCATGAAGCCCTGCTCGGAAAAGATGTCGAGACTGTTGCCATTTACGGAGGCGGAAAGTCAGCCATCGACGCCGTCAATCTCTGCATAGAAGCAGGCAAGAAAGTCCACTGGATCATCAGCGACAAGGGCAACGGCCCCAACATGCTGTTTAATGCGCGGCTGAAAGGGGGATTCCACGTTGGTCAGTTTGTAGGGCGATGGAAGGACATCTTTTCCGTCAGCATCTTCAGCGTCGACACGTTCTTTGGGCGATTCTTCTACAGCGGCAAGAATAGGCTGGGGACGTGGCTCATTGGCAAGTTTTGGTCGTTTGCGGCCAAGAAGATGAGGACAGGAGGGGTTTATGCGGGCATGACGGCTGAGAACAGGGAGAAGCTGCTGCCAGAAGGTAATAGGTAAGTCAAGTTGCCTGTAGAGACTCGTATCGTTTCTATAATTGACATTCTGCAGTGCTTTGTTTTCGGCGGTTGGAGGAGCTGCGTTGCACAGCTGTCCCAAGTTCATCCCAGAGCTGAGCAAGTCGGATGGCCTCATCACGGTTCATCGAGCACGCATTACCTCGGCTCAAGGCCAGACTGTGTGCCTATCCAACGGTGAAAGCATCCCTTGCCAGGCCTTGGTGTTTGGCACGGGATGGACTTCTGAAGACGTGCTCTTTGACCCTGCTCAGGGGCTCTCCTTGGGCTTGCGGAAACCTACGGCGCTCGAAGACGAGCAATCTGCCCAATATTGGAAAAAGCTTCATGAGAGAGCTGATCAAAAGATTCTGTCGCTTCTTCCGATCCTCAAGGATTCGCCTGGACCCCGGACCACGGACCCCCTGACGCCATATCGCCTATATCGGTACATGCTGCCTTCGTCTCTGGCCGCAGCAAATGATCGCTCTCTCGTGTTTCTGGGATACCTGATTAGCATCCAAACCCACATTCTCAGCGAAGTCTCTGCTCTGTGGGCAATTTGCTGGCTCGAGAACCTCGTTGATCTGGGCGTTCCAAAGAGCAAAGAAGACATTGACTATGAAGTTGCAAAGGTCAATGCGTACGCGCTTCGGAAGAATCTGTCTCAGGAACCAAGCGCGGGTAGCGGAATTCAGCATTTCGTCGACTTGTTGATGAAAGATATGGGACTGAGAGCGAAACGAAAGGGGGGATTGGGAGTCAAAGACATGTTTGTGCCTTATAGATCTCAAGATTATCTAGGCATTGTGACAGAGGTTCTGCAAAGGTCAAAGGAATGACTCTCTTTCCTTATCGACCTTGGTTAGTTGTCTCTACTAGAACATCTTCCCGGAATGAAGCTCCAATAGATAATGCATATTGCCGAAACGTATTCATTAAGAGATCCGTCTTTGCATACTCCCCAGACAACAACGAACCTTCTTACGCTTTATAGCCGGATTGACCCTTGTGCCCCCCCTAAAACCGAGATGCTTCGTATGTTGGCGCGCCTCTTTCCAGCAGGATCAGACGCGACCTTTCCGATTTGCCCGCAACAATTGAACAATGAGGCGCTTCTCCCTCCGCATGATGGCATATGAAAGTGCCGTCCTCCCTTGATTATCCCTTGCCTTGAGCGCAGCGCCCCTTTCGAGCAGTGTTGCAACAGCAGCTGAAGGTTCCCGCCAGCCATTGACGGCATAAATCAGCGCCGTCTTGCCATCATTGTCTCTTGCGTCGAGCTTAGCACCTCTATCAAGGAGCATTTTCATGCAATCCAAATACCCTCTGTAACTGGCACTTGATAGGGGCGTTCGCCCCTGGCCATCTCTTGCCTCAATAGCGGCGCCTCTATTAAGGAGCTTTCGCATGCATTCCAAACTCCCAATGGCGTGCATTAGAGGCGTTTGTCCCCAGCCATCTCTTGCCTCAATAGCGGCACCACTATCCAGCAATTCCCCGACGGTATAATCGTTTCCCACTTGAGCAGCATGCATCAGGGCTGTTAGTCCAGATTGATCTCTCGCTTTAATATCAGCTCCTTGGTCAAGCAGGAAGCGGATGCTTGATGCACTCCCTTTCCGGGCGACTCCCATTAGCACAGTGCTCCCATAGATATCTCTCTCGTCAACACATGCGCCGTTGTCGATGAGACTTTTGAAGATCGAAAATGCATTCAGTGGACTCATTGTTCGACAGGACAACGCTGGTTTAACGGATGAAATTGCCGTCATCCCGTTTTTGCTCCTTGCATGAACCGCAGCGCCTCTGCTTAGAAGCTCTTTGGCAACATCCAGCCTCAATCTCCAAGCAGCGTGCATCAATGCTGTCGTCCCCAAATCGTCTGTCGCTTCAATAAGAGCGCCTTTGTCAAGAAGCAGCCTCGCATATGACACATGAGCGGCTTTCATCAAAGCTGTCCGGCCATTTTTGTCTCTCGCTTCAGTCGCAGCCCCTCTGTCAAGAAGCAACTCAATCAGCTCATAGCGATCATCAGAGGTCCTGTCCCCTTCGCATGCTTGCATTAATGGAGTAGATCCAGTCTGGTCTTTCGCTTCAACTGCGGCACCCCTGTCCAGAAGCATCTTGATGGTGCCATACTGATGTTTATACTTGCGGGCAGCACATGCTCGCAGTAATGGAGTCGACCCAGAGTCGTCTCTTGTCTCAATCTCAGCGCCTTCGTCAAGGAGTATCTCGATGGCGGCCCTGCAATCCTCGGATGAACCTGCAGCAAGTGACAACGGAGTCCGGCCAAACACATCTTTCGCATCGATCTCAGAACCCTCTTCGAGCAGGAACCGAACAGGGGCTGCATTTCCCCCAAGGGCAGCGTATGAGAGTGTCGTTCTGCTTTGCCAGCCCCTTGACTGGACTGCAACGCCCTGCTGAAGCAGAAGCTGGAGGGAGTCCATGCAGCCATGTCTCGCCGCAAGGAATAGAAGCCTTTGGCGAAGAATTGGCTCAGATTCTGTCAGAAACCTTCCAAGAAGCACATTCACGACTCGTGCCTGTCCTTCGTAGAACTGGGAGCCGAAAAAGCCAAGTTTACCAAAAGCAGACTCTTCATCAAGGTGCTCGACAAGATCCAGTAATCGGGTAGAAATGTCATCTTCTTTCCACAGAAGTTCAAGGAGACTTTCATGCCCGCATACAGCAGCCTCATACAGAGGTCTGTCTTCTTTGGAGAATGTGATCTTGGCGCCCTTCTCAATTAGTAGTCGAGTTATACCATCACTCAAGTGTGATGCATTTGAAAGCCTAATAGCTCTCAATAGAGGAAGAGTCCCATAAATCTCTTGATTAACATCAGCCCCATTCTCAAGAAGAAGGGAAACCATTGATTCATCATGGTTCGCAATGGCATGGTCCAGTGCAGGCCCGCCAAAGGAAGGGAGGGTGTTAACTGTGACACCCTTCTGAAGTAGAAGCCGGGCCATCTCTTGATGCTGACTCTGAACAGCATATATAAGAGGCGTGTTGTTCGCCGTATCTGGTAAGTCGAGGTCATGCTGATTATTGGAAAGGAAGTCAAGAGCTTGACAAATGCCAAAGAAAGCTGCCAAGTGAAGGCCGTTCCATCTCAATGGAAATATGTCGGATCTCGATCTCAATGAGAATCTGAGGTGGTTCGTTGTTAATGGATATCTGAGGAGGTTCGTGATTAATGGATGTCTGAGGAGGTTGAGCGCTCGTTCAGCTGCTTGAATCGTCGTTTGGCACGTCATAAAGTCTTGAATACTACGAGGAATCTCCGGCATCAAACGGGCGTGATGCCCCCAGTTCTCGCCTGCGTAGAAATAGAGTGGATTTAATTGGAGAGTTTCGCTGTAACTGTTGTAAGGGTAGTCATTACCACTCTGGGCGATATTGGAGAGATACTGGCAACAAAAAACCGCAAGCTTCGTTTCGGCACCGGGGAACAACTGGCTTTGCCTTCGATCGAAAAACTTCTGGGTTGTGTAGTGGACCAGTCGAACGACGTTGCTTTCTTCGTCAATCGTGACCAAACCAGCGCAGAGAGAGATTATAGAGTCAACTTCGCGGAGATTCTCTGGATCAAAAGCAGTACCTCCGGGATTGACTGCAAGAGCATGTTGGAGTTCCAGTGGGCTAAGTGGCCGTTTGGCACAAGTGATCCATTCCAGGGCATTTCTAGCAAGGCGTTGCTGGTCAGGACTCTGACGGTCTATCCTGTCCATGGCTTCATCATATGCTTGCTCCAAGGCGGTCTGGAGCCCATCCTGTCCCCTTTCTCCATGCTTTCGGTTGCTGAACCTCTCGAGGGCAGATTTTACCTCTGCAACTGAAGTTGTTCCTTTAAGAGAATCGAGGTCGAGATGTAAGAGGAGGAACCTGTTCATCGATTAGCAAGCTGAAGCCTGCGTGTAGATGTTGAAGAACCAGCAGTAGAGCACGTACATCCCCTGAGCTGCCTGAACAGTCTGCGTACGGATATCTTCCTTGAGCTGGTCCATGCTAAACATGAACTCGGGCAGATATATCATATGAGCCTCGATGTATTGGCGCATATCCCCCTCGCTCGCTAGGACTTCTTTCCTGAGGCTTCCTTCAAGTTCCCTCTCGATGGCTGGAATGTGCCGCGAAGTTGCAAAGAGACCGACCGCAGTATCGGTGCGGAGACTGGAGATGTATGACAACAGCCTCAAACGCGAGCGATCGGTTGCTATGCACTCGTCCAGCGCGTCAAGCACGATCACAATCCTCGAGTACGTGGCGGCTACCGATCGCAAGGCTTCCACCAGCTCGTAAAGTGACGGCCTAGTCTTCTCTCGCTTGTGCCTTTCATGTAATTTTCTGATGACATCGGGTAAACAAGGCCTCTTCCGGCTCAGCTGCTTCACCAAGCATGCAATTAGGTCATCGATGCCCTGTTCGTGCTGCCGCCTGAAGTTGCAGTATATATAAGCAAGCCCGACATCTGCCTCGTTGCAGGTGCGAGTTCTCAGATCTTCCACTACTATCGCAGTGAGAATTGTTTTGCCAGATCCAGGGATTCCGGGACAGAACAGTGTCTTGTTTTTCTCGGTCAACCAAGATTTGTATTCTGCCGAGTCTAGAAGCCATTGGCCAGTCCCAGGCTGTCTCCTATTCAAGAAATCGCTGTGCTGGGGACCGTAGTTGATGGGGGTGATCCACTCCAGGATCTCGAGGTCTTCTTTTCTGTCCCATTCGCTCTTTATATAGTCAATATTACTGACAACTAATGCTATATAAGCAGCTATACACAAAGATAGGCTACATGTACTAATCTGGGCAATGGATGGATAACTGACCGTGGGACAAGGCATCTTTGATCTTCTGTTCAGCCTCGACCTTGTTCGGCGGAATGCGACAGAGAAGATCCTTTGCATAAGCCGCTGCTGTCATTGCGGCGTATCCTTGCCACTCCTTGTTCTTGTGCGAATCCGAATAGTCACATATCCCTCGAATGACCAGACACGGAAATTGGTTCATGAGTCCAGCTGCCTCCATTTCGAAGCATAAGACGTTCATCTCGGCAGCCAGCGTGTCACGCATAACGGCGTCTTTCATCAGTTGATTTGCGGACGCAATGAGGCCATAGTGAATGGCAGGGTTGTCTTCGTCTTCCTCCCGGACAGGACGTGATACCAGCTTGATGACTTCGTCGCCACAGACAATGTCGCAAGTGCCCTTCAAATTGATAGGGTGGACAATGCTGCTCTGATACAGTCTGTCACTGGTTTGATCTGGTCGAGAATACTTCATTCGAAGCCGTGGCTTTTTATCGAGTGCGTCGCGGATTGTGGCATGGAGTTGATGCCCCTCGCTTTCGTACTGTGACCTCAGCCCGGCCATTGCTGTTCGCAGAACCATCGGCGGCTGGTTTAGGAACCCAGTTGTCTGAAAGGTCTGGTTCTGAATCGTCTTGCCAAAGTCGTACTGGAAGACGCCGCCCATGCCATCACGGGGAGCACTGACAACAACATCACCCAGGCGGATGTCATGGCTTGGACTCGGGGCGCCTCCACCGATGCCAACCATGAGCCCAATTCGGACGTTTGGAAAGCTATGCAGCATGTCTCGGGCAACGCTGGCGGCAGAGGCTATTCCATATTCCCCGTCAGGAAGAACAGCAATAACAACATTGTGCTTGCCGATTCTGCCCAGGGTATAGTCGTTGTTGTCGTGTACGGCGACGCTGCTCGGCGTATCGTGTTTCTCATCGAGGAGGCTCAGCGCAGCCACATATTCCGTGCTGATGGCGCAGATCCAGCCGACGGCGTAGTCTTCAGGGTTCGACATGATGTCCTATGTCTTCTTGATGGACTTTGTTGGAGACTTTGAGGTTCAGCAACGGGATGGGGCTACTCGTCATTTCGTGGGATGAAACTCGAAAACCTCTTGACGGCTTCAGCCAGGAAGAGATGCATGAAGTCTCCCATATGCTTGGAAATGAGAAAGACGCCCAAGAGTTTAGCTGGGCTCAACATGTTGGGCATCAAGTTTCTCAGGCTGCATCTATTGGCTTGGGCGAACCAATGGTCGCTGCTGGAATAAGCCACTGTTTGGAACAGTCCTGCTGAGGCTGAATGCCATGCCAGCAAATGAAAGGCTGGTCTAGGCTGCAGACCAGTTAGAGAGCCAACAACATCGTCGGCTGGTTACCACCTTAACTCCTACACAGCATTGCTCAAGCTCAAAATAGCCCATCAATCAGGCACCCCCTCGCTCTCAGCCTCACCTGGGCATCTATTTCAGCTCAAGTGCCCAGGACCTTGGTGGAGAAGCCTATGGCAAGAAGATATGAAGAATTTGGGCTTCATCCTGGTAGAGACGTCGGATCTTGCCCTGACCTATGTCCCGTGAAGTAGTGGAAGAGAATGGCGTGGTCCTGATGCCCGTACTTGTACGAATCTTACCCGGAAAGTCCCAGATTCTCCAGATCAGATTAGATCTTCGTACACTGTATAGAGTGAGATCCTCAGTGTATCGATGGCCTATGGGATCTAAGACTAATATCTCTACGAATTGCAGAATTGAACACCGACGGACACACGGATCTTGACATCCTAATGGGGCAGCTGCTGAGGCGTCCTATGCATACAAGTCCGAATCAAGCTCCTATCAACGCAATCCCTGCGGGGGATCAGCGAGTGATGACCAGGCTTGACCGATCTTCGGGTCTGGCCCGTCTTGCCCGTGTTGAGGGGATACAGTAGAGTAGTATCAGAGGCTTGACCGTAAGCACTACTGCTGGGAGAGAAGCTGGGCTGGAGGGCCCCAGGACATTGTTCACGGCATAGCAGTACTTGCTAGTATTCATCATTGATTCGGCACATCTTTTGAGCCTGAGTAGAATGTGGTCTTGATAAGCTAATACACGTTCTTGTACAAGAATGGAGCAAGTGAGAGGTTGCATTCATACTCCTCTGAGGATCCGACAAGAACATCCCTCGGCTACGCAGCAACCCTCAGGCTCTACAGTAGAGGGAGATATCTGTACCATCCCCCCAAGGAGCAGTCGACTCCGCCCGAATCCCACCGATGCATCGCCGGCCGCCCACAACGGACGCAATGCTGCCGTGCCGCGCCTGTTGCCGCTCGCATCCATTCATCGAGTCCGTGCTTCTGCAGTGCGCACCCTTCTTGTTCATTGGAGGCAGGGTTCCGCGATACATGTAGATAGAGTATAGATCCTCGGCCTATCTTGAGGCTTGAATCAGAGGTCACAAGTCCTCTCGCGTTTGCGCGAGAGAGTATGTCATTTTTAGATATGCGTATTGTCACACTCTATACGACTATCAGCACTGTAAGCGCTTGTTCACAGGACTGACAGAACAATAGCCGCCGTTGCTGCTCACCAGGCGGGTAAAATACGCAGTTTTCGGAGGCTAAGGCAACGACTAGATCACAGACAGAGAGAAGATCGCTATAGGTACACGCAATAGCTCTCACCGGGCTCAGATCTAGGCCCTGCTGAGGAATTGCCGCCTGTACTGTATGTGGCAAATACGCAAACGTCTCCTCTAATGCTCATGTGCTCATGCTTGGTAACAGAGCATTCAGCTTCAGCAGCAGCAGCCCCCCCGTGCCAACGTGTCAAGCCGCGATTTGCAGGCCCGTGCAGCCGCCGAGCTTCATGTAGGCCATTGGTAGAGGTGGAGATGCGATTAGTATCACCTTGCCTGGGGGACAACAGGGGGGCCCATGTCGGTCTTTGGGTTACGGCTGACAGGACAAGACGGCACAGATAAATTGCTCACAAACAGGAAGAGACTGAGAGCAGAACAGCAGCAATATGAACAGGGCAAAGAAGCAAGAAAAAAAAATGGCCTGGAGACGCTTGTCTTGAGTACGGCTTGGGACTTGTTCTCGGTCACCCGATGAATATGACCTCCAGCCAGGGGTAACACGCCTGGTTGGCGCTGGTTCATTTCTGCCGGGAACTAACACGATGTGCTACAATCTTTCATCTGATCTACAAACCACTGCCGGGTCCAAGTGATGCGACTACAGTAGTAGCCGACCTGCTAAAATGGATAGTACTATCACGGATACTATGCGTCCTGGATCGACTGGGTTCTACGCAAGGGCCAGAGAGAGGCCACGGTTGAATCTGTGAATGTTGCCCGGGGGTGGACCATGCATGCTCGGTTCATCCTGTAACTGCGGCATATGCTGAATCGAGTATCACAACGACGTATACTTACCAGATCCTGCTAGTATGTATTGCTGTCGTATTGCTCCCTTGATGGCTCGGCATGCACTGACTTGCGTACAACCGCCAGAGCACTCGTCCTCCCGCCTCGACTACGACATTGTGACCGTACAGTAGCAGCCGATGTACGATGTCATCCCGAATCCACAAGCGAAGATACCTCAGAGACGTCGTAGAGTCTGCAGATTCACTGGGGAGTGTCTCGTTCCGTAAGGGTGAACAAGAACGCTGACCTGTGTTCTCACGAAGTCGTCAAAGGAGCGTCCTCGGCATCAAGATGAGAAGCGCAACGCCTGAGCGACGCACAAAGAGTCACGACATGTGTATGCGTTATGCGTATGTTTGTGTACGAATCCTGTCGAGCAAGGCATTCTGCTTGTTTTCTTGTTTTCCCTTGCACACTGACGTTTCATCCATCCGGCAAGCATCCTGCAAGGATCCTCTCAACTGACAACGAAACCCTCACCAACTGAGCGTATGTGCTCGCTTGCGCATCGCGCAGGATCCCGCTGTGACCTTTATACAGGTGCTGATTGGCACGTACAGGGGGGATCGATGCAGTTTGCCTCATCCGGACAGATGGCTAATACTACCCATCGACTGCAGCATTGACGAATGCGGCACACGGATCACACAAAGTTGAGACGACGGAGGATAGCTTGTAATATTGAAGGCCTCTGTCCGGATATTCGCAACTTGGTGACGGCGCTTATCTTCTGCTGCCGTGAAGCTCCTCGGTATGCATGGATATGAGCGGGGTGCTTCGTCCATCTCCTACCTTGGCTATATATTGAGAAGCTCCCTGCACGATGGATTGTGCCGTGGGAGTCCAAGTGCTGCAGCTTTGCTCTTGTTCAGATCTGCATTACGCCTGCGGACAACTTGATCCGCCATGGATTCTCCCATCATACTACCCCAGGGGGCCATCTCCCGGGCCTCAATACTGGGGTTGTTATTATGCATCACGACGGCATTGTTGAATCGCTTCCTTCGCGGAGGCAAGGCCAGGAAATATCCACCGGGACCCAAGCCATGGCCCATTATCGGCAACATGTTTGTCTTCAAGGGGATCGTCTACGACACAGAGGCAACACTTGCTCGGTTGGCCAAGAGCTTCGGCGACAAGGTCATGATCTGGCTCTTTTCGAAGCCGTTTCTGATCGTGGACAAGCTTGAAGATGCCAAAGAACTGATGGACAAGGTATGCCTCTGACTTTGTCTGATATTCTTCCATCCGGTTTGCCAGAGTCTCTAAGACAGATTATCCCATCAGCGAGGTTCCATCTTCTCCGACAGACCAAGGCCAAGCAACTTTGTTGAGCGCGTTTGGCCTTGTTTGTTGCCCATCAAGCCGCTCGGTGACGAGTATCGGATCGTGAGGCGAATCTACAACGACCTGCTCGGCCCCAAGCAGTCCCAATCAGTCAGAAAGTACCAAGACTACGAGTCCAGGATGCTGATGCGAGATCTGTACAACGCTCCGGAGAAGTTCCAGGTCATCACGGAGCGATATTCAATGAGTGTCATTTTCAGTGCCGTGTACGGCGTACGCATTGGTCGCCTCGACTATCCTGTGATTGAAGAACTGTTTAGCATCATGGACACTATGGCGAACTGTAAGTTCCCTTAACCGGTATCCTCTACATGCCAATCAGTGAGAGGAGTATGCTAATGACGATATTCGCAGACATTCTGCCGGGAAGCCTGCTCATTGACTATCTCCCCTTTCTCCAGAGGCTGCCCGAGTGCTTCCAGCCCTGGCTCAAGTTTGCAGACACAATGCATGCTCGCGAGTCAAAGTTCCACAATGGTTTTCTGAACGTCCTCAAGGAGCAGATTGAGGCGGGAACTGCGTCCTACTGCTTTGGTGTTGATGTCCTGAAGCTCCAGGAGAAAACCGGCCTTAGTGATGAATTCACGCTCGACATTCTCAAGGGAGTCATTGCTGCCGGCTCTGAAACAACCAGCAGTATGCTGCAATCCATCTTCAAGGCCCTCGCAATGAATCCCGAGGCCCAGAGAAAGGCCCAAGAAGGTGAGATGACCGCTGCTGGGCATTACTATACGCCTTTCCGTGTTCAACTAAGGCTGACTCGATCTCTTGGATCTACACAGAGCTGGATCGTGTTGTTGGACCATCACGCTTGCCGCACTGGGACGATGCCCCCAATCTGCCCTATATCCGTGCCCTCATCAAGGAGCTTCATAGATGGACTCCTCTCTTCATCCTCGGGGTGCCTCATGCCTCCACCGAGGAGGTCGTCTACAGAGGATACACGCTGCCGCAAAAGACCCTGGTGATGCCTCACGTCTACCGCCTGTCACGAGATCCCGACGTCTACGAGAACCCCGATGCCTTTGCGCCCGAGAGGTTTCTCGGCGATGACCTCGACTCGTATGCCAGCGCCAAGCAGAGCGACTTCCGCAAGCGTGACCACGTCAACTACGGCTGGGGACGACGGCTGTGCCAGGGCATCCAGGTCGCCGAGAACTCCATCTTCATGCAGGTTTCTCGGCTTCTGTGGGCGTACAATGTTGCGCCTCTGCCTGACGAGCCTCTGCGCTTGGAAGACAGGCTTCGTAAGTCTTCATCTTCTGTCTTTTGCTTCATGTATCTTTGGGTGTTTGTGTAGAAGCTAACGTTCAAACACGATAGACGGAATTGTCAAGAAGCCCAAGCCGTTCAGGCTGTCCATCACGCCCCGGTCTGAAGAAGCCGTCCAGGTGGTCCTGCAGGCCGCAAAGCAGGCCGTGACAAGTCTTCCAGATGCCGACTCCGTGGTGTATTAGTTACTGGGTGCCGGATGGAAGAACTGAGTGACTGATGAATGATGAACAGTGGCATCGTGGCCAATTTGCTGAGCGTTTGATAGTATATCCATATTTCATGAGTTATGAGTTTGATAGCCGATTGGCACACATATAACATGTGCAAATTAAAAACAACAGTCAAATGAAGCATCGAGCGGGGTATTTCTTCATAAGTCCTAGGTACTCAGGACTTGCGTGACTTAGTACATCTAATGGATGTAACCCAGCCCGTCAGCAAAGAAGCAGGGGTTATTCAAATGCGTGTAAGAGCTGCCTTGGCAACAGAGCCATCTAGGCAGATATCACAAGGACATCGACGACTTCCCAAGATCACAGTGACATCCTCTTGAACACGGAAATGCCCGTCTTCGGAGAACCCTCAGTCGATGACCTCTCCAGTGATCCGACTCAACGGACACGATGGAGCTACACCAGCTCCTCTGATCCGCCGCTGCCCGATGAAGATGCCACTCAGCCATTCTGCCCTCGTCATGCTGTCACTATCGCTCGTCTATACAAGAACTTCTTTGGGCCTCTACCAATGAACTCATCCTCGACAACTCCGCATCGCGATTGGCATTTTGGCAACCTCGATTATGTCCTGTCTCGGCGGGACTGGTGCCGAGCTTGCAGCCTCATCGCAAATGTCATTCTTGAAGACCCCTCAAACTCCCTCTTGGAACGCCAGAATGCAGAAATTATTGCTTGCTGGATATGGGACGGGGTGCTTGAGGGCAGCAGCAGTGACATGGGAACGCTGCGTCTAAGGATCGCCCCGGAAATGGTTGGCTGGGAGAGTCTCTTTGAGCCATTCGATCTCGTTCCCTTGGCGAATGATGGGGCAGAAAATACAATGTTTCTGGGGCGGAAAATTGATGAGGCTCGGTTTGATTTGGAGCTGGTCAAACGCTGGATCAACAACTGTGCAGAATGGCATGGCGACGAATGTTTGGACTCGACACCATGGCAGACTCTAGAACTGGGTGTGCCTTTTATCCGAATGGTCTCGCTGAGTGATAGCAAGTTGATCGAAACCTCCTGTCCGCCGCCCTACGTAGCACTGAGTTACGTATGGGGCACTGCCCCGGTGTTCAAGACATCACAGAGCAATATAGGAGGCCTGATGCAGCAGCAAGGCTTGCCGGTGGCGTCTCTTCCCACGTCTATCCGCGATGCCATGACTCTAGCGCAGGAGCTTGGCTTTGAGTATATCTGGATCGACTCGATATGCATTATCCAAGATTCCGGAGACGACAAGATGCAGCAGCTTCGCATGATGGACAGCATCTACACCCGTGCAAGCCTCACCATAGTTGCCGCAGCCGGCTCTCATGCCAACGCGGGAATTCCTGGCCTTCAAGCAGGCACAAGGTCTCGGAAACAGCATATAGTGCAGGTATCTGACGATCTGTCTCTTGTGGCACTCCATCCAGACACGCATCGAAGCGCAGCAGCAACGACGTGGAGCACCAGAGGCTGGACATATCAGGAGCTGCTTTTATCAAAGCGGTGTGTGTACTCCTTTCCAGACGGCTCGGTGAGCTTTCAGTGCTCGAGAGCCGTCTGGGGAGAGGATTACCATGCAGAGACGCCGCACTTGAAGCGGTGCGCGCCCATGCTTGATATCTCGCTGAATCGCAGCTGGATGTCTCCTGGAAGCGTCAGGGAGAGAGGTGCTCCAACCGTCCACGTAAAGGATACGCCGTACTTGCATGAATATTCTCGCCTCGTTGGGGAGTACACTGGACGCAACATGTCCTATGCGAGTGACCGGCTCGCAGGCATCAGCGGCGTCCTAGAAGTCCTCCAGCGAGAGTTCAGCCTCTCTTTTCTTCATGGACTACCAGAGGTCCTCATCCATATGGCTCTTCTTTGGCAGCCGCGGGACAAGCTGAAGCGCGTTCCAAAAGATGCCAACACTGGCCTGCCGCTGTTCCCCAGCTGGTCGTGGACTGGCTGGACAGGACCAGTGGGCTACGAGGACTGGAATGTCTTCAACAGCATGCCCGAGTTAGAAGACCGAGCAAAGAGGGTGATACCCTTTGCGAAGCTGGCCAAAGTCGGACCAAGAGGGCTCGAATACTTGACCCCTCCGACAGAAGTCGAAGCTTCCCATAGTTGGTCAAGGGTCATGACTCCCAACGACGGGGTTTGCTACGTCTTTGGCACAGATACTCGCAAATATCATTCAGTCCCTTGCATGCCATCTTCTGCATTGCTCGAGCCGGTCAATACAAGCGGGCAGCCGCCTTGTCTCTGTCTGCGCACCCGCAAAGCAAAGTTTCGACTGACCTACCTTGTCTTGAGCCCCGACTTCAGCAAGGACGACTTTCCCATCGAAAAACGAGGCCGATTTGGACTCTCCCCGCCATCGCCGTCGACGGGGGATCGACCCTGGCTGGGGACCATTCTCCTGCCAGTGCAGTATCTTGCCAAGATGACGCAGGATCACGAGTTCATCATTCTATCGGAGAGCTATGGGTTCAGTCGGCAGGAGGTGGCACCAACGACGGCTGGGCAGATGAAGCCGTTTGAGGTCTACGACGTGATGATGATTCGGCGGATTGTCGGCGAGGAACTGGCGCAGTATCGGGCTCTACTGGCAGCATCGGGGGCGGGAGCATGTGAACAGGGGTCAACGAGCACTTGGCTCGATGGAAAGAGTGTTGTGGAGAGGATTGGAGTTGGGAGGATGTTGAAGAGTGCGTGGAGTGATGATGGTGCTTGGGAAGATTTCGTCCTCGTATAAGTGCGTATGCGCAACTGTTGGGCTGTAGAAGACTTCTGTGAAAGAGAGGCCAGATACATGAATCTATGAGTTGTTCGGGAGGCGCCCTGCCAGTTCCCCAAATGCCGCTTCTATGGCCATGACCGTAAGGTCGACTATTAGATCGATCTGGCTCGTCGTCACGGTATAAGGGGGGGCGATCAGAATGTGATCACCAAGTATGCCGTCGACCGATCCAGCCCCAGGGTACAACATAATTCCACCATCCTCCGTCAAGCTCAGACCCTTCTGGTGAACCAGCATGCCAATGTCGAGCTCACGATCAAACGGTGCCTTGGAGGCTTTGTCTTTCACAAACTCGATCTATGTAGGTATCAGTACTTATGAACCAAAGATCCTCAATATGCGGAGGGGGGTATATCGCGGAATGCGAGCCATGACTTACACCCCAGAAGAGCCCGCGGCCTCGAATGTCACCAACGTAACGATGATGGCCAAGCTTCTGCTTGAGCAAGCTTTCAAGGTACCTGCCCATGTGAAGCACGTTATCAACGAGCCCTTCTTCTCGTATAATTCGATGGACCGCTGCCGCTGCGGCACATGAGATGGGATGTGCCTGATACGTTTGCCCGTGGGAAAATCGTCTATCAATCCCATCATCAGCATCTGAACAGCGTCTAAACAACCAACAGCTTACCCTGATCCCTCCTCCAAGGCTCTTATGACGCGGTAGCCAACAAGAACACCGGCAATGGGCGCATATCCGCCTCCGAGGCCCTTGCCCAAGGTCTGAATGTCGGGAACAACTCCCTCTTGCTCCCAGGCGTGCATCGTGCCTGTTCGGCCCATTCCGCACATTACCTCGTCAAGCACAAAGAGCGCTCCATACTTATCGCACACGGCTTTCATGGCCTTGAAGTATCCCTCAACCGCGGGAACACACCCAAGAGCCTGCCATGCATCAGCAAATCGTTCAGGTATCAGGGGCATGAGTAGAGCAAGGAGGGCTGGGATGGCACGAACCGCGCCAACAACCGTCTCCGCGATGAAAGCACAGACATTGTGAGCTCCCACGCGCTGAAACTCGGCGTCCAGCTCTTTTGCGAGTCTTTCCACGTATTCCGCAATGCTTTCGTCGTCCAGCTTGTATCTATAGGCGTTGCATGGCGAGACATGAGAGACGTTTTGCATCAAAATCGGTTCATAACCTTTCCTTCGACCGACGTGGCCGCCCACGGACAGAGCACCCAAAGTTGTTCCGTGATAAGACTCCCTGCGAGCTATAAAGTGCGTCCGGCTGGGCTCTGGAGTGGGCAGTTCCAGGAAATACTGGCGAGAGAGCTTCATTGCTGCCTCCATTGCTTCCGAACCTGTTCTCCCCTTAGTTTATTTGGTTGTGTCTGAGTAGCGACATATAGTCTCATGCGTGCTGATCGTACCAGAACAGACAATGAATGCCCTTGCCATCTGGCCACCCGTGCTGGAAATCAGCTGCTGGCACAAGTCTTCCGCACTGGGGCACGAGTAAAACATGGTGTGGCAGTAATCCAGCTCCTTGGCTTGTCTTGTAATGGCCTCAATCACTCGCTCATCTCCATGGCCGATGCAGGACACTGCTGCTCCTCCAGTGGCATCGAGTATTCTTCTGCCATTGTCGAACTGTATGTAAAGCCCGGAAGATGACACCACGCGGGATGGAGCGAGCTTCAAGTCTCGATGGAGGACGGCGCTGCAACTTGTGTCAACAACGTCTTTATTTGTTTCCCTCATCATCCTGAGACCCTGTAAGAGGCTTAGTAGATCGGAGAATAGACAAAAGAAGACGGTTTACACAAGGTTGGTAAGTTGAGGGACCGTCCTCAGCATACAGAGTCAAGATGATCGTTGAACAACACTAAGGCCCAGCCTCTCAAACCCCCGCATGATGCTCGTATTAGCATTGCGATGCCAACCAGACCCAGCAACTCCCTTCTAACCAAAACAAGCAAACCGATATCTTCAGATCAACTTGCTAGTCAGCCGTAGCACCTCATTGGCGGACTACCAAATGCCGAGCCGGCAATTGACTCATTTTCCTCTCCTCCTCTCTATCTGAGCATTTATGCCTCGCAGCAGATAATCGAGTTGTGTTCTCGTTGCAGCGGTAGAGGCTCTCATCTATGCATTGACCAATTGACCAACCTCGATACATCATGATGTCAAAGAGGATGAACATATGTCACAGAAAGGGGACGAGCTAAGAGAGTGGGTGAGACTAGAATATGTAATCGACGCCATTAGTAGAGAAGAGCATTATGGAGGAGACGGGATCTTATAAGCTTAAAATGGAGCGGGATTAGGGCATGGATCGGATGCAACCTGCTTTTCCTGGACAAGAGTCAATTATGTTGTTCATCATCCAGAAGATTCAAACTTATCATTTACTGCTACTTGAAGGACTCATCTTAATACTTGCCCTGTCTTGAGGGGTTTCTTGTTCACGGGAGCTGCGATACATATGCTGGCAATCCCCCTCAACCTCCCTTCCAGTCAGCCACTCAAGATAACAGAGTCAGCCACCAATATCAAGGAGGAGTTAATACATAGGTGAATACGAGTTAATCATCTGCGAGATTCGTCATGACGCAGATACGAGCATCGATACCATCATTACCTTTGCCCGCCAGCAATCGACCACGAATCCGTGATCTCGGCTACAGCCCCGGCAGGTTCACACCAGGACCCCAAAACTCCATTCTTGACGTACCAGGTAATTCCAGTCCCTCCGATGCTTCTCAAATCCATGCAAATGTTCATCTGCTCGTCTAGGAGTTCAAGTTGGCCAGGTTACGGTTCATGAAGGCGCCAACATCCACACGGGGTTGACCGTCATCTTGCCTCGCGGTGTAAAAGACACTCGACTGAAGCCTTGCTATGCGGCAACCCACGATCTCAACGGGATGGGCGAATTGACAGGTTGCCATGCCCTTGCTGAGTACGGCTACATCAACACAGTGAGCGCCCTACCTATACATACCATAATACATTCATTCATACCATCCATCATGTGCAAGCAGTCTCACTAACAGGTCACAACGCCTTAGCCAGTCGCCATCACAAACACGCTCAGCGTGGGCAAAGTCTACGATGGCCTCTTCCTATGGCAAATGGAGCAGGCACGCAAAAACGGCGAAGACGACATTGAAAGCCTACGCCGATTCTCCATCCCTGTCGTCGGAGAGACCTACGACGGCCTCCTCAACGACATCAGCGCCTCCGTAATAGACAAAGCCTCCGTCTACGCCGCCATTGAAGCCGCCCAGACGCAGACAGAGGTCCTGGAGGGCAACTACGGCGGCGGCACGGCCATGCGCTGCCATGGATATAAGGGCGGAACGGGCACCAGCTCGCGCATTGTCCCTGGTGCGGATCGTGACTACGCACTTGGCGTCTTGGTGCAGGCAAACCATGGTCAGAAGCCTGATCTGAGGATTGGCAACGTGCCTGTTGGCGAGCTTTTGATGGCGGAGGAAGCAGAGGCTAGGGGAGAGGCTGCAAGGGCAGACAAAGGCTTGCCCATTGGCGGCAAGGCAGCTGAAGGCAGTAGGTTGCCCCTGAACCGACGGTCGCACAAGCTACAATGAAATATGGCTGACAGCTGGTGTAGGCATCATAGTGATCATCATGTACGTATTGTTACATTCTGCTTAACGTGAACTTACCACAATGTTGACCTCGTGTTGCAGAACGGACGCCCCTTTATTGCCTCATCAACTGCGACGTCTCGCACAGCACGCCGGCATGGGCATCACTCAGGTCAGAAGAAGACGCTCCATTGCCACAATCTTCCGTGTGTTGCTCACTTTTGTCGTCCGTCTTGCAGGTAGGAGGCCACTCGGCAGGGCGAAACTTTTCTGGAGAGATATTCCTTGCCCTATCGACAGGGACGTCGCCAAACCAACTCGCGACTTCGTCCGACGGTTTTGCATATCTGCCACCGCTGGAAACTCAGCCCGTCGAGACTCTAAAGAACGAAACAATAGACTCCCTCTTCTACGCGGTGTCAGAGACAACGGAGGAAGCCATCTTGAACGCCATGTGCAAGGCAGAGACTCTGGTGGGCTTCAAGGGTAGGACTACGACCGCTCTGCCGGTTGACAGAGTGCAAGAGTTGCTCAACAAATACGGAGTTGGCTTGAGAAAGTAATTATAGTTGCAATTTCTTAAGATTTGCCCTCCATGTTCAAAAGCAAATTTTCCGATATACAACTAATCCACCACCCCCTGAGGTAGGATAGACACATAGTCTATCGCCGCCTGCTCCTGAGCATTGCCCGTCCCCCTGATGGTCAGCTTATCTCCTCTCGAGATCCTTACCCCCTCAAACGTGATACGGATCGCCGAATGGCAGTCTAGAAACGTGCTGAAGTCGTGCCCAAGATGAGTTTCCGAGTCGCCCTTCCACTTGCCGAGCGACTTGCCATTCAGCAGCACATCGTAGCTGGCGGTCCCATTGATCACGTCGTAGTAATTGACAGCAACCGTATACTTTCCGCTCGGGACGTTCAGCCTCGTCGTGGCCGTGCCTGTACCGTTGGTCGCAATCGCCTTGTACTTGGACGCGCACTCGGTAGGAGAGACATTGACGACCGTGAAGCCCGAGAGGTCCATGTCTTCGGCTTCGATCCGATGCGGATGGTTCCGGACGCGGTTGAGCTGGTCCGGAATGCTCGACAGGTTTCGATAAAACTCGGTAATGGCATCACGCCAAACGAGCGAGTGGCCAGTCTGGTACTGCAGCTTGTACAACACGGCGTTGTATCTCTCGGTGTCAATCTTGCTTTTGAGCGACTTCCACGCCGCCGGGAACCTTTGCACCGTCGCAGCACCGGTATAGTGAGCGTCGTAGAAATGTTGGATGACGGACTTGCCAGAGTGCAGCCTAAAGGTATACGGAACGTGATGGAACCACAGCATCAAGTCGTCAGGGGTGGTTTGAGTATGCTCAAACCTGGCGGCAACTTCCTTGGGATACTGCCCGGCATTGCCTGTGCCGTTCGAAACAGTGCGATCCATGCCAATGGTCTTGCTGTCGGCACGAGTCCACTGGCCCCAGCCGTTGTTGTCCTGAGAGGCGGGATTGGCACCGTAGTGAGTGTAGAGGATGTCGGTCAGGGTCTGGATGCCGAGGTTGCCGCTGTATCCTTCATACGCAGGCCATGACTTGAGAGACATGTCGGCAATGGTCGAAACGACGTCTCGATCCAGTCCAAACGTCAGACGCGTCCACTCCTCGACAATGTCTCGGGAGTCTGCTCGGGGGTTCCAGGCAAGTCGTCCATACGCAAACATGTTGGACATGGCGAGGTGACTGCCTAGCCACGTATCGTCCATGCCGACATTGATGACTCCAGCGTATCCGCCGAGCTTGTGGCCAAACACCTCACCGGAGATAATATCACGAACATACGACTGGCGGTTGTTGTAGCGCATGTCGAAGCCCAGTACCGTCTGCCACAGCGGCGGCAGATAGACCAGGTGCGACTGCTGGCCGAGATACTCCTGTGTGACTTCCAGCTCGATGGACACGGCCGTCTTGGGCAAGTTGGCAAATAGGGGAGACGCAGGCTCTCGGACCTGGAAGTCAATGGGGCCGTACTTGATCTGGACGAGGACGTTGTCGTCAAACTGGCCGTCCAGACTCTTGAAGAAGTCGACGGCGGCATTCGCTCGGTCAGCCTTCCAGTCCGTCTCGTTGAGCTGGTCGTAGACAAACGCCCGGAAGACGACTATGCCGCCGTGAGGCTGCACGGCCTTTGCAAAAAGGTTGGCCCCCTCTGCCAGCGTGCGGTTGTACGTCAGGGGCCCGGGCTGGCCCTCGGAATTGGCCTTGACCAGGTAGCCGGCGAGATCAGGCACGAGCTGGTAGATCCTATCCGTCTTGTCCGTCCACCACTTGATAACGGAGTCGTCAAGGGGATCAAACGTGGACAGATCTCCGAGAACCTGCGGCGAGGCAAAGTTGAGCGAGATGCCGACGTTGACGCCCCACGGCCGGAACAGATCGGCAATTCTCTTGAGGCCTTGGAGATTTGTCTCGTTGAGGAGATTGGCATCGGCATTAACGTTGTTGATGACGATGCCGTTGAGGCCCACCGAAGCCAGCAGACGGCCATAGAGGGGAACTCGCGAGAGGTCCTCCTTGATGAGTCCATTCTCGAAGAAGATGGACGGCCCTCCATAGCCCCTTTCAATGCTTCCGTGGGCCGCAGTCGCCGCATTGAGGTTGTCCCACTGGTTGGACCATCGAACAGGCGCGCTTGGGTTCGACGCAAACGCCTTTCCTGAAAAGTCGCCCTGGCCGAGGTAAGACAGATATTGAAAGGCGCCGTAGAGAGCGCCTCGTTCGTTCTGGCCAATGATCTGGACCGACCCGCCCTTGGTGCTCAGCCAGTATCCGTCTTCCTTGAGGTTCAGTTTCGGAGAGAGCTTGCCACAGGCAGACTGGTACGTGTCTAGAGTAGAAATGACGATGCTCTTCTGGGTCGAACAATGCTTCCCTCCCCTGGAGCTTACATCCAGATCTAGACCCAGAATGCCCTTGATGCCCTTGTGGAGCTCTGACGAAGCGCTCGCCAGAGGCCCGTTCTTGGAGGCGTTGAGGACGACGATGCGGTCCGGAAAGGACGTGAGATGCCCTCTTGTCGCAGATGATGGAAGACGAGCATATCGCAACCAGGCGTCGATGCCGCTTTCAGCAAAGACGGGCACAATGGCCGCCAGCAGCAGAAGAAGAAGACTGCGTATCACCATGACTGCGCTGCTTGTGGCTCGAGGCAGGATAATAGAGCCGTTGAAGTGAAGTCAAGGAGGGCATGGTCATCCGTTATATACATGTTACATCATTAAGGGGTGAAAACACCGCTTCGACTCAACTATGCCATTGGAACACTGCATCATCTCATGGCCGAGCCGGTACAAACGGGTTCATGTCGTCAAGTAGCAGGTTGCTTCTGCCACTGCCGACCAGGGGCAGAAGCCTTTAGCCTAAAGTGTGGGCAAGCAAGGTCCGCCTGGAGATGCTGGATGCAGCTTGGAGACTTTGAGGGGCTGGAGATGAGGAGATCGGCAGCGATTCTTGGCCGTTGCACGTTGTGCCGATGGGTAAAGAAAGCTCTGGGTAATAACTGGGAACTTGTTGTTTTCCTAACGTCTGTTATAGAGTTGTCGGAAGGAGTTTTACCCATGCTTAAGGCTCTATCTACCGCTGCTCTCCTTTCGATGATGGAACCAAGGCATGCAAAAACAAAGTACGCACAACTCCAAGGCATGACCTTCGAGTGTCTCCGTGCTGCCTCCCACATGGTTCCCCATACTCTGGCCTCTCCCCACATTCACAGGCACAGTGGCATCTGCCGGAGTGCTGCTGCTACCCCACAGACTTGCGGAGAAGCTATTCCGAATGTTGAACCCATGAACCGCTTGCACAGCGGATTTCGATGAGGGGCTCCGGCAAAAAGGGCCTGGCATTCGGCTTGTTCAGACAACCAGCGGATCTTTGCTTGGGTTTGGCTTATATATCATCGAGTATCACAGTATCTAGAGCCTTGACAGCTAAGGAGAGATGCCCTTCCCCGAGCCCGCATACCCTTGGATTCGACAATGCTTCCTCCAATAGGAAAAATTCCTCATTCACCATATTCATCAAGATCTTCATCCCCGCAAACAGCTCTGTTACCCCAGGCCCAGTGGGCCGGCATCCGTCAACTGAGGGTTCAGGCTAAATATGTCAACGTGATGAAGACATTCACCTGGTGGAGCAAGCTCTGCTCCCCGAAGTCGCATGCTGTATGGAACGGGCCGTTTTAGCTATACGTGCTTCATGCAGAGCAAAACCTCACTGCTGTCTTACTTTTTCCTCCCCGCGATTTTGTTTCATCGAAGTGACTAGCTTGCAAGGCTCGTAGCATAGCAACCTCCCATCTCATGAGACATGTCCGGCACAAGTTCCGAGAGCTGAGACTGCAACCTCAGCTTTGAATCTCAACCCGGGTACCGCCAATATTGCAGATAGGTGGGCTTGAGTGTTGGATATTCACTTTAGCTGCCGTGATGTTGCCCAGAACCTGTTTCTGTTTCTGTATCAAATGTCCTCGATTGTTTAAGGGACGCCATGTATCCGTCATCGTGCATCTATAAAGTACAGCTACTCTTGGCTTCTCCCACCTTACACGGAGCTCCTTCACAAGATCTTGCCTGATACACATTACATAGACAGGCAAACCTCTGCGGGACTGTGTGAGGTATATCACAGGGTAAGTTTTTACTCTCCTCGAAACATTGAGCATATTACTCGATCACTCAAAGCCCCTTGGTTGGCTGAGACTCCGACTACCCGCCATCGAAGGCTCATGTTTTCTTTGCCCGAGAGAGCCCAGTCAATCGTATTGCCTTGGACTCCATCACGCCTTGTATAAGAGAATTTTTGTCAGGCTATTTCATAGGTTGAACGACAGACACAACGTACGATTGATTAGTTACCAGGTCCATACAAGTTAGGCTCGTACCTTATCCGTAGAAGATCGAGGTGGTGTACATCCGGTTGACAGCTAAGAACCACACACGGTTTATCACGCTCTAAGTGATACATCATTGTTGGTCCGTTCTCGTCTACACTGAGCTGCAGATGTTCGGTTGATAGGATTTGACATGCGTGTATGAGGGTCTGAGCCCCTGACCCAGCTTCATGTCACAATGGCTCTGTAAGACTCGTTGGATCAGGAACGTTTGCCAAGATGCTACCATCTTGGCTAGGTAGACAAAGAATTGCCAGGCTGTCCACGTGTCCCTTGTTAGCAACTGTTGACAACTATCTCACCACATCAGTTGCGCATCTTGCCAGTATTCTACCAGCAAATCTGTAGATACCACCTTCAAGGACACCATGCTGACCATCGAAGAAGCAGTGTCGGCTCGTTTCGTCGAGTGCTTCCAGCCCTTGGATGCCATCTCGACGATGCGTAACCGCATTCCTAGCATTCTTGCTCGGCAGCCTGTCCAATCTGAAGCTCGTGGTGGCCACCGGCAGGCAATTCAGAACTATTTGACCTTGCTGCTCGGCAGCCAAGAACCTTCGCCGCCGCCGCCGCCCCGGAACTGGCCCAGACGGACCAGCGGCACAATGTCAAGCCCAGGCCCAACATCAAAGAAAGGGGTCGCACATCCAACCACAACGACATGCCCAGAGTCTCATCATGCCACTCGCTCGCAACGTCGCTGTCGATTGGCCACAGCGTAACTGACCAACAGTTGGGTTCACCTCGCGTGGCACTCAAGGTTTAATGGCTCGGGACCCCCTTTCTTCATAGTCGATCAATGAAGGTTCTTGTGGCCAAACCTAACGAAAACTCTACCCTCGTGGTCGTCTTAGTGGCTTTGAAGACGATATTCTAGGAATAGTTCCAGCATCTACACCTCTCGCGCTATGCTGTACATTCATTGAGCTTCCGATGTTTAACTAAACGTGTGAAAGGCCGTACGTTTGTCACTGGGAAACGTCTCTTTCCATAGAGCAATCGTGCGCTGTATACCGTAGGCAGGTTGGTTGGTAAGTCGGCCAGTCAGAACAAGTCGGACATGTCGGCCTATTTGGAAAGGGAGATTTACGTATCGGTCGATTGGCGGGTGTGCCGGATATACATATTGCAACATTAAAATCCTACAGAGGCGCCGAATCCTGGAATGCAGTGAAATTAGAGAATCCTACCATACAAAGGCGCAGAACCCGGGAATACCACCAAGGGTTGGACCAACGCCCAACGGTTGGTCATCACGAGGCACAGAACCAACGCCAAACTGTTTGTCACGAAAGGCAAATAAAAGGGGTAACTGCTCGTGCATGTAGGTCCTTTGTTCCTTAGGTATATACTTATAAGCCCTCTTTTCCCGGTAGTATTCCTTTCCTTTCTTCTTGCTATATCGTAGTGGTCGACGTTCTTTTTTTTTTTTTTTTGCTTTTTTCTATTTCAACTTCCCTTGACTACATACTCATGACAGTCGCTCATTATCTATAACCAAATACGTTCTTTTACCCCACGACAACGACGATGAAAGCTCCGACCATCGCCCTCCTGGCGGCCCTTGGAGGCTTTCAAGCAGCAGTTGCTCAACGCATCGGCAGCTCAGGGGTGTGGGTTGATGCGGCAACATGCGACCCTTGGGCAAAGTCCCATGGCTTCCCGGCCGCTGCTGGCCCTGGTGGCCTCCTCACCACTGCTCTCGGCATCCTTGATAGCACGTCAATGTCAATCTTGTATCGCATGTACCACCCTACCACCCAGTCGCAGAAGTCACTCCCTGCCAACGTTCTTGCTTGGGAAAGGTACCGACTGAATTCGACCTACGACGCTCTCTACGGCAACAACACAGATACCAAAACTGGGGAAGTGGGCGTTTGGGACGTGGTTAGTAAGTCATACAGCTGGTTCAGCAGGCGGCCATCATCACCAACTGACAAGTTACCATAAAGAATCTGTCTGGGGAGTCCATTTCCAATGGGGGAAGCCCATGGACGAGGAGCCGTACATCTTTCTCGTCTGCGATGATGCCCCGTATCTCCACAAGACCAACAACGGCACTTTCATCTACAGTGAGTGTTCAACGGTCCGATAGAGCCATCGACGGCATTACTGACTTGGCCTCAGCGGACCCTTACCGCCATGCCAGCATGGAAATCAGCACCGAGACTTGGCAGATAGAGAAGTTCATCGGCCCATGCGCTACAAACGGCCAGTCGTCATACGACATCCAGAACAATAACAATTGGAGTCAAAACCTTGTCCTCTGCACGAAGAACATGGATCTGCCATTGGGCTTGACAAGCAAGGGACCGAATGCCTTTGCTAGTGGCACGACCATCGATGTAGCCGGCAGGAGTTGGCTCGGCGCCCTTTGGTCGCAGGCGTTGTGGTCTGGCGGCGCCGTCTCGAGTAAGTCACCAACCTCCTTGCAAGTTATTTAGGGGCTTCTGCTAACATGAAGTCTTTGCTTGTGTAGGTCCTAGAATACATGGATTTGCTGCGTCGCACGCCATAAGGAACACGAAGTCTTCGCTGTGGAATGCCGACAGTGGCAAGTTTTATGCCTTTTCCTTCATGCTTGACGGTCTGTTCTGGGGATCGGGCGTCGGCCGGACGTCACAGCAGGAGTATGCCAACCTCCAGAAGACAGCCGCTGGCAAGAAGATCATTGCTGCCTTTGGTCTCACTAATATCGCGGTGCCAGCGAGGGGCATCAATTGGGTATCTGGATGGGAGCCGCCCAGCATGTGGTCCAACCCGTCCGAGGTCCCTGATTACATGGGGGCAATCCCGACATCCTGATTCCTTCATGTGACAATCCGTTACATAGTGGTGTTACACCTTGACACATATCAGTCGTGACAGGTGCCTTCATCCTCGCACACACTCTTATAACTAGCTTAGTTTCTTCATCTCTCATTCATCCAGTTATACATATACTTTATTATTATCTATGACATTTAAGTCTGCTGCTATTATTGTATGTTTTGTCCGTTAATCATATGACATTTTCCAGCCAGAGAATGGAATCTTTGAAGGTGGAGTTTACTTTCATATTCCGCTGTCCAAAACCTACAAGGATTTGTTCTTAGTCTGACGGAATTAGGTCTCTCGGAACAACGTTTATATATTGCAGGCCGTCAGAGTCAGGCCATGTAGATTATCAACTCAGCATGGAGGATAAGGAGGCATTGATTATAGACAGATTTGTATGCCCAGCAACCACAGCTACAATACAACAACTCCCACTATGTCAGCAACCTCCTGGTGCGGTTTTCTTGGGTGTCGACCATGGCTCTGCGCACGACGAGAATGCCATTGCCAGAGTTGCTCCATGAACTCGAAGAATACAACGCCTCTTCAAGGGTTCCGGCATGCCGCTCCATCGAAGAAGATGCTGGTACTGTAAGACAAGTGAAACACCAGGCACCTACCTCGATATGTACTTGGCCGTGCATGTAATCTGCCATTATTCGTCACACATCAGAACGGGTCAGATACCATGACTAGCGTACACATGGCTGTCAATGAAATACATGAGATGCAAATATTCCCAGAGTGTGCCAGTGAGCTCCAGGCTGCCATGCACCCCGTAGAAGTCTCAAGGTGTCAGACCTGAAGTCCCTTGGTATGGACGGAACGGGCCGGGCCGGGCCGGCCGGGCTAGACTTCCGGGATCTCCGCGCTTCGAGGCGGAGTGTCTGGAGGTTCAGCAAAGATGGTACGGATGTCAGGTAACGTATACGCACTTTCAATGGTGTCTGATAGGAGGTTTTTTTTGGTCTATGTCATGTTAAATCTCTGATTTGGCAATGCCTGGTGATATGGGAGCATGTATCCGCAGAGCTAATGTGTACTGTAACGCTTCGTCTCACCATCTGGACACATGAGGATGAAGATGATACGCCTCGTCAAAGGAGAAAACACCAACGCTGTGAAGCATGGGCGTTCCCAGGAATAACCAGCGCTGCAGCCACATTTTGCACTTGATGTGGCAAGGCTGTAGCCTCGTCCGCCGCGTTCTCCAGGAGCAGTCACTCCGCAACGCGCAGAAAGATGAACAGGAGCAGAAATAGCTAGAGACGGAGACGAAGGAGAACAAGAAGATGGCAGAGCCGTCAAGCAAGCGGGAAAAGCAGATACACGACGACAGTCAAAACGCCTCTAGATTGATGCCTGTTGTAAATGTTACTTAGTCATATGTGAGCCATCTCATTCTCCTTTGATCTGTCGACTCTAGAGTTACAGTCACATGTGAGGATGCCCAATAATATGACCCCCTGCTGCCTCACGTCCCGATTTGGCCCCCAATCGAGCGGAGGTTCAGCCTACCCCCCACACGTAACATCCATCCATACATGCACTCAGATGATAAGAGACGGACAATAACATGACCAGCATTGCTCGGAGAGCTGGGCCAGATTGGCCCCCCACGGCATGCAGCTCGTTCTGGGTGATGTACAGGATCAATACGTGTAGGCATCCTATATGCTAGCCTCCTTGTACGCCGGTAGTGAAGAGACGATCAAACACATCAAGCCAACGCATCACTTGGTGGGTTTACCAATCATACTCATGCATGATACCATTATGAACGAATGATAGGAAACGTCTTGCAAAGCATCACGTGTACTCCTATACACCAAGTGCACTTCAGAGCATCTCTTCTCTTACCGGCGTGATTCTGAGACAGGACGTCTCTGATAGGCTCGCAGCGTGCATACACGCCTGCATGTTGTGCTCGACTATATCTTCCCCGCCTCTTTCAGCTGAGGTCCCAGCCTCTCTTTTCTTTCGTTCTCAACATCTCTCGTTTCCAAAGTCCAGGCTATAGCATAGCAATCTCTTCCTGCTTTGCTCATTGTGGCCTAATATATGAACATAGCACACATTCAATCTCTATCCCGAGGAACTAGATCGATCTAGTCTCGCGGCTCCTCCAACTCCGCCACCCATCATGGACAGTAAACTATTGGGTCTACGACGCCGAAACAGGAGGAGGGACATGTTCACAAGAGTCTCTGAAGCGCCCAAGTATGTCGAGCACGTCAGGGTATCCCCGCAATGCGGTCTCTGTCTACAGAGACTACTCGACAAGGAACCAACAGTAATACGTATGTCACCACCAGCCTCCAGACTTGGGGGGAGAGGGCATTATCTACGCTCTGTACACCCAAGCCTTATGCTGCCCGTCATATACATTCGCTGACAGAATCTGTACAGTCTATGGAGAAGATGATACATACAAGGGCCACCTCCGGCCATTTCTATTCCCCTTCATGTGGTCTGCCCACCGCCAGTCGGAAGACTACTTGATCTGTCGAACAAATGACTGCTCTTGCACGCCCGCATCCGAATACACGGCGTTACACCGCGAATGCTACAAGATGTTCCTCAGGTTCTGCGAGCTCAGGGCAATACGCAAGAAGCGTGCCCAGCAAGCCCTGTGGATATGCGCAGCATGGAAGAGTCCGTGGCCCGGAACCCTTCCGATGCAGGCATCGCACGCCCCAGCAGATACGCAAAGCCTGCAGCTGGCCGGTCGACTGATTGGGATCCCTTTCCTGCATCGACTGCCTCAAGAGCTGCTGCTTGCCGTTTGGGCGGGCTCCAAAAACTCCTTATTCTGGAGATGCGTGGCTGCAATCCGGCTGGTGGCCCAGCTTGAGGCCAGTTCTCCAGAGTTGCAAGTCGTGCCGTTGGATCAGGTGCTCTCCTGGAACCGTGGCGGCGAGTTGGAGTCTGCTCCAGTGTCTGCAGCCTACCCAATCACCAGACTCACAGTTGATCAAGAAGGCATCGTCAAGGTGGAACGGCTCCGCTGCATGCCTCGTTATACAGCAGAGTATCATAGCCACTCCACCTTTATCGTCGAGGACGGCTCATCACTGTGTGGCATTGAAGCACAGCTGCAGGTATTTTGATTCTGCCCGATCAAGATGCATGTTACAGCGCAATCAGCTGACAGGTTCTCCAGAACGGACGGCTGCGTCTCCGGCTCACGCCGTTCCAGCTCACACGCCCTTACATATGGAACACTCCAGCTCCGCCTCAGCTGTCGCTCTGCAGGGCCCTTGTCCCCGGCCCGTTCGACTCGCGGCGCTTTCAAGTCGTGGACACGCAGAAGATTCAAGGCATCACCTTCTTCTTCCTCAGGCACAGCATGTACTATATCCACATCCACCACTCGGCCAAGTGCAGTGCGTTTTCCGTGTACGAGCGGTTTTCTCACTCGATGCGTGAGGAGGCCGTGTGGATTTACCTTCCCCTTCCGAGCACAGACAGGATGCTCGTGTTGGGGACTCGCTTCCTCCGCGAGGGCGTGTTCAACCTCCTCGTCCGGATGGAGAAGGCCGGGGACGTCTTCATCGGACAGAATCGCTTCTTCAGAGAAGGCGGCATCGTGGGCAAGACCGACGCCGACAGGAACAACCTCCCGCATCTGTACTCGGATCAATGCCTGAGCGCAAACGGCAGCCCGGTGACTCTTGTGTATGGCGAACCGAAGGAAGGATTCACAATCCCCCTGATTGGCAGCTACTGCGCATCTCCGACGCAGCAACCCCCCAAGCCGTTTGGTCTCGAGAAGCCAACCGCGCCCCTTGGCGGCCATGGATACTATTCCCGAGCGCCGTTGAGCCACGTCGCGAGGGCCACGACCTTCCTCGACCCGGAGCATGGCGTCTGCCGGGGCATCCTCCTGCACTATGAGAACGGCGGATGCAGAGCCGTCGGACAATGCCGCGTCAACGTGGATCCCACGAAGACGTTCGACGCCCCGACCTGGATCTATATGCGGAACGAATCCGCTTGTAGCTTTCACTCGTCAGCCACCAGAGTCAGGATCAAGTTTCGGCGGAATGCTCCGCAGGACGAGCCTGGCAATGGCTGGCAGCGCCATCCGATGAGAGGCTTCATCGAGTACTATGTTCACGAGCGAGGTGTGATGGTTCTGCTTACCTCCAGGTTCCACGGGGATCTTGTTCGCCCCATGGAAGTGGTCATGGACATGGGCTCCGAGGGCTTGAAGCAAGTCACTGTTTGAGTATGCTATTGGAGAGGCGAGTTCCGAGCAGCTTGAAGCACGAGGGGACGAGGATGAAGAAGTCAAAACAGGCGAGGTACGATGATGATCAGAGAACAACCAGATTGTGCATGTAGAATAGAGTGGCCACGGTGATAGTCATCAAATGAGAAGCCGAATATCTTGAGGCGGCGATGAATGACGGGTTATGATAGAATATACTGTAGATGATGTTATATAAAGTAGGTACAAAGTGCTTCGCCTTGACGATGCTGTAGGCAAAGTACCCCGGCAGTTGCTCCAAGCTTAAGGTAGGTAGCTGCCGATAAGATTAACGATAGTCGCGATAAGCTTCCCCGTCACATGTATTCCAGCTTCATCCTCTCCAACTACTACTACTTCACCTCTCCATACCTACCTCTTCATATAAATCACTACGACCAACTCGTCACATCACTCAAATCATCGTCGCGCCTCATCTCATCTTCTACCGGCCACCGCAAATCTTCCTCCTCTCAACACACGATCCGCCTCCCACCATGGCGCTCTCCCCCGTCGTGACGACCACCACCTCCTCCTCCGCCCCTTCAAACCAGACGCTCCCCAATCCGCAGACATTACGAACCGCCTCCTCGCCCCTCAAGAACCTCGCTTCCGGCTCCGGCCAGACCTCGACCGATGGAACCCCGAAACCCGCCCTCGCGCCAGCCTCCTCAGCAGCACCAGCGCCGCCAACATCAACAACAACAACAACAAACCAACCGCTGGCCCCGACGCTGGACCTCGCCGAGCAGATGAACGAGGAGGAGAAGCGCAAGTACGTCAAGGGCAAGAAGCTCGGCGAGGGAACCTACGCCGTCGTCTTCCTCGGCCACCTGCGCTCCAGCCCGTCGACGCGCGTCGCCATCAAGAAGATCAAGGTGCAGAAGGAATACACCGAGGGCATGGCGCCGGACGCGGTGCGCGAGCTCAAGCACCTGCAGGAGCTGCAGCACCCCAACATCATCTCGCTGCTCTCCGTCTTCTCCTCCAAGGACCAGAACCTCAACCTGGTGCTCGAGTACCTGCCGCTGGGCGACCTGGAGATGCTCATCCGCGACACGGACAATGTCCGCTACGGCGCCGCCGACATCAAGGCCTGGATGGGCATGCTGACGCGCGCCGTCTGGTTCTGCCACGAGAACTTTGTGCTGCACCGCGACATCAAGCCCAACAACCTGCTCATCGCCGCCGACGGCGAGGTCAAGCTGGCCGACTTCGGCCTCGCCCGCAGCTTCGCCGACCCCCATCGCCACATGACGTCCAACGTCATCACGCGCTGGTACCGCCCGCCCGAGCTCCTCTTCGGCGCCCGCTACTACTCGGGCGCCGTCGACATCTGGTCCGTCGGCACCGTCTTCGCCGAGCTCGTCCTGCGCGCCCCCTACATGCCCGGCAACAACGAGCTGGACCAGATCAAGCTCATCTGCGAGTCCATCGGCACCCCGACCGAGGACAACTGGCCCGGCGTCACCCGCCTGCCCGAGTACACCGTCCCCGGCCAGCACCCCACGCGCGGCAGGGACTGGTACGAGATGCGCTTTGGCATCGTCGGCACCGACGGCGTCGACCTGCTCATCCGCACCCTCGCCCTCAACCCGCAGAAGCGCATCACCGCCCGCGAGATGCTGCAGCACCGCTGGTGGCACTCCGAGCCCAAGCCCACCCGCAAGGACGACCTGCCCCGCAAGGACGCCGGCGCCGGCGAGGACAAGATGGGCGGCGACCTGAAGCGCCGTCCCGGCGTCGTGGCCGACGATGACAGGGGCGCCAAGGTGGCTCGCAAGCTGGACTTTGGGCAGCGGTAGAACATCTTGATCTTTCCACGGAAGGCTCCTTGTTGCTTGGCTGCTCACACAATCGTCTTTCTACTTCTTCCCACTCCTGTTTCCACCAAAGATTATTACCTCCTTTTTTACCTCCTTTTGTTTTCCTTGTTTAATTTATCAAGGAAACAAAAGAGGCGTCTATTGCTTTTCCTAAACGGGGCGAACTGTACATTTCTACCACATCTACCGCCAAGTTTTTACTTTGAGACCAAACTCCACGGCCCATTGATTCAAGGGCGAAATACATAAGTAGTATATACTCAGCATATCACGGCTTGCTTTTGCATCTTCATCATCTCGCTGTACATACATGCAAAGACAGTGTATATATATATAACATAAATAGAATCTCTATCCACGTCATTGTGCCATCCAGACACGCTTCTGATCCAATACTCGCCCCTTTCCAAAACAGCAAACCCCTCTCGACCCCCATCCTCCTCTTGTTCCTCCCATCGTGGTAAACAACATATTCATTTCTTATCGTGGCTCACATTATTCGTCAACTCATTCATGAGGATTCCGTCATCCAGTCTTGACAAACCCATCCCTGCCCCCCTCCCTTTCACATGACCACGCAATCCATCCCGTACATGGCCCTCTCGACGCTCCTCCTCACCTGATACCAGTCCGCCCTCCGCTGCGCATACTCGTACACCTCCTCGGCACGGAACACGCCGCCAAAGCGGTCGCCGTCCGCAATGACCGTCGCCATCTCCTTGGCGTGGCCCGGGTCGATGAGGTAAATCTGGCTCAGCTCGCGCAGCGCCCCAAAGTACGGCAGCACGTCCTGGTTCCGCAGCGACCGCACGTAGTCCGAGTACAGGTTCATGTCGGCAATGAGCTTGACGGCGCCGTCGGTGCTGATGCGCTGCCGCTTGAGGTGCTTGCATATCGCCGTGAAGAGCCGCTGGCCGACCTCGCCGTTGAAGACGTCGAGCATCGACTTCTCCGTCGTGCCCACCAGCATGTTGGTGTGAGATCTGACAAGCTCCACGATGCGGCGAGCCGTCTGCGTCGGCCCAATGTCCAGTTCCGCCATGGACCCAACCGTTGCGCGTTTCGATAGTCGGTTGTTCGCATCATCTCCGGGGGTGCGAGGGGTAGGGTTATAGTCCGTGGGCAGCTGCAGGGTTCCCTGCAGATACTCAACCTCGTCCATGAGCACGTCGATGCCCTTGTTCAGGCCCGCCGCCACACTCTCGTCCAGCATCTGCTCAAACTTCTTCTTGGCCAGGCCAGCAGGGTCCAGGAAGTCGTTCTTGTCCGAAATCTTGGGCGTTACGAGCTGCTGCTCGTAAAAGACGTCAATCATCTGAGATATCAGGTCGCCAACGTTGACGAGTTCAATAAACATGACCAGCGGCGCCACTCCCTTTTGGTCGTGGTCGCTGACTTCTCTCGGGTTGTAATGAGACAGATGGTCCACGGCCATGTCGAATCCCAGCTTCACGTGCCTCTGTCCGAGGATACGAACGAGCGCAATGAAAATGTTAGCGCATTGCTCTCGAGCTTCTCCACCAACCTGCCCGCCCAGGGGAATGAGCACCGAGGCACGCCCAAGGCTGCCCTTGGCCTTGTGCACCAAGTCTAGGGCTACCTCGATGCTGAACAGAGACTTGATGCCCTCCAGCTTCGAGGCAATGATGGCCGCCTTGGCCGCAAGCTCATCGGTTGGAGCTTTAGCCCCAGGCATGGGACTGCTGCCCCGTCCCTGGATCTCGTTACCCCCCAGCCCGGGAGTCTGCGGTCGAGAAGTCTGGGGCGTCAACACCGCAGAACCATTTGCAGTCACCGCGGGAGTGGCTGTCGCCTTCGTGGTTGCAAACGGCGAACCAATGGGGAAGTTTGGGAGCACCGTGACGGGCATCATGATGACTTTCTTGAAAGAGCTGAGAAAGTCATTCTTCTCGGCAGAACGATTGATGTTGGACATGTAAAAGGACTCGAGGGACGAGTCTTGTTCGGAAAGCTTCTTCTCCCACTGGGACACCTCGATCTCTGCCTGTTTGGTGAAGTAATCCAGCTCTTCCTGCAGGTACAGATCGAGGTGAGGCTCAAACACTTTCAACGTCAGCTGCTTGGCACGCTCCGTAATATCTTCCTCCTTCGGCCCCTTTGGAGGTGTGAGCGATTCAAAGAACCTCAGTGTCTGCTCAAAGATGCCGGAGACAGCCTTGAGGTAGGAGAGAATGCTGCGCTCGTGGGCCTCGTCGAACATGGGAGTCGTGTACTCGGCAATGATATCCTCCGCTACCTTTTCAGCGAGACTCCAGAAGACAATTGCTGGGTTGGGGAAGATTCGTTCCAAGATGCCGGCCTGCTCATTGACCTTGAGGAGCACATGCTCAAAGAAGCGCCGCGATGGCTCCAGCGTCACATCGTCTGTTGGGGCTTGGTTGAGGCAGTCCATGGGGTTATGCATCAGCTCACGATCGTTGAAGAGAGGGTGCTTCTGTATAAAGAGCTCGATGCCAGTTTTGGCCCCGTTGAGCGTGTGCAAAACGTGGGCGTATCGGCGCATCCGCCCATCCACGTCCCAGAACTCGTAGCCTTGCTCAAACTCTCGCAGCACAGCGGCCTCGAAGATGTTCATCATCGTATTCAGCTTCGCATCTCTGACCGCCCAGCCTTCAGCCCAGTCGCTGCCGGCGAACCTGTGCAGGTTGGCCAGCATCTGCGCCTGCTGCTCGGGGTCGATGAAGGCCTTAAAGACAATTGGATCCGTGTGCGACTTGGCCTTGACCAGGTCGAAGTAGAAGGGCGCAAGCGCCTTGTATATCTTGCCGTATTCCTGTCTCGCCCCGCCCCTGATGCTCCTGACACGCTTGAACACGTCGAGATACGCCGCAGGATCCTCGGCAGGATCGCTTGTGCCAATCGCCATGGTCTCGAAGCCATCCCTCAGCTCGGACATGGGCCGCTGCCGGCGCTGCTGCTCGATTGTAGCATCGAATATGGTGGCCGATGAGACTGCGTGGGTTCTGCCAGTGCCATCGGTAGACTGGCCCGCCGTCGCTGCCGCAGCAGCAGCAGCAGCTTCTCGCCTGCGCCGGAGCGACTCCTCGAACCTCTGCCTCGCCTCTCGCTCGTCCCAGCATCCCATGCTCTTCAACCGCGACACCCAGCGAGTGTCATCGTACACCATCTCCTGGAATCGGCGGCAGACACGCGCAGCTCGCATCTGGTCGGCCACGGGCAGGTAGTTGAGGATCGTCACCATGATCTCTGCCAAACACCGCATCCTTTGTCAGCTGCCATTCGAGTCCTTCTCCCCCTCCCAACCAGACAGACAATACAAACAGGCCAAAATGGACTCACCTGCTGGAAGCCTGGCCCGCGCATCCAGCATCTCGGAGGCCTTGAGGGCTCCCAAGATGCTGCCTCGAGCCCGAGGCCCAGAGCCGCCGGGCCGGTACATGGCTGGCGTTTATCGGTGCACCCGTCAATGAGGCGTGCCTGGGCTGTTCATGCAACTGTCCGCGTTACGCACGACACCATCGGCGTGTTGTTTGGCTATGTGGCTTCAGGCGAGGCGAGGCGCATTGTCGTGATGCTCGTGCTTGGAGGCGATAGGGATTCTGCTGTCTGGGGCTTTAGGGAGCGGTAGCTGTAAGGTGAGGTCCAAGTAGGTACGAGTAGTACGAAGCCAGTGCGTCGTCTTGGGGGGAGCTAAACCATCCAATTGCAGGTGGGGGTGAAGTGGCGGGCTGAGATTCACCGAGCTTTTTCTGCAAGTACCTCAACACCAAGATGCCTAGGAAGGATACATGATGTGCTACTAACATGTGGTCCACGAACTGCCCAGCCTCTATAATATCAGTTCTCTACACGCGGTCATAGCAACACACTGAGAAACGCTCCGCATAGAGTACAATGAATCATAATCATTCAAATTGTTGGAACCAATAGAATGAGTCGACAAATCTACTGCTATAAGTGATTAAACCGCCATTTACTCTACGTATAAGTCTTGATAGGTAGCTTTGATATCAGATGCCTTGACGGGGAAGAGTAGACCGAGGGATAATCTGTCGTCAGGGGCCTGAGAAAGCACCTATGAGGTAGTAGGTTAGGTAGACAATAAGAAGAGTCAAAGGGCAAGATATGTAGCATGGTATATATACGCAAATGTCTGCAGCCTTTCTGCACTATTTCAACATTCCAGTAACCAGCGGATGGAAGTGCATGCCTAATGCTATGATGAACATACATATCAGAAATCCGATGCCGAAATGTTCGCTGTGGTGGCCATCTCCCTTTTCTCTAATCCAGAAACGTGAATAGATGGGTATGCAAAACGTTCATAGCCCTCGTGGCGTCGCGGGCGTCAATGACACAAGAGATGTTGATCTCGCTCGCACCTATAAAGCAGAAGGTTCAAAGCATTAGTCTCCTGGTGGAAGCAAAAAAAATAAAACCCCCCTGTTTACTCTCCTGATTTCTCCAACTTACCTTGGGAGATCATCTCAAGATTGATATTATGCTCTCCAAGCGTCGAAAACATGCGTCCGGCAACGCCCACCATGTTCTTCATGTCTGCGCCAACCAAGCTGAGAATGGCCATGTCCGTCAGGATGCTGACATCGCCACACTCCTCCAGGTTGCGCGTGGCCGTCTCAAAGGCCTCGGACCGGATGCCGTCGGCATGAATGGCCAGGGAGACGTGCACCTCACTCGTGGAGATGAGGTCGACGGAGATGGACTGCTTGTCGAGAATCGAAAAGACCCGCGCAAAGAATCCGTGAGAGATGGATCTCTTGTTGGAGTGGACGTTGATGACGCTGATCTGATCCTTGATCGTGACGGCGGTGGGACGCTTGGGGTTCTTGGGGTCTCTGGCGGCCCTTTGCGAGGACCGTGATCGGTGAAGCTTCTCTCCCGGCGACAGAATCGGGTCCGGGATGACCAGCGTGCCGTTTCCGCGCGGGTTCTTGACGTTCTTGATGCGGATGGGGATGGGCGGGTGAGCCCGGATGACCTGGTCCATGGTGAGGTGGTGGATGACCTCGGAGCCGTAAAACGTCAGCTCGGCAGCCTCCGAGGGTGTAATGGACCCCAGCAGCCGCGCCGTGGGCACCTTTGACGGATCGGCCGTGAAGATGCCATCGACCTCTTTCCAGATCTGCAATTCCGTTGCGCTCAGTCCCACCGCGCACAAGGCCGCGCAGAGATCCGTGTAGCCACGGCCAATGTCTCCGTCAATCAGGCTGCCTGGGACGTTTCCAAAGAAGCCCGTGACGACGGGGACCCGATTCTCGCAGGCGGCCAGCTTCTTGACGAATCTGCTCACTGCCAGCTTGTAGAAGCCGGCATCCAGGGACGGAGAAGGGGTGTCGCTGTGCAAGACGTCGGACAGGTCAACGTATTCTGCTTCAACGCCCTGTACACGGTCAACGAAAGAGAATTGAGACAGCGCGTTAGCAATTTATTCCAGTGCATGATTGTTGCCCTTCCGGGCCGTTCTCACATGACGGGAAGGGGAGGGGGGCAAACGCACAGAATCCTGCAGCAACGTGGTCATGAACAGGCAGCTGAGCTTCTCGCCAAAGCTAATGACGCGGTCCTTTGATCTTGAATTGACCTCGAGGTTGAACCTCCTGGTGGCCATGATGTACTCAATCAACTCCTGGCATTCCGCCCTGAGCTTGGAAATGAGGGCCGCTCTCAACTCCGGGTCCTTGACAAACGTCTCGGAGGCGGCGACGTGGTCGTTGCAGACATCTCGAATGAGCCCCGCGGCCTGCTCAATCAGCTCCTGCTGCTTCTCCTCGGAGCTGATGGGGGTGGCAATGTTTTTCAACTTGTTGAAGACAGCCAGTAGCCTAGATGATGAGCACAACAGATGAGAATCCCCGCCGTTGAGAGATGCAATTTTCGAGAGCGGATAAGGCTTACCGACTGGTGGTGCCCTCGGCTTTCTTGCCCGTGCTGCGGGCAGAACAGACGACAACGACTCGGTTATTTGACAAACTGGCTCTGCAGGGAGACGTATGGTGAGTTGACAGCTCAAGCATGGCTTTTATAATGACTCATTTGCGCCTCGTTTCTTTGAGATGGGCTGAGGGTTGATCCCAACAGAGTCGACTAACCTGACAATATCACGAGCAATCTGTCCCAATGCCGCGCCATCAGCACTCAATTCCTCGCATAAAAGAAAGAGAGAGAGATAATTCATTGAATGAATGGCGGGGGGATCAATCGCACTCACCTTGTCTGGAAACTTGCCTACACTGGTGCCACCAAACTTCTGCACCACCCATCCCTTCTCGGACGAATTGTCACATGCTGAGCTGCCCATGGCGATGTGCTGTGAGGATGGATGACTTTCTGCTGCGTAAGAGAGCGATCTCGGAATCGTGGGGGAGGGACGAGTTAAATTCCAGATGGAGTCCGACTACGCAATTCAAGGCCGACGATGGATGCGCTCCACCAGCCGCTGAGCGGTTTCACCCTGGTCCGATTGCCTCAGCTGCCGTCCTTTGTACGCAAGGCTGTCTCCGTCTTGACCAGTTGGGTCGTGATTTGGATTCCTGCTGTTGAAAAGACACAATAGTAAGAATGGTGAGAAAGAAGAGAGAGAAGAAGAAGGGTTGATGGAAACAAGGGCGGGATTGGTTCACAGGGCAAGTGAAGGAAAAAAGCAAGGCTGCAGTTGGCTTGAACGTCGATCGGCAAGGCGACGAACAGGACAGGATGGCTCACCTACTAATAAGTAGGGGCCCGTACGAATATCTACTTGTATAAAGCCGGCGATTCATTGGCCTGTGAGTCTCCGATGAACCGAAGCAGAAAAGAGTCAGAGTCTTTAAGTGGAGGGCCGATTATGGCTCAGAGTCTGATTCATTGGCCCCCCCGGGCTGAGTAGAGGCTCGTGGCGTGCCTGATTCTTATTAGGCCGAACAGCGGCGAATAATGCCACTTCCCCATTTTTTTTTTTTACAATTTCTTCTTCTTTTTTTTTCCAACTTTATTTTCTTTCTTATCTAATAGTACTATCACTTGCTATAATGTAGCATGTGTACTGTACTGGCCGCCTAAAAGTCTGTTGCTGGAACCTTCTCTTTGGGGGTTGAGGCCTAGGGTAGGTCGACAATAGCATATACAATCTGATGAGGCTCAATGCAGGAAGTAAATCGTCGAGTAAACCGTCGAGGTTGACCATTGAGAGACAAGTCCTATGTCTCCAAGGTGCACAGCCCTGCGCTTCTCTCTACAGCCTCTCCTTGTCCAATCAGTTGAAATGACCTAATGGGTGCTCTTGACGTCTCCAGGGTCCAGAATCAGCAGCCGTTGGTTCTACAAACCAATTCATTTGGAGAACTCCAAGGAAAGGGCAGTGGATACACTCCTGGCGAACCGTATCTCATCACCAGAGGCCCTTGATCATCAAAGCCAATGTTCGATACAGTCCTTCGATTAATCTCTCTACCTTATCAGTAGAATATATTGCTCGTCCTCTCACACATCTTTCTCTTTTGCTCAAGAGCTACTGCTCTGAAGATTCCACGCAGAATGTAGCATCCTCTGCCACCTAAGCCAGCCACTAGCTACCGTGATATCAAAAGACAGAGAGAAAGAAGCAGAAAAAGAAAGAGGACAAGCTTGGCCAGAAAAGCACCCATCGCACGGTGCCCGAAACCTCTGCGTCCGGACAAACAAATGCTGAATACGTCGTGCACCCTATCCAGTGATTGCCAACACCCGTCTATTCCAACACGCCCTTTACCATGGTCCTCCTCCTCCCGTTGATGATGGAAACGCAAACTAAAAGACGAATACAACCCGCGAAACGTAGAGCCACCGCAAGGCCTTATATATGGAACAAGAAGAGAAAAAAAAAGATAAGAAAAGAAAGAAACGAAAAGAGCACCTATCCCACCGTTAGAGACCTTTGATATTGGTGGATGTGGGAGTTTTCATCTAGTCCAGATGTCGTGTCGTCGTCCAATCGTCCGATCATCACAGTGATTAATCCGTCTCCTATAGCAGCAAGTTCTCCTTGGCCGGGCCGATCCCATCTCACCGCCGACCAGAGCAGCCCATCGCTTAATCATACCCATCGCTCTCCGCTTCTCTCCTCTTCTAGGCATATGCCCAGACGAAGGCGGAATCTATCGCATCCTCGCAGCTGATAACGGACAGTCTTCATATGCTTGCGCCTGCTGTCAGCTCCATCCCCTGGCTTTCTGTTCCGGCAAAAGTAAACTTGTCCATAGGAAAATCTTCCTCGGGCGTCCGGATTCCTATGCCGCTATCATCGTGAGAATCGGTAGTCATCGGCGCCGGGTTGGTGCTGCTCGGCGGTGGAAACGGCGCCCGGCCCGGCTGCGTGTGCGATACATTGACATCATCGCTGGCGCTGCTGTACCGGGAGACCTGTCTGCTCGTTGCTTTGCTAGGGGCCTGGGACTGGCGCTCTGCAGCCGGCAGAGGTGCTCTGGCACCTTCTCTCATGAACCCGCCTTGCTCGGCCAGGAAGCAAGTCATTTCATCGACCCACGTCTTGGTAACCCACCAAGAGCCAAAGCTTTTGCCCTGGGCCAGTGTCAGGTCCCGCATGACGGCGGTTCCGACTCTTTCGACGCACCACACGATATCCGCATGCGAGGCGTAGGGGAACTTTCCGGGCAGGCTCTGGAGAAAGTTGACCCATCTGTCCAAGACGTTCTGGCCTGATGTGTCGGCGCCGCTGTCGCCATCTGACTGGCGACCGCTCCGGGTGACCACGTCTCCGTAGATTGTCAGGCATTCCACCTCCCAGGGCACATTTGCCGGGTCCAGCAAATCTCTAATTTCCGTCACCAGTAGGTTGACGACGTCGTCCATGCCGCGGGTCGGGACGGTCTCCGCAATCTTGCGCGCCCGAATCATGGTTATCCAATCCACGTACATCTGGTCGCGATTGGCCGGGTTCGAGAGCATGTTGGCGGCAGCATGTGCCGTCAGGTTGACCCGCAGGGCACGGTCGAGCAGGGCTGCAAAGATGGCAGCGGGCGACTCCTTGGCCGCGATGACATGCTGCGGCTGGCCTTGGAACGACTCCCGAATATGCGGCACCAGCCTCTCGGAAATGTTGCGAAGCGTGTCGAGAACCGGCTTAGGGACAACCTGGAGTGTCAAGCCAGAGACGATGCGCATCATGCGTTGATAAAGAGCGATGTCGCATCCCTCGATCCACGGGGCAAGGGCGGGATTTCCGAACAGCTTCTGGACGGGCATGGTGAGTGTGCCCTGGAAAGAGGTGTAGAGGTGGAAGAAGGTCTTTTCACGGCAGTATCGAATGCACTCTACCAGCGACGTGCAGTGGGATCGGTACAGTGCAGACAGCGACTTGGCCGCATCAGGGTCGGTGCCGTGGGGTAGGTAGGACTCGATGGGAGGCAATGCAATCGGCTCGGATTGTTCAAAGGCGGTTTCGTCAGGGGGCGGAAACGCCAGCTGAAGCGGCGTCTTGCTGGATGTGGCGTGGAGGTTGTCGATGTTGCTGAGGTCGGGATGGTTATAGAGGCTGTGGGATCTGCCTGATGCCTTGGCTGCCGAGCTGCTGCTCTGAGGTGTCTGAGACGAGGGCAATGTGTCCCGGTGAGTGTTGCTCTCAGGCTGGGTCGGGGCGCTGAGACGAGGTCAGTAACAGAAGCAACTCTCCCGAATTATACCTGATGAACTCACCTGAGGCTGTGGGGAAGGCTTGTTGCTTCCGGGAGGGCTCGCGGAGGCTGCGGCTGTGGCACTTTCGCTTCGGGCTGGTCCTCTGCGAGAGAGAAGTTGACGTAGTGGTACTTCGATTCGCCTCGAACACCAAGACGGCGTGTCTTGAGGCCAGGAAATAGAACCCTAACCAGCTTTCCAAAGCTTGCCGGGTTCAGGACTGTGATCCTCTCGGTGGCGCATCGTGAAGCATAGTTGGCGTACACCCGGCCTCGGGGAACGGAGCCTTTGCCCTTGGAGCAGACTGAATTGATCCTGAAAACAAAGAGTGTCAGAGTAAATCATGGAACATCAACATACAGAGCGGCAAGAAAGCGCATACCATAGCATAGCAAAGACCTGGCGAGTGCGTTCCGAGTTGGGCCCTCGCTCGTTTCCATGCAATTCACGTGCCACGTCCTGCAGACTGCGATGCCGATTGGTGCTGTACAGGTGCCGCATTTCCAACTCGTTGTTTGCACTAGATCTCGCGGTTGCCTTGGCGGCGCCGGTAGCTCCCGTCATGGAGTCGCCGTCGTCGTTGTCGTCGCGATCCATCAGCTGGCTGTCCCCCTCGGTGAAGCTCGCATTGGCGCCGCCGTACTGCTCGGCGGGCAGTGGATGCCTCGCCATCGGGTGGTGCTGCTGGTACTGCATGTGATGGGCCATGGAAGGCCCCATGGATCCGTCCATGGCGAAGTCTTGGTTCGCCGACTGCATGTGGGTCGCCGCCTGTAGGATCATGTCTTCAGGGGACAACTGCGGCGCGCCGCTCATGTCCTTGCTATGGCCGTGGTGCTCGCTCGGGATCCATTGGCCGCCATACAGAGACGAAGCCTCGGCGAAGGCGGCCTGGTCCAGGTTGGGCTGGGTGCCCGCGCTGTGAATCGACGTTGTGGAAGCGCGGGAGACTGGCCGCTTCCGGGACTTGGTCGCTGCGCGTGTCGCCGAAGTGTCTGCGGCAGAGGAGAGAGAAGCAGTTAGTCAAGTCACGGCGGCAATTGCAAACAGGCTGATCGGGGCATACCCTGCTCCATCTTTACAGCCGCCGTCGGCGTTCAGGTCAGAAGAGGTGCGAGGTTGACAGCAAGAAGGCGGCTGGCTAGACAACAAACATTGGCCGTGAGACGCAGACACGAGCAGGTCAAAGGCGGTCGCCCTCCGGATCTCGCCGCGCCCAGACGCGAGCAAGGGTTAGAAAAAAAAGACGTGGAGCCGATCTGGAGGAAGCAGCGATGCAGGCGACTCGCACAGGAGCTTCACGGGCAATTGCTCACGATGCGCGCGGCTGGCGGATTGAAGCCGGGTCGTCGTTTTGCTGCGCTGTTGTTGTGATTTGATTTTCTGTTGCGAGGGCCAACGAGGAGAAGAGGAGCGGATAACAATGCGAGTACCGACTAAGTACAGACGGGCAGACGCAGGTGACCCCAACTGGGCAAGAATCCAAACAAGGCAAGGCCAAGCCAAACAAACCAAAAGGCACTGCGCGCTATCTATTAGGTAAGGTGGGTGGGCAGAAGAATAACAAACTTTGGCCGACATTAGGTAAGCAGGCTCGCGCACTAATTAGGCGGAATTCCAGTGGCAGCGGCGGCCGAGTGTCGAGGGGCGGGGCAACAACAGCTACGAACAACAATACCCAGCGCAGGGCTGTGGTGGTGTTGCTGTGTTTGTTTGGTCTTGTTCTCAACTGGGAGCAATGATGTTTGAAAGCCTATGATTCTCTGTGTGATCCCATGAGGTATTCTATCGGGATATTGAGTAGCACAAGTTGGTGAGAGGCTTCATCTCGTAGAGCTCATTACCTACTAGTATTTCTCACCTGATGCTCCCTGGAATTCAAGGAGGCGGCGGCAGTAATTCCGGACAATGAGAGGGACGTCATACAGGTAGTCGTCCGTTTCAACAATATGAGTCCCATCTCACGGCGATATCATCTTTTGCTCACTTCCATTGTGAGATAGCTTCACGAATTTCCCGTCTGTAAGCACTGAGCTGTCCATCCCACAATAACTCGAAAAGCGCCACGTACAGTACCGGGACCTTTCACCCTCATATACAAGTACACTCCGGTTCAGTCTATTCGTTTCAATTCCCTGCAAAATTGATCAAAGGTGATGTGTTTCAACCTCCCAAGCATCTATAATGTGTGGTTTTCGCACACCGGTACTACCTACCCAAGGTAATACAACTTTGTAGAAAGGCAGCACACATTCACATGCTTGCATTTGTCCCGAGCGCCTGTCAAATGTTCCCTTACAGCTCTTCACCTCACAGCCACAGCCACTGGCGCCTGCTGCCAAGGTCCATGTCCAGGGTATCAGGCCTTGCAAGCCAACCATGGCAAGACGCAAGACGTAGACCGGCAGAGGTAGCTCGGAGTACTCGGCACGTACAGCAAACGCAACCTCGAGGCAACGCCGCGGTATGACGAGCGCTTCTCCCGCTGAGCCGTCCCAGGTAGTGTATACCCGTCAGCTACGATTGGTCTACGCGCTGCTCGGCAGACAGCTCCGCTGAGCTCCATCTCGCCGCGTTATCTGCTGGCTCGCCTGTCTTCCATTGGTCTCTCGCTGTCGGTGGGAATGCCCGTCCAGCCCGTATTACAGGTATCCAGCTGTCGCCTTTCCCCCTCCGCCTGGACGACAAAAAACGCCGCAGTATACCCGGCTGCGTATCTCGCCGACGTCATGTACCTGCTTGTCAACTGCTGCCCTACCACCTATCCGAGTACCGTGCCGGGCTACCGCAACCTGGGCGCTATCACGGCTGCGGCCCCAGCGTCATAACGGGCCAAGTCCCTCGCCAAGTGCAACCTGTTACTTCCACAAGCCCCAAGCCGCTGACGCTATTTGCCAGAGCTTCTTAAAGCTGGGCTCGATCTCTCGATACCATCATCCGCTTCCACTCCTCCATCAGCCCTGATTTTTATTACCAGGAAAATCCTGCTCCTCCTACAGCTTCGCTCATCTTTGCGACACCTCTTTAGCGCTACTCTGCAGTACATATCCGTCCGCAATCTGCCCTCTCGTTGAGCTCTTGTGTCTTTTCTGTACTCACGGGGACAATTTCGCCCACGTCGCAACAATTACTACAGCTGCGCAATCTCTACGCATTCTAGCTTCACTCTAGGTCGAAATGGCGTCCGCACAGGCAAAGGCCCAGGATTATCTGAGCGTCCTTGACAAGGAGGTTTGTCTTATCGCGTGTCCACGGGCGCAGTCGTCCTCTGAAACCGAGCTCTGCGTGCTGACGGAGGAATCGCACAGCTCTCCAAATACCCCGCCCTGAACAACCTCGAGAAGCAGCTGGGCGTCCCCAAGGCATATGCCGTCATCGGCTTCGCCGCTCTCTACTTCTTCCTCATCATTTTCAACATTGGTGGCCAGCTCCTCACAAACTTTGCGGGCTTCGTCGTTCCGGGCTATTACTCTCTGGGCGCGCTGTTTTCCCACTCTAAGGAGGATGACACCCAGTGGCTGACGGTGAGCATTTCCCCCCCAATTGCGTGCTACGCATATCAGAGACATCGTGACGGCTAATTTTCCCTCCATAGTACTGGGTTGTTTTTGCCTTCTTCACCGTCGTCGAGGGCTTCTTCAGCATTGTCTACTGGTTCCCCTTCTACTTTGTCTTCAAGTTCATCTTCCTGCTGTGGCTGGCTCTTCCCACTTTCCGGTGAGTTTTCAATTTTGACGGACAGCTTGCCTAAGTAGATGCGTCTAACCATCCATTTTCGCGCAGTGGCGCTGAGGTCGTTTTCCGATCCTTCCTTGCTCCCACTCTCGGCCGATACTTCCAGGGCCCCGGCACCTCCGCTGGCCTCCGCTCCAAGACTGATGCTTTTGACAAGACTCAGTAAATGGTGCGGGCCGAGCAGCTGCTTGGTCGCAAAGGCTGAACTGCTTGATTATCAAGTCCCGGGCCAGGAGCTGTAGACCATTGCGCGGAAGACGCAGCAAACATGGATCAGACTGATAGTTGGAATAAAATGGGGTTACACGGAATCGCCGGCACATGTTGGGTTTTCGGAGAGGAAATGAGGCCATTGGAGGGAGGCCAGCATGGGAACGAGGATTGGGATAACGTACGTTTGTCTAGAAGATGTCATGACTGGGAGGAAGTTGGGCGCAATGAGATATTGGCATGAAATCAGAATGCACAAGTGATAATGGAAAGATGGATGGTTTTGCTTCCTGAGCCCTGAAGCTCCTACTACTACTACGTCAACCAAGTGCACGTGTGGATCGCATTGACGTCGCGCCACCACTTTCAAAACGGATCACCTTGAATGCTGTAGTTATTTTGTGATAGTTGTTGGTAAAAATCATGTGTTGGATTTCGCTTGGCTGCTCTCCAATTCCTAGCAGAAAAGGGCAGATGTCATTCTGTTGATTTTTATCGCGTGCTTGCATCACCAATCATCACGATACCTTGCGGTCTACAGACAAGAGGAGCACTGAGACACGAGATCGAGCCTCCCGGATTACGCATTACGTGGCTGTGCTGATCCCAGCTGCGCCTCCGCACTCCTTCACTCACTCTCTCTGGCTTCTCCCTGAAAGCGACCCCTGCGCCCCTCGATAGCGGCCCGCCAGATAACCGTATCGTGAAACGCCTTGATTGCCTACTCTCTACTGTACTTACCTTACTAGTAGTCTTCCCTGACGAACCATCCCCAACGGCTGCAACCACAACACGAGGCATTGCTTGCTTCTTACCAACTCTCTTCTTCTTCCTCTTCGTCCTCCTCCTCTCTGCATCCATTGTCTCTTTTGTATTCTATACCTACGCTCCAGCCCATCGACCGCGCGAGAATCCGCCATGACAGTCCAGGGCCACGGCGCCACCACGATCCAAAGCTAGAACATGCCGCAGCCACTCGCAAACCGCCGACGACAGACCCGAACCCGAGCCAACGACAGCGAATGCCCGCACGGCGTGCGCATGTGATGCCGCCGACTCCGTTGCAGTCGCGGCTGGCAGCCTCTCTCGCAGGGGTGCCTATTATCTTGATGCTCGCCATCCTCCTCCTCACACCGGCCGCGGCGCTCTCACACGAGATTGAGCGCGAGGCGTCGTCTTTGCTCGACTGGACGAGCCCGGTTGCGCCTCCGCAGCTGGTCGCCCGATCGCACCCGCTCTACGAGCCCGAGTTTGCCTTGCTTGACCGAGGCATCGTCGGGCGGGCTCCCCTGGATGCGCAGCCCCTGCAGAACAATGCCCCGACACCCTTGAATCTGGCGCCGGGCTCCTCTGCCTGCTATGTCGTGCAGAAGAGCGTCATCTTCGGCGGCAGTGAAAACGCTGGGTCCTCGACTTCCAGTCGGGAACTGAAGAGGGACGAAGACGTCGAGGCGAGGGCCGACCATGCCAAGCAGCCAAGCAATGATAAGTCCGAGAGCAGCGGCACTCCAACGAAGACCCTCTACCTGTCAGCGAATACCTGCCTCCAGCCGCAGATTGTGTCTTCAAAAGGAGCATCAGAAGCGCCTCCGCAGCTGCGTATCTACATCTCGACCTCGAGCAAGGATGGGTGTCCAGACCCGACCAAGCCTGCGGCCGGAGTGCAATCAAAGGCTTTTGAGCAAGGCGCCGTCATGTACGGCCTGAACGCCACGGGAGACGTATATGTCACTGTTGCAGCTCCCGACGTCACGGACAAGTTCCAGGGCATCTACAACTTTGAGATTGCGGCATCGACCGATGCCTACTATTATCAGTACAGCTCGCAGAACGGGCAGCTGTTATGGATGGATAGCGATGCGACATCTGCCTTGCTCCAGACGGCGAGCTTGACGAATGACCGGAACAAGATTTCATCCATTATCAAAGGCGATCCGCAGTACGACTTGTTCGTCCAGGCCACCAAGGCACCGGTTCTCGACGGGCTGATGCGCTCAGTCTGTGGGATGAACAACGTTGCTCAGATAGCATCTAAGAGGCTGGATAACGGGCAAATGAACAACAACGAAATGGTTCGGACCAAGATGACGGACAAGGGGCCGGGAGGGTGGCCTCGGCAGCAGTTTTACTTCCAGGGGCTCAATTCGAGCACCTCATACTACGGCATCTTGGTCAAGCACGGAAACTCGACAGCTAGCTCCAAGAGACAAAGCACAGGGGTGATTGGGGGCGGAGGCATTGTCTTTCCGCCCACCGACTTTCAGACCTCGGCAGGTATGTATTCGCCGCATGTGCGAGACGGCGCGAGACGACACCAGACGATGGTAGGTGCTAATTTAACGCTGTGTCATAGGAACAAATTGCAATCTCATCACAGATTTGGACTTTTGCGAAGACGTGCAGTGGGCGGCACCGGGAAACAACAAGTACAACAACACGGAGCTGGGCAACATCTACGACGCCTACGCCAAGTCCATGTACAGCAACTTTCAAAAGGTCATGATGCAGATTCCGTGCGAGGCGCCGTCCACGCAGCGGTACTCGCTGGCGGCCAACTGCGACAACTGCACGACGGCTTACAAGCAGTGGCTCTGCGCCGTCGCCATCCCCCGATGCGAGGACTTTTCGACGCAGAGCAACTACACGATCCCGCGCAACGCCGCCCAGGCCTTTCCCAACGGCACTTTCCTCCCGGACGCGCTGAGGAATGAACTCATGCAGACGCCGGCCTTTAACACGTCCCGCACCAGCTTCATCGACGAGGTGATTGCGCCGGGACCGTACAGGGAGATTTTGCCCTGCGCGGATCTCTGCTACGGTGTCGTCCAGGGATGCCCGGCGGCGATGGGCTTTGGGTGCCCGCGGCCTGGAAAGCTCGGCTTTAACGTGAGCTATGCGTTACGGGACCGCAACGGCGGAGCGGTGTCTTGCAACTACCCGGGAGAACCGAGAACGCAGGTCAGCGCATCGGGAGCGACGGCGCCCAGCATGATGCTCCTGGTTGGTGTCCTCGGGCTGGGCTCGATGGTCTTGCTCTGATGGGCACCTGCTGTACCAGAGGAGACGAAGGACGAATAACGAAGACGAGAACAGCAAAGAATCAGAGGAAGGATCAACATAGGGAAGAAACAGAGAGAAAGAAGGGGGTATAAGTCATACCGCATGCACGGCGTTTTCGGTTCTTAGCGTTTATGGGATTTGAAGGGCTGATTCCCCCCCACCCCTTACTTGCTTGGTAAGGGAAGATGGGGGGGAGGGCAAGGCGTTCTGTTTTCGGGCGATATGTCTTGAGGTTACTTGTATTTGACGAGAGGTGGAGGGCAAACGTCGACTGCGCATTTTGCGTTTCTTGAATAGAGATGCCCTGATGGGTATTGACTGGGCGATTTTGTGTCACGCCCACAGATTTTGATTTATGCATCATCCAAGAGTGGATGGGAGAGTCAGAGCAGAATAGAAAGCAAGCAACATGCATGCATGAGAGCTAAAGAGCCGCGCAGACGTTAACGTGAAGCAGAGTTGTGATATTGTCTGGTTGTATTCGATGAATTGGTGCATACACGAGTGTGCAGCGTCGTTATCGTGTCTATGAGTATGTGATGGATGAACCGCCGCTGCGCCCATCGATTCCTTGTGTTCGTGTTGACGACCGTTGTTGACGCTCGTTCGCCTCTTTTCAACGCTGTCATGGTATCTCTCTCTCTCTCTCTCTTTCTCTCCCTTCTCTTCTCTCTCTCCTGTCTCTTGTGTCTCATCATGATTTGCCTGTCCCCTCCTTTGCCCGTTTATATTCATCGACCGTCTTCTCCAGTTCCGCAATCGTCGCTATCACACAACCAAATCACTCGTCAGCACATGTCAACCACAAGACAACCCTGAAAGCCCTCAACCCCCCTCCCCCCGTCAAGTTCCGCTTCCACTGATTCTTTCCCGGGAAAAACCCCATTCCCCATATATCCATGGGCTTTGCATTCGAAAAGAAGAAGAAGAAGTAGTAATAGACTCACCGTCCGTTTCCGCGCGATGCTCATCGGCCTCGAGCTTCAACCACGTCCAATAAGCAACCTGATAGGTAAAGATAGCGAGAACGAGGACTTTGCCAATGGGCCGAGTAAACGTCTTGTAGAATTGGGCCTACACACACACACACAACCCAACAAATCATACCCCATTAGCATAAATCTTGAACCCTCAGAGAAGAAAGAGAGGATCCCCGGCTTACCGCTGAACCCGACGCCGGCTGCTGCTGCTGCTGCTGCTTCGTCGCAAACTGCCTCGCCGGCGCTACACAACCACCACCACCACCACCGCCCCCAGCTGCTCTGCGCAACGCAACTCCGGCAGCCGACGAGCAGCAGCAGGAGCCCTGCCGGCGCAACGAAACGCCCAGCGCATGCGCCAGACCCATTGTCGGCAACCTGGAGGTAGGTATGTTCGATCGATCGATGTTTTCTTCTTCTTCGGTCCGCTGAAAAAGGACAAGTGGACAAGTTCTCGTCGGCGGTATCAACGAGTGTGAGCTGTGCCGTCGGCAATCATTTGGCGCTGTTCCTGTCGAGGCTTGGGAGTCTGGACTCTGGCCGAGGTCGCTTCAACTTTTGGAGTTTTGGCAGCTGCAGAATCGGGTCAAACAAATCGATAAATGGTTCGTTTGGTCCAAGTCATGGAAGACACCCCTGCAGGGTGGTACCTCGTGGCGCACCATGTGGCCGCGCAGACGCCAGGTACATACCCATCCTGCGCAAATCCAAATGTCGCTCCCCGCATTCCCGCCTCACTGCTGCTGGAACATCGATGGATGGGAAATCCGGCTTCTTCCAGCGAACTGCCTGCCACTGGACACTCCCCGCCAAACCCGCTAGAACCACTACTAGTAGAGCACCCGACACCAGCCTAGGGGGGATTGGGGGGGTTCGTCCCGCTAATATCGCAGCTGTGTAACCGCTGTAGGCCACCTGGAACCTGCTGCGAATGGATTAGCGCCGGCTAATAAGTGCCCTCCATCTCCCCCTTGACCCTTGTTTAGGTAGGTGACCTTTGACGACACATGTCCTTGTCAGGACAGGACAAGTTGATCCCTGGATTCGAGCCTCGCTGGCCATTTCCCTGGGAAGCTTGCCCGTCTCACCTTATTATTGTCTCGTCCGTTCCTTTTCGCAACACTATATCATCGAAACCTCGCCCTGTTCGCTCCTTGACCAAAGCCAACCCCCCCCCAACTCTTCCAAATCTCTCTCTTCTCCCCTCCCAAAAATCCCAAAGATCTGTCCTCAATCCCGTATCCCGAACCAGACACGACATCCCGGCTGCAGTTCAGGAGCCTTTCCAGTGATCCTCTAACAAGTCGCATCACGCCCCCCGTCGCAACGCCGCTCAGCGCAATCCCTCCAGCTGCATCTACACTTGCTAAAGGGACTCCTCTACTCTCTTCCGAATAGAAAAAAGAACAACTTCAATCCCTCTCACATCCGCCATGGTAACGCCTCAACCCCCCTCCTCCCCCATCCTCTGCGAAATCACCCGCGCAAAACCTCCCTCTCTAACTCTCACGCCAACAAACCAACAGGCCCAAACCCTCGAGCAGCGCCGGCGCAACGCCAAGTTCGCCAAGGACCAGGAGGCCAAGATGGGCAAGTCGGAGGACCAGCTCAAGAAGCGCACAAAGGAGACGCCCAAGTCGCCCATCTCCCTGTTCTGGCTCGGTAAGAAACAACCAAAACATGATACGTGTCATTGTCGCCTGACGGTGATGCTTGAGATTGTGCTTGGCGCTGACTGTTTACTTGCTGTAGCCGTTCTTGCGTTTGTCGTCTTTGGCGGGCTCGTCTTTGAGCTCCTGTCGCGCTTCTTCGGCGTCTAAAATTCGAATCGATATCACCACCTACTCCATGTCGATTTGAAAACCAGACAGAACGACAGGGATCCAACCAGAAAACACATTTGGCGACGGGAGAAGGAAACAACCGAGGAAGGAATATCGAACGCATACAAGGAGGGCGGACGGCTCTGACATGGTCAAGGGCAGAAGGCGAAGATACTGTTGAGAGTGAGATACCGTCGACGAGCCGACACTGGCGCTTCGCTTTGCGTGCCCTGCCCGGGTCATCTCCCGGCGTGACTCTACAGCAGACGTATCATGGGATTTACGGCGCACTGGCATTGTACATTTATCATTTGGGACTTCTACAAGAGACACAAGGTGAAAGCAAGAAAAGAAGAAAACTTAATCATTCCATGTGGTATCTCGCGTGAGCCCTACCAAACGCCTCGTTGCCTTCATTCGTCCAAGTCGACGATATGAACAGATGCAAGTATGACAGGCAGTTCCAAACGACAGTCTGGCCTGCAGATATAGTACAAGGTGAATGGATCTGTGCCACCTCATCTCTCAGACGAGGCGACAGTCCTAAGCACCCAAGCCGCGGCGCTTCTGGCCGCTCTCCTTCAGCGCCATGCCAGCCTCGAACTGCTGCTGGATAGCGGCCTCGGCGCGGACCGAGTTGCTTGGGTTCTTGGACGCCATGCTGCCTGGCTTGGCAGCATTGACACCAGCTTTCTTGCCGCCGAGCAGTCTCAGGAACTTATCTTGACGGGCCTTGCCGCCTTCAAGGCCTTCGATCTTCACCTCTTCAGCTGCTGCTTGAGCCTGCTTCTCTCCTCCTTTGCTCTCCTTCGCCTTCTTGCTCTTCTTGCTGACTGGCTGCTCGGCATTGTCGTCCTGCCGCTTCCTTTTGCCGTCGGCCGCCTGTCCCTCCACGGCACTGGCCTCCTCAGGCTTGGACTTTGACTTCTTCTTGTCTTTCTTCTTTTTCTTCTTTTCGCCGTCAGTCTTCTTGCCCGAGGAGTGCGCATCGCTAACGTCGTCATCGTCGGGCGTAATTTTGGTGATTTTCTCGCCGACGCCGTCATCAGAGGCCTCCTAGAAGAGCACATGTCAGTTCTGGCTGCAGAAATAGATCTTCCTCGGAGCTGGATGCCTTACATCGAGAACCTTGTTCACCCACTCAATCACTTTGGCGGCATTATGGGCTTGCTTAAGCAGTTGCTCCACCTGGATCTCGAGCTTCTTCGACTCTGCCAGATGATGGTGACGCTTCTTCTCCAGCTCCAGAAGCTGCTTCTTCAGCTCGCGATCTTTCTTGTTCTTCTCCTCTTTGCCTTGAGCAGTGCTCTTCTCAGACACTTTGGCAGCTTTCTTGAGCTCGGGTTCTTTGGCTTCACGGGCAGCTTTACGGGCCTTCTTGGCGAGCTTGCGTTCTGCACGATTGGAATGGTGAGCTAGCTAGTCCTTACAGAGCTTGCGCACAAGGGGGGAAAAGAATAGTATGACGCCTATGCTTGAGTCGGTGGGGCAGGGAGGAGGAGGATAGGAAAGAAGATCTTACCTTGCTTCGCCTGGGCGGAGGCAGCGTCCTGAGCAGAGGAGGCCATGATGGACGTGGTCTGGAAAGCCGCAAGAGACAGGACAGGCTCAAGACGATTGTCTCCGTGCGCGAAGATGCTCAGCTGCGTGCCACTGAGATCTCGCGTTGTGAAAAGTCGAAGCTTTGGAGCTTTTTTTTTTCTTGGAAACTTTGGATGTCTGTGGCGCTGAATGATCTGGAGCTGGAGAAAGAGCTGCTTCACAATGGCTAGGTAGGTAGCAAGAAAAAAAGTTATGGGCTTTCTGCCAGGCGGTGACGGAGCTCCCCACACTGATTGACAGGGCAGGCGCGCTGGTGCATAACGGTAAAGATTGCCGAGCTGGACGAAGGTGGGGTTGAAGAAGGACCTGAGAGGCGGTGGCACCTGCCAAACGGATAGCGCATGATGATACTGTACGAGTATGTATGTACACATTTACAAGGCTCAAACTGCCCCAAACGGAGACCTCTGGGGGTGGCTTATTAAGAAGGGGGGGGATTGGTAAGCTTCGTACAACATGGACTACCTACCTAACTTACCTAACAAAAGGTACCTTAGGTACCTTAGGTAGGACCATGAACTCTTTCTTCATTAAACATGTGAAATACCAAGACGAGGGAAAGGAGGGACAGAATGCGGATTGATGATGCTCGCTCAGCTGGGTGTTTGCTGAAGGCGGCTAAGCTGACAATTGCCCCTGCATACCTATGCCTCTCTCGTGATGGCAACTGTTTCTGTTTACAGGTTGCAAACACTAGGCTTGCACCGAACCTGAGAGAGGTAAGCAAGAGCCTTTCTTTCTTTCTTTTTTTTCTTTTGTTTTTTTTTTGAATTGAGACTATCAAGTCATACATGCAGTCGGTAACCGATTGCCGTCATTTTGAAGTTGCTCAGAAGCATAGAGGTATCATAAGCGAGTATATTCCAGCATCATGTCTCAGACGTTCCATGCACTCACCATACACGAGGCTCGAAGTCGCAAGATGATCGGCCAGCCCACTGCCATAGCTTTGTACCTCTCCAGAGTCAAAAGAAGATGGACATGTCATCTCTCTCTGTCGCTGTCAATCACGATCAATGCCGGACTACGATGAGCTACTTGGCTCGTGGCACTGAATGTAATCAAACTGAACCCGAATCTCATGTAAAAGGGCTCGAGTTGCTGATACAATTGTGTCAATTCGCTATTTCGCTACATGTTGCCTAGGAAAGCGTCCCATCATAACCCAATACAGCAGCTCTCTATTGTAAGTTCGTCATTGATACATGAGGTGAAAAATGTCTATCATCAACGGCTTCACCCTTACCAGTGTCTGCGCCGCGCCTTGAAACTCTGCTCGTATAGATACATTGCGTCTCAGCCATAAACTCCCGTGTTGTAAAACTCAAACAATAGACAAGAAAAGAAAGAAAGTAAGAAAAAAGCATAGAGCACAAACGCCACAGGCCAGTCATTGTCTGCGCTTATGAAAGCATGGGATAGGCTTGGCCAAAATCGGATGCATCATAAACGTACTGATTCTCGTCCCCATACGAGTCGTTCACTCCGCTGCTGCCATAGCTTGCCGTCTGACGCACACCAGGGCTGAAAGACGGCGAATAGTTCTGTGAGGCAAAGCTGTCCTCGAGGTATGTTCCCCGACCACTGCTCTTCCGACTCTCCGCCTCGTGTCCTCGGGCCACCATGTGGCTCAGGTTGACGCTGCCCCAGGGCAAGCCTGACAGCTCTGGCTCTGCGTCGATGTCATCTGGCTCGGGGATGCGGTAGCTGTTGCCGGCGTGCTCCTTGTCTTTTGCCTCGCGCTCCGCTCTCTCTTTTTGCTCTTTCACTTTCCCCCCTGTCTCAATGGTCAGCAAAGTCCGAATCTGTACAAAAGCTGGGTAGTGTTTAGGGGGGGAGGACGTACGAAACTTGCGTTGCGCAATCCGATTCTGTATTCGCCTTCTCTCCTCGGGGTCTGTGACTTCGGACCACTCTGCGTGTTTTGAGCTAGACTTGCTCTTCTTTGGTGGCGAAGAGCAGTTGCTGCTCCTGTTTGGCGAAGGTTCTGGGCTTTGTGAAAGACTCTTTTCTCGTTGTGTGGCAGACATTGTGTAGAAGAGGAACGAGGCTGAAGACGGCAAATCAAGTCGATTACTTGGTAATCTCCGGCCAAGTTGAGATAAAAGACGACAGGCTTGACTGATGGCTCTATGTGTATCGGATAATGTGAGTGGGCGCAAACGGGGAAGAGCGTCTTCAGTCGGGATTTTCTCGCTGCAGGAGTCACAGAGATGATAACCTGAGAGAACGGATTCCTGGCATGAACAGGAAGTCTAATGCTTGTATACCCAAAGAGCAAATGAGAATTGGTTGTATTCGTGAGAGAATTAGTAGCAAGAAACAGTTGAGTCTAGGATGGTGATAGTCTGAAAACATTACAAGCGATAGGCAACGGGGAGTCGGACCGCCGTTATAAGCTCACCAGACAAGACACAAAGCAAGGCCAGCCATGGCTAGGCAATGCGGCTCTAAACCGTGAAGCCAGACCATGGTAGTGCCCCCCCAAGCCAGATAGAGAAACCAGAGTGCCTGTCCCAAATGCAGCCCCTACTGGAAGTACTACTAGTATATCCTTTGCATGCCCACACAAATTGCCCCGACCCCAGCTCCGTCGGTCGTCGAGCAGCGATAGCCGTGGATGCAGGAGCTAAAAAGGGCACACCCGCCTGTTGACAGGGGGACAAGGACCAGGCTGGAGGCATATTCAGGTTCACGGCCAGGGATCTGCGGTACTCTGCTCCCCAGGGCCCCACCGCGGACTCCAGGGTCCTGGCTGGTCACGGCAGGGAATCAGCGTGCGTGGGCATCGAGGTGGTCTGGCTGCTGGTCATCGTCAGTAGCATGGGGTATACGAAGCATTAGGTATGCATGCTAGAGAGATGGGTGGATGAAAGGATAGATGGATGGGTGGATTGGTCCCGATACGGGGTACGCGAGGAGGCCACAAAGCGTCGGGAGGTAGAAAAAGGGCGTACGGAGTACGACGGCGAGCATCAATCAGGAAGCGAATGAAGGACCAGAACAGAGCGGAATAGCATGGACAAGACGGTGACGTAGCGGCACTAGCGGTCTTTGCATAACCATCCTCACGCCCAGAGCCACGATTCGCAGGCGGATGCCGTGAAGGAGCACAGCACAGGCGAGGTCATCCGAGCTGGCGTGTGATTGACAGAGATGGTGAGCTTGGCGGAAAGCTGGGGCTGACGCTGGCCCTCGTACGAGTCTTGTGAAGTTGAGTACCTGGTCCTTGAGCATACTATACCACTGTACCTGTAACTTTGTGCCTGCAGGAGGTGGTGGGAGGATTTCCATCTGGAACGCGGCAGTGGGAGGTTGATGCTCTGGGGCAGGGGAGGGGATTCGATTGTCAGCAGGGATTGTTGTTCTGCAAGTACTGCGGGTACGGTAGCGTCAGGTATGCGTGGCAGGTATAATACCTAGATGTTCAGGTTCTTCTGGATTGAGTGCCATGGAAGGCCTAAAGTACCGCTACTTCAACCTGACAATACCTAGGTATGTAAAGTCGTGATCCGCAGAGAGGATGTGTGCGTAACGATGCCGAAGCACATGTTCGGCTTCAAAGCTGCTGCTGCTCGGCTTCATTGCCCAGCCACAAGCGTCATTTCCTCACGTACCGACTCGGTACCTGCTCTCTCACTTCGCTTCCACAGAGCTTGCATGTCCTCGTACTCTATGTACCTACGTACTACCTTACCCATGTGTTAGAGGCACCTAGGGCTGAAGATTAATCAGCTCAAACAAGGTTAGAGATGAAGCTTAGCCTGCCATACCAGCCAACCACGGCATTCCAGGTGCTCTTCTGATGGGTCCCGAGACCCCCTTCGGCCCCGTATAAACGAAACGGCGTCAGGCACGGCGTACCGAATACGGAGCACTTGGACTTGTCCAGAGCGCCCTTTTGTTGATGCGTGGCAGGCGCATCGTGACCTCAGCTGCAACTCAAGATTGACGCCTGAAATAATTACTCGCAAATTTATAGAATGAAGAGAGAGGGAGAGATGAGTACGGTATCCTGAGCTACCGGATACACAGTAGTTGATTTATCAGAGTGAAGCTACATGCTGCTGTCTTTTGCTTCCAAGGTCATGTACTATGGTACACTTGAGTTGGAATTATAGCCAATGACAGTTGTGCTAGGAGACGCTAGCGGGCTATTTATAGCCAACCCGAGTTTCTGCTAAACAGTCGCTTCTGCTACACCGAGCAATTATACCAGTCAACGCAGGTACAGGTACAGGTACAGGTACAGGTACAGGTACAGGTACAGGTACAGGCACAACAAGCACAGGTCCGGGCCCAGGCCCAGGCACCTCCAAAGCTCTGACAGGTCCAGGCAGGTGTTCCTTCCTGCAGCTGCTGCCTCAGAATTCATAGGGCAGGTACGCATGGCGTACGTAATGCACACACCTTCGCAATGCTTCCTCAATTCTCGCCCTCTCAACCTCACCTCGACTTCGTCTCCGTCATCATCATCCACTACCTAAATAGGCTACCTATTCATCAGCATCGACACCCCCAAACAACCTCACGCTACACGCGGGCTCTCCCCTGAGCCGAGTCTGCGCAATCGACATCCGCAACTCGCACCAGCGGTACAGTACCCCATCCCAATCAACTCCTGCAGCCATCTCCCCCAACCTGCCAGTCTAACCCCTAGCCCTGTCCATCTAGTGCCTGTATGACTCTTTGCCGGCCAACGTTTAATTTCTTGGGGGCCGCATGCAGGGCTGGCACCAATGACAGCATGGCGTTGCAAAAGGTCTCCAGCTCTCCAGCCCAGTCGCCGACTCCCAAGAATCAAAGCGAGATATACGACGGGGAAACCAAGCGTCGCATCCCATCCTCCTTTGCGTCAGCGCAGCTCACACTATCTTGCACCTATTCTGATCGGCCAACAACTGGGACTGCTTGCTGTCTTCGCCAGTCGTGCCCATGAATTGAGGCACGCACGCACGCAATGACTAATGGACTTATACAGGAAGTTGGCTTGGTAATGCGCAAAGGACCAATGCTGTCGATGTTGCGTCTCAACCAGACAATTCTCTCGGTTTCTCAGCCTCGATTCATAAGCACGCTTAGAAATTCCACAGCCGCGACAGTGTCTTGTGGTTGTCGACGCAGGCACCCAGCTCATGACCAAGTTTGGGTGCATCCAATTCCGCCAATACGGAGCAACCTTCGTTCACATTGGTCGGACCAAATTCTCAGCTCTGGTTTCTGGAGGGTTGCTTCGTCTCGAGCCATGCACACGATGAGGTGCTACGTGCAAAAAGCCATGCACCTCTCCCCACCGGTATAGTACCACGCATCACTGTTTCAGAAATCTTATTTTGCACGTCGAATTTTTTGGACGTTCCCCCCCAATTTCAGCTCTACACAGGCTGGGCTCCTGGGCTAGGCCTTATCACGATGCTTCCGCCGTGGCGTTCGACGTTGAGATGTGGCGGCGACGCCGGGCGCAGGCCGGACTAACAAGATCTCTTGTCTCGCCGCTAAAGCACGCTGTGTGTGCTTGAGAAGATTTCCGACTGGCACCATTCTATATCCCAGGCGGCTCTAACAGACAACATGATGATCCTGCAATCGACCACGCAATCGCTTCTTTACTGGAAGAGGAACAACCGGTCTGTCGTAGTCTATCGCGAACGCCCTCCCATCGAAGGCGAACGGTGACACAGAGATGGGTTGTGACTAACTGGAGCAGGACCTCGTCCTCGCACTGCTCTCCAGCTCTTCCCTACCTGTCGTTGACGATGTGGGCTACCGACGCTCGACTTCGTCAACAGCGCCCTCCAAACATCTCTTTGGTCGCAGCGTGGCCCGTGGGCCGCAGCTATCACTACTAACATGAAGCATCCCGTCAAGGTGCCACTGACAAAGAAGGCTTGCTTGTCAGGTCGCTTTGGAGCCAACGACTGCACGGTCGTCAGCGAGCCAACTTACACACCAACAATGCATGTTTCAAACACATGCTTCGATAAGTCGCGTGCAACTTCACGACCCCTGCCTGCCATGTGCCTTGATGTTCTGTTCCACACAACTACCACGCGGATGTCGTTCTGCATGCTCCGTAGGGCTGCCAAGAACACTACGGCTCAGGCAGGTAGTAGTATACAAGAATAGGAGGTGCCGCTGTCGAAAAGAGCATGGCGATCTACACTAACCCGCGAGGAGTATTCAGGGCGAGGATGCCTTCATCTCGAAGAATTTTCTATTCTTGGACCGTGCAGGGGTCCCTCCATCGGATCTACATAGTAGTATGTACATACTAATGGTTGCCGTCGTCCTTCAAAGCCCCCACCATCTGCAACAGCTCCACGATTCATGGCAAAAGAGAAGCCATGATGCTGCAGAGTCTGCACGCTTGTGTCTTCAAGAGATAAGCGTCTTTCGCTTCTCTCGCCTGCCTTCTGTTTCGAGCCACCTCTCCACGCTATGCCTCATTCCCACCGGCAAGTTATGCGACTCATGGACTCTACCTTTCAGCTGACAATTTGGTTTCTATTCTCTCCAGTTGAGAAGCTGCCTTTTGTCCGTCGGCCGCACATCTCGGCCGTTTCCCGCCAGTCTCTTCATTTTCCCTTGTTGTCTATCCTTCCATCTTCTCCGTCTTGTGTGTTTCTTTTATTAGCATCATTGTAAATCTCGTCGGCCGAAATTTCTCGCAATGGTTGCCTCGACGGGGCGACAACTAGACGTCGTGTGTCTTTGTCATTCTACAGACCTTACAAGGAGGGATGCAAGACTATGGTTAGTGGATGCCAAGCAGCAAAGAATGATGGTCCTCAAGTAGGGCTGTTCTCACGGTCTAATTTCCCTCTGTGCTATTTTAGGTGACCGGCGATTGTTTGGGGTTCGCGTTATGCGTTATGTTGAAGAGCATGACTCGGCAAAGGAAACGAACGGTCCACAAGAGGTAGGAAACGAAGGGAAACCAAAGGGACTATCAAACGCTTACACGTAGAAGCATCAAAGACGAGAAAGGTGCGTCAACAAAGTCTTATGACAAAGAGCTCCAACTCCAAGAAAATGTTGGCCGTTCATTCGACCAAGAACTATCATCACCTTCCCAAGTATGCTTCTCCTGCCCGAGCCCAATCATCATACCTGGTATTAGTACTAACTGTTATATACAACGCAGCTGTCCACACAATGTCAGAACAGAGTCCAGAACGCCAGGACTGCGAATATCACGGGCTCTCCATCTCGGCTATCTGTGGCGACATTGTCGCTGGCCTTGGAGCTGCCATAGGCTCATGGCCACCTTGGCTCATCTCCTGTGGCTTTGGCTGTGCCCAGAACCCAGGCACGGTGTTGTGCCCTCCCATATACGTCTCTGGTGGAACTGACGAGGCCATGCTCATGTGCGGATTTGAGCTATAGTACGAATAGGTAGGGTGGGCGGGAGAGCCGTAACCGTTTGAAGGTACGGGAACGGGCACAAGCTGAGGCTTTGCGGAACGACGGCGGAAATACAACAGCAACCCGACGGCCAGAAGCAAAACGGCCGCGCCGCCGATGGCGATTCCTGCGATGGCTCCGCCGGAGAGAGCGGCAGTGCTAGGCTTAGAATCTTGGCTTGGCCCTGCGTCTCCCGCTGCGGTAGTTGTAGAGCCGGGAGAATTTGACGTCGTCGTCGCCGAGCTGGTTGCTGACCCTGGGCCTGCCGTAGTGGCTGTCGACTGTGAGCCATTGCCCGTCCCACTCGGCCCAATCTCCTTGTATGCGTCGCAGTCGGGCTTGGGCTGCGCAAGCGGGCACTCATCTGCAAAGCAAATGGAGAAGAGCTGACCATTGATAGCCGGCGCACATCGCACATTGTACCGGGCGTTCATGAACGTTGAGAGCGTCTGCGCGTCCTCGTACGAGAAGCCATAGGCCATGCTCGCCAACGTGAGCTGTTCGATGAAGTATCCGATGTGCGTCTGGTTCAAGTTCATGAACTTGTGGACGTATGCCGGGGAAAGAGGGCCGCCCCTGCTCTCACCCGTGCGTGGGAATTTGGGTGCAGAGCTGCAGCCGTAGACGAAGCCGAATGCCGTAAACCAGTGAGTGAAGAGACGACTTTGATCCGGACAGAATGACGATAGGTCAGCAACGGCTACGATGCTTACAAGGGGAGGGGGCCTAGGGGAGCAGCATAGGGGTCACACGTACTATTGGTTCGTCGACTTGTCTATGTCGACAGTACTCGTTGAGCCGTTCAAGAACGAGAGCAATGGCCCAGTAGCTCCTCCGTCAAGCCAGTCGATGCCCACGGGCTGGTTGTTCAAGTTCGTCGTCGCCTCTGAATGGTGCAACTCCAAACGTCAGAATACAAGCGTTCAATCGGGTAAGAGTGGCTTTCTCCTTCTCCCCCTTTTCCTCTTTTCTCAACCCGCGCGACAGTCTTTCTTACTTGAGCCATCGAACCACGGCCGGAGGTACACATCAACTCCCTTGTATAGACCCTCATTGAAGATGCCGGTAGTGCCGTTATCTGCGTCTGGGAGAAGGTCGTGGCCGCCGGCGTATGCAAGAGTGACGATGCTCTGGACCAGGAGCAGCTGCGTCGTGATGTTGCTCTCTCCATATCGCTTGGCGGCGTAGTAGTCGCAGATGGATTCATCGTCGGACCTTTGCGCAAAGGCCGTCTGCCCGGCAGCCAGCAGGAAGATGGCGGTAAGTCTTTTCCACAGCATATCGAGAGGAATCACTGTTGGTAAGAGGGTTGACAGCCAGACAGTGAGACAAACTCTCAAGGACACAAAGACAGCAAGTAAGCAACAACAACAACACAGACAAGATGGGGACAACCAACGATCCGTGTGAACGGAGACAACCCCAGATCATATACATGTATGGGAAAGGGTCAGCCGAGAGGCTGGGGCACACCGGGCCGGGCCAGAACATCAATCCATCACCAGCTCCTCCTCCTCTTCCTCCTCCCCCCTCCCCCCTGTGGGATCAGCCCAGCGCCAACGCCGCCAGGCCTTGGCCAACAACCCATATGCCCACGCCGTGCATATTGTGGCGGGCAAGGCCTCGCTCCATTTGCCGAGCCTGGGGACATGGCCCATGGCGTTTCCCGTCAGCCCCAATGGCTCTACTACTACTCCCCTTTTTGTTGATCAAATAGTGCCCTCCTGGGGCTCTGCTGCGTCTCCTGCTGGCGGCCACCAACGCCCCGGTAGCCGTCAATTATCATGGTGGCCTCTTCTTTTTCTTTCACCCCTTCTTCTTTCTTTCTAGCTCTTGGAACAGAGAGACGGCGGGACTGGGCCCTTGTCGGATAGTGTCATGGCCAAGACAGCCGCCTCCCCCAGCAGGGCTGAATATCCATGCCCAAGCGAGATCACCGACTAGTAGCACCAAGCCACGACGAAAGCGGTGCAAATAGTCGTTAGCTGACGCTACCGCTAATCCATCAACCCGCGTTCTCGGCTTCGGTAGACTGCCACTGGGGCTCCGTCCCTCCCTCGCAGTGCCTCCCTCTCGGCACTTGTAAAGACGGCCGGGGGCTTGTGATAGAGAATGACTCTGATGTTGTACTTGTACGTATTAGTATTAGGGAACAGGGGGGGCGAGCCAGCTGGGCTTGTTCTTTTGCGTGGCGGCGGCAGTTGATTGGAGAGAGAAAGATGGAGAGAGAGAGAGGAAGAGAGAGGGAGAGAGAGGAAAAAACAAGCGTCAAGCCACTCATGCAAAGTGCCCCATTGCTTATGTTCAAGTATACGACTATTGGACGGCGGACTGCAGGTGCCAAGTGTCAAGTGTCAACTGTTTTTCTTTGCGGCTGAAGATGGGCTGGGATCAATGCAAGGGAGTTGATACCTTAGTGAGTGTGGGCTTTCTTGTCTCGTGTTCAATGGTTCCGACGAAATCTGCCTAAGCAAATAACCTCCTTGTTAGCGTACCCTCTGGCCGGGAACGGGGCTGGGCGTTGGTCTCGTTCGGATTGATGCCTGTTTTTTTTTTTTTTTTTTTTTTTTGTGTGTGTGTGTCGGTGTGAGAGTGACGATGGAGATGAGATGAGGTGAGATGCCAGAATGCTGATGATTGTGATGTATCATCCCAATGTGGTTTCACTGGTGTCGTGTTGCGTTGGAAAACCTGATCTGGGGAGGAAAAGTGGTGTAAGTTGCGCGCCTATATTATGCTTAAATTGACATCCTCCATTGATCAGCTGCCATTCGCCATAGAACCGAGTACGAAACTTGTGCTCTGCATATATGGTAGTAGTATCTCGATACCCAAGAATCATTTCCTTTCAGGGTTCATCATCCTCGTAGTCGTCTGCGTCGTCGCAATCATCCTCATCTTCGTCACCGTCCCCATCAAACACAAAGCCTCCACGACAGTCTCCGTCGCCATCTTCATCATGGCCTCCACCGCCCTCATGATATAGTGTTCATTGTCACCACGGGGCATATCCGGTGCTAGAATCCACTTCTCCTGCAAGTGAATTATCTTCTGGCTTGCACGGAGCTCTACTGTTCGCTTCAGATTCCTCGGTGCCACTCAAAAAAACTCTGTGTATCCGCCGTGACCGCAAATGGGTATTGCCCTCACGATTGGGCTCGTAGTGCTGCATATGTCTTTCTTCATATCTACCGGCAAAATGTACTTGGAAAGTGGTTCTCTGAAAGTATTGCCCTTGTTGGTAAGGGTGTGTCGACTGACTTTGTTACGCTCTTGGACATCGTATTGTTTAGAAGTCCTGTGGTAGTTGGTGTGGTTTCCGTCAACCCTCTTGCTGTTGCTATGATCTAGGGGCAAACTCTTGACTTTCTCCGCTCTCCCATCAGCTGAATCATCATCTTCATCGTTGTGATCGTCATCATTCGAACAAATAATAACGAGTTCTGGTCGGATAAGGTACCCCTCTCCGCTCATATGGCCGAGCTCTGCTAGAGGGTAAATCCAAGTCGATTCCGTAGGAGGCGCTACTGTACGTCGACCCTTGTTGGTGGCCGCTGTTTGTTCCTCCTCGCTGGATATCACTGGCGTGGTGAGTATGACAATTGCCGTAGAGGTAGTTTTCCCGGCATATCTCGCTGAGGCGAGTCTGGTGCGGCTCAATATAGAACACTGTGGGATCGAGATGTCTCATATTGGTCGGCAAGCCTGACAGTGTTGCGTTCGCACTATATAGATCTACGGCTTCGAGCTACATGAGCATCAGCCGAATATACAGGCAGATGATCCCGGTGAGCATCTGGCATCTCATATCGTGCAGAGAGGCATGGTTCTGGCCATTAAGAAGCTGTACACCTAGTGATTCAATGTCACCTCCTTGGTTCTCGACATTGTGCTGCAAACTGGTAAGCCCTTGATATTTACTTTCCTCTCCTCTGTAATGTCCCATGCTCGACGTGGCTTTGACACTGGGAGGCGTGGCCGCCTCCAAATGCTGGCTTGTTTGGGATAGCTTGATTCTTCGGTAGAGAGGATGAATCACCACGTCGAATAACGGCGCAGGTAGATAAGCAAGACACTTTAGTTTCGTCACTGGCAGTAGACGTACAGGCATCGCGGAAAGCAAGGACCATGTGGCTTGAACCGACCAGCAGTCGGGACTCAGATCATTTGGTCTACATCGAAGTCATACCTAATATACAGTTGTGCCAGACGTGGACGACCTCTCCAGCATCCTCCCATTTACATGCCTGCCAATGCCTCAGCCTCGCGCTCAGCTCTCCGCTCCACCGACCGTCTCTTGAACCGAATCTCTGCCCTTCTTCTCTCACCACCATCAATCTTGCGGCCTTGACGTTGCTCCCACATGCCCTCCGTAACCTTGACGATTGCACCAGCCTGCTGCGGCAGCGGCGTCGCATACGGGCCGGCTATTGACTTGAGTCCTCTGACTGTGTAGCCATTTGGGCGGGGCAAGACCTGGTCCTTTTCCAAAACCGCTTCTTGATCCATGGGCACGTTGACGACGTATTTCGCATCGCTGACGACGGACGCCGGTGGTGTTGCGACTTTCAGCAGAGCCTGGCCGTCTGTGACATACTTGAAGTCTCCGCCGGGACCCAGAGCGCCCTCTCGGTATCGCTGCATCCACTGCAGCAGGTATCGGCGGCTACGGGGCGGCTCGATCCCGAGCTCCTTGAGTTGCGGCGAGGTGAGGGAGAAGAGGGACTCCCATGACGGGAACTTGGAGGCGTGCTTGCTGAGGCCGCGGCCGATGAGGGTGAGGAAGGTCTGGACGTCGGGGACGAACGGTCTCGGCTGCGGGATTGTCGGAGCTGGCCTCGTCTTGTGCAGCCACCTTGCCTGATTTGCGCCTCCTGAGAAGCTGGTGCCGCGAAGGAACCGCAAGGGCTGTGATAGTATCGTCTTCATCGTCGACTTGCGTTGCTGGAGCCCTGGCATCCAGTCGTTAGCGGCACTGCCATTGGCAATTGACATATAATGGTAGTAGTTCCATGATAATTTGAGCAGAGCATACCTTTGTAGGTCAACCGTGATCTGCCCTAAACACAGCAACTCGGCTTTCGAATCCAGCTGGGTGAATCCTGTCGCATGTGAAGGTTCCTGGTCTGATGCGTTCGATTTTGAAGGTATTAGCTAAGCAGTGATGGATGGAAAAAAGTAGCGGGGCTGCCACCACCAACTCGTTATCGCAGTCCTCCCATTGGCCGGACCGCATTATCTAAGTGATAAGGCGTCGCATTCAACTCACCTTCCCATTGCCAGGCACCTGTCGCATCATCTCTTCCTTCTTCAACATCTGCGGTGCATCATGGCGGCGAGCGCATCCGCCATCTATGGGTGCTGTCTCGAGTCTGAATACTGCCCAGCATAGTCGTCCAGAACAGTAGTGAGCACGTCTGCTTGCTGCAACTATCCAGAATGGCCCGCAAGAAGCTGCCGCGCAAGCCCTCGGTGTGGCTCAACTTCGACATTGGACACGATGGTGCGTCTGTTCGGAAGCGGCCACCTTATTACTGGCGGAATATCAGAGAGCTAATGTTTTAACTTGATTATGCAGATGCCATGCCGGCTGCGTTCCTCCAATTCTTCGATTCCCTGCCGGTCCAAGGCCCTGCCGACGACACCAAAGACACTCCCAGTGACTTCGAGCCGCCCTCGTCGAAGCGTCGCAAAGTAGATTGTGAATCAGACTCCAGCATCTGTGTCGCCAAAGCCGAGTTAGCCTTTTCCCGCCGATGTGAAGAAACCTCCAGCCAAGACTACCGTAGTGTGCATCATGGGGTGGAATCGCTGCTTAGATTCGGTCTCGATGGCCAACGTCTCTCGATCATGACGTCGCCGACCAGTCGTATCGGCCACTTTGTTGCGCATATACTGCTACGCCCTGGAGACGTGGATCGGGATGCTCGGGATATGTTCAACATTGAAAGCTTGAACCTGAAGAGGAGTGGCGCAGGCGCTATATGGAGAGCTGCCGATGTCGTGGTTGAGCAGCACCAAGGCGTTGCAACGATGACAATCTCTTTCCGGCTTCTTTGGAATGATACCCCATCTCCGTATGCGCCTTTGAGACGAAATGACGAGCGTCGATGCAGCGAGAAGCTCATTCAGTCCTTCTTCCCCTCGGTAGACACAACGCTCAACAAATCCGCCTCGTGGTCGCCAATGGATTTCTATAACGCGGCGCACGTGCCGCAAAAGGATGATGCCGTCGCGCACTCTATCCATGTTCCCGGACTCAATGCTGCGCTTTTCCCCTACCAAAAGCGGACGCTACAATGGCTGTTGCGCCGAGAAGGCGTCCAATGGACTGCGCCAAACACACCTGTCCAGCCCTTGTCGGAAAAGGAACAGACGCTGGACTTGGATCCTTTCCGTACCGTGAATGATGCCGATAACAACCGGATATATCTCAGTGATGTGTTTCAGACCGTTACTCGGGATCCTACACCCTACCACCAGGCCAGTAGACTTGTCAAGGGCGGCATCTTGGCGGAGGAAATGGGCTTGGGAAAGACTCTTGAAATGATCAGCCTCATCCTGTTGCATCGACGTCAGGCAGGTCATCCCCCAGCTCTCCTCCTAGGCCAAGAGAATCTGGTTCCGAGCGGCGCAACTCTCATCGTAACTCCAAAGTCTCTGCAGCCGCAGTGGATATCCGAATTGTCACGTCATGCCCCTGGACTACGTATCAAGCACTATACCGGATGTCGAGGAATCGACAAGGAGGACGAGGCACGTCTCGTGGCTGAGTTGGCCGGTTACGATGTGGTAGTGACGACCTACAGTGTTTTATCTGCAGAGCTTCATTTTGCCATCAGCCCCCCTGAGCGGTCTCGGAGATTTGAAAGGGCATACCGTCGAGTCCTTTCTCCTCTGGTCCAGATATTGTGGTGGAGGGTGTGTCTTGACGAGGCGCAGATGATCGAAAGTGGCGTCAGCCAGGCTGCTGCATTGGCGAGAGTGATTCCTCGAGTCAATGCTTGGGGCGTCACGGGAACACCCGTCAAGGACGATGTCAAGGACCTGCTTGGACTGCTCTCCTTTCTGAGATATGAGCCCTACTGCTCTGCTCCACAGGTGTGGCAAGCACTTACCACTCACCACAAGCCGTTGTTCCAGCAGCTGTTTGGATCGATATCACTTCGGCATACCAAGGCATTGGTGAGGAGTGAGATATCCCTCCCTCCACAGAGGCGGTTTGTGATAAGCATGCCCTTTACCGCAGTAGAGGAGCAGCACTACCAGTCACTGTTCAAAGAGATGGCGGAGGCCTGCAAGCTCAGCGTAGAAGGAGCCCCTCTAGCTGATGATTGGGCTCCAGAGGAATATGAAGACGTCATGAGGCTGTGGCTCAACAGACTGAGACAGACTGCTCTTCATCCAGAGGTGGGTGTCTACGGACGTCGAGTGCTGGGAAGCAAGGAACGCCCGATGCGAACGGTGGAAGAGGTGCTCAACGCCATGTTGGAGCAAGGCGAGGCCGCTATCCGTACTGATGAGCGTGCCTATCTGTCGAGCAAGCTGTTCCTGGGTCAGCTGTTTGAAAACAGCCCCCGAGTCAAAGAAGCCCTCAAGATATGGGAGAAGGTGCGGGTCGAGTCCGCCAAATTGGTTGCAGATGCCCAAACAGCACTTCGAGATGCATTGCGCGAGAAGCGAGGGGTCGAGGACGTGAGTGAGATGTCTGAAAAGGTGCAGGAACTGTCGGATTCGGACAGTGAGTTGGATGAAGAGGCGGAGGAAGAAGCTGGAAGTAAAGGCCAACTCGGCGAGCTGCAGAACAGGCTGAGGAACTGCCTTGAACTTCATCACAAGGCCGTCTTCTTCTGCGCCAACGCATACTTCCAGATCCGGGACAATCCAGAGATGACTGCGCCTGAGTCTGAAGAGTTTGAGCGGTTGAAAAAGCTCGAGGACGAGGGCTACGAGAACGCCAAGATGCTCCGGAGGAAGATACTCAAGCAAGGCCATCGCAAGGCCATGCGGCTGATCAACAAGCTTGCTTTGAAGGCCGAAGAGCAATCATTTGTCGAGATACCAGAGCTCGTCATGAATAACGAGAAGGGCATCGAAACGGGCAGCATCGTCGACGACCTAGAGATCCTCTACGCTGAGCTCAACGAACAGGCGAATCTGATTGACGAATGGAGAGAACAAGTCGTTCAGCTCCTTCTACGGCCACTTGTTGATGAGGAGGAGAGTACAGAGACTACCGGAGAAGAACTTGTGGATTCCATGAAAGTTCAGGATGAGCTAATGGTGTACGTCCAAGTCCTTCGAGTCATCATTGCTGACCGTCAATTTGCCATATCAGGCCAGACGAATGGCTTGGTGACGCATGAGCTGGAGACATCCTTGAGGCTAGCGAAAGAAGGAGATGGGCCTGCTCCGGAGAAGCTCATCGAGCTGGTCCGCAAATGCGCTGAGGTCAAGCCTAGGAGAGCCAAGATGTCCATGCGCGGCGCCATCAGTGAGCTGCGCAGCTTGGTATCTCGGCTCACCAGAGACACAAACCGGAGCCAGAGAGAAGTTCTGGAGTCTACGATTGCTTCCAAGTTGATGAAGTCGACCCAAACGCTGCTTGGGGAACAGAACAAGGTGGCAGTGGCTCTAGAAGCAGAAATAGAGAGCTTCAAAAGGGCCATGAATGCGCGGGTGGATTTCTATCGGCAGCTGCAGGCCGTCTCGGATGACGTGCTCCCCGTGGAAGCACCCAAGACGGAAGAGGCCATTGAAAAGGCCAAGAAGAACATTGAGGACCTTCACAAGAAGTTGTTAAACGGTGAAGCCAAGCATCGATACCGTAAGTTGGGCGGGACCCTTTTCTCAGGGGCAGCTGCCCTCGAGGCCTTGATAGCCAAAGCTGACAGGAAATGTAACAGTCATGAGCCTGAAGGAGACTGGTGCGAGATCCAACGAGCCTCGCATGTGCGTCATCTGCCAGATGCCCTTCACGACGGGCGTCCTGACCGTGTGCGGCCACCAATTCTGCAAGGAGTGCATCATGATGTGGTTCAAATCCCACCGCAACTGCCCCGTCTGCAAGAGGGCGCTCAAGGCAGACAACCTCCACGACATCATCATCAAACCCCGACAGCTTCAGGTGCATGGCGAGGAATCCGGCCGGCAGCCAAAGGGGAGCGCCACTGACGGCGACGGCTCGCCGGAACGCCGAGGCTCTTCGAAGCAGATGATGCTCTACTCCGAGTTTGACGCCGAGCAGCTCGAGCAGATGAAGAACATTGAGCTGGACGGGCCCTCATTCACGACCAAAGTGGACACCCTGGTGCGGCACCTACTATGGCTGAGGGAGTCCGATCCCGGCGCAAAGTCCATCGTCTTCTCGCAGTACAAGGACTTCCTCCACATCCTGCGCAACGCCTTCTCGCGCTTCCGCATCGGCCACGCCTCCATCGACGACGCCGACGGCATCGGCCGCTTCAAGGACGACCCGGCCGTGGAGTGCTTCCTCCTCCACGCCAGAGCGCACTCGAGCGGCCTCAACCTCGTCAACGCGAGCCACGTCTTTTTGTGCGAGCCGCTGCTCAACACGGCCCTCGAGCTGCAGGCCATTGCCCGCGTCGACCGCATCGGACAGCAGCACGAGACGACGGTGTGGCTGTACATTGTCTCCGGCACGGTGGAGGAGTCCATCTACAACCTCTCCGTGCGGCGCCGCATGGAGCACATGGGGAGGAACCTCGGCGGTGGCAGCGGCAGCGGCAGGCTCGAGGGCGAGGGCGAGGCGTCGACGTCAACGCCGGAGCTGCTAGACGCGAGTATCGAAGAGGCGAATACGCTGGAGCTGGAGCAGGCGGCCTTGTCGAAGCTCATGAGCAAGGACCGGTCTGCGGGCGAAATGGTGGATCGTAGTGATCTTTGGGAGTGTCTATTTGGACATGTGAATGGCAATAAGGGTTGAAGAGGGTGTCGTCTGAGTAGAACGACGGTCAAGAACAAGGTTGTGTCTCTTGGTGACGGTTCACTGGAGAAGTGCCGAAATGACTACTCTGGAGAGGCACAGGACAGTGTGGTGGTGTAAGCGTTCTCTGATGTTTGAGATACCCATGATTTACACCATGCACAACGGACTTGACCGATATTATAAGCGCCTAGAACTCGATACACGAGGATGTTTAGAGCAAAACGAGGCTCAAAGATGGAAATTCATTATCGTTGCTCACTCCCTTCGTATTGTACATGATTTCTTCTCTTACAATGGTGGTGTATATCCCAAACCCAACCCGAGTCCCATTCCAGCCCAGGCTCAGCAGCATTTTCCTTTCCCATTGAAAACTTAAGTATGAAGATAGGAAGAAAGGAAAAGACCACGAGCTTCACGTCTGTATCGTCACACTCCTCCATAAATTGCATGGGTCGGTTTGAGAATTAGAAGAAAAAACAAGGGGGGGAACCCTTCGCCTCTCTCTCTCTGCTGAAAGCCAAACGACTCCCAGAAGAACCGAGCAGCCAAGCTAGGCCAGAAATGAGGGACAAAGGGAAGGGAAGAAGAAGAAGGATAACGTCTCCCGCTCAATCCAGCTTCTGTTGCCTGTTCCCGTTTCTCTTGGCCTCCTTTACTCAGTGCCCTTCTTCTTGCTAGCGCTGGACTTGACGCGCTTGGCGACGGGGCGGTTGATGTGGTGGTCAGGGATCCAGCTCTCGTCGTACGACTTGCCGGCGGACTCGGAGCCGGAGAGGGCATCGGCGGGGTCAATGGGCTTCTGGACGGGCTTCTTGACGGTGCGAGGGCGCTTGGCCTGGGGGAAGAGCGCCTCGATCCAGGTCTTGTAGACGAAGAAGAGGGTGCCTCCGAAGACGGCCGTGAGAACGAGGTAGAGGAAGATGCTGGAGTCGAGCAAGAGTCAGTGCCCATATATAATAAAAATCAGCTAGTATCATGTTCACATACATCTGAGGATCGAGGAAGCTGGTGGGGGCCTCGACAATGGATGTCTCGCCGTCGTAGGCGGGCACCTGGAAGATGTCGCCCTTGTCGTTGGTGAAGACGGCCAGCAGGCGCAGGCGCACGTCCTGGGGCATCATGTCGAGGGCGAACGAGTACGGGATCGACTTGGTCTCGCCGGGCTCAATCTCGAGGCTGTACTGCACGGCCGTCAGGTTGCGCACGATGCCCTGGTAGGCCGGGGCGTCCTCGGGCAGGTCCTTGGTGGTCCACAGCGCGCCGTTGGCGAAGACGACCTGGATGGCGGCGTCCTCCTTGTTGGTCACCTCGATCAGGGCCGTCGTCGGGCGGCCGTTGACCAGCTTGACGCCTAGAATGTCCGAGTCGGGAAACGTGGTCCTGATGTCGGCGTTGAGCGAGGCGGGGGGCTGGCTGGCATCGTTGGCGAGGAAATCGGCGTCAGACTGCGCGAAGCATGAGTTTCTGTGTCATTCAATTGACCTGATGGCGCATCATTGCGAGCGATAATACCGCCACCACCATCATCATTCATCATCTTATCAACGAACCTGAGCGACGGCGCCAAAGACGCGCAGGGCCAGAAAGGCCACGAGAGACGACTTGAACAGCATGATGACGGCGGGACCTGGAGGCGAAGACGAGGAGAAAGACGAAGACGATACCCAGCTCAACCCGGTCCAATTGATTGAACCACGAGAGATTGGGAAGAAAGGAAACAAGGAGGAGGAGGACGAAGAAGAGAATGAGGATGGACAGAGATGAAGAGGATGGAGAGAGAAGAGAGTCGGAGGAGCTGTAAGTGTGACTGAAATGGCCCCAGATATTCCACCTAACAGAAATGTGGCCACAGCTCGTGGCAGGCTCCGCCTTACGTAACCAGCCTGCAGCTGCCCCTAACGATGCGACACGCTAGCCCGAATAGGCACTGTGATGGCTTCAACTTACACGAGGTTCAGTTCAGTTTCTCTTGCACAGCTTTTTGTGAAGGGTACGAGACAGGACATTCTGATCAGGCAGAGCCTGAGCCATACCGAGTAACTGTAGAGACCACCACGTCTCTTTCATGACATCGTCTGCTGATCAATTCTTTGTAAGCTATTCCATCAGAGGGAGACATCATCATCACAACCACATGATACCCGATGCCTAGTATCCCACCAGATTGCCTCCTCCTTTCCGTCAGTACACATATTCAAACAAGTACTGCTCTTCTGTCATGGCCCTCCGAGATCCATGCCGCTCCATCCGTCAAACACGTCCATATCGGTGTCCAGGCCGCCAAACAAATCCGCCTCAGCCGACGCGTCCAGCCCGCCGTTGTTGCCAGACGCTCCCAGGCCCAGATCGGCCGAGACGCCACCGATGCTCATGTCCAGGTTGCCCACGCCGTCAATTGCCATTGTACCATCACCCTGGACTCCGGCAGCCGCAGCCATGGCATCTCCCAAGCCCGTCGCGTCACCGGCCAGGTCCAGCTGCATGTCAGCCGCCTGCAGCATCGTCGGCGGCGGCGGCAGGACCAACTGCGCTTCGACTCTCCTATAGAGCCGGACCGTGATCTCCGCCAGTTCGGGGTCCTTCTTGTGCAGCCTCCTGTAGTTCTCCGCCTCCATCTTGAGAACCTCTCGAAGAGTGAGACGCCGCTGCAGCGGCGGAGGCAGGCTCCCCGTTTCGTCCAACAGGCCGCTCGTCAGCGGCAGCTCATTGCTCACGTTCGGCGCACACACCAGCGCCGTCACCACGTCATAGGCAATGCTCCCACTGCCTGCCAGGGTCTGCTGGCGTATCTCCTCCAGCATGACCCGCAGCAGCCTGTTCGCGCCGACTATCTTGAGCGTTGCAATCATCTGCCGATGCGTATACGAGGTTGGCATTGCCGTCATCTGTGGATGCATGCCCCATTGCACCAGGTTCTGTATCAAATGCTTAGCCGCTCCGGCAAGACCGCTGCTGGAGCTGGCCGTCCACATCTCCAGCTCTTGATGCTCGGCAGCTCCCGTCCGCCTGGAATGCGGCAAGCTGTCCTTCAGAGCCCTCAGCAGCGGCTCAATGTCCTGATTCTTTGGGTCCTGTCGCTGATATGCTCGCAGGGAGTGCTCCAGCGGCTTCGCGATTATCCCCTTGACCGAGGCAAGCATGGTACTGGCCTCGCCAGATATGGACGTGGGCAACAGGATTAGCTGCAGAATTTTGATAATGGATTTTTGCTCCTTCTGCTCGACCCAAAGGTAGTCGGACAAGAACCGAATCGCGGGTATAAGCGAGGGCAGCAGGAACGTGTCAACCAAGTCTGTGAGCAGTCAGTAATCCCCCCCCTGAGCAATGGACAGCTGCAAAAGCACCAGTCACTTACACTCAACACCCGACTTAAGGGAGTCGTCGGTTAGCGAGCCTTGCGTATATGCAATCACAATGTTCTCAAACAGCGTCGCGATGAGGAGATAGAATTCTGCGGGCGGGCAAGACGACATCAAGTCATCCCCCAGTCCCCCCGCATCACTGTCGAAGAGGCCATGGATCCATCCACCGAGGTGTCCGTGTTCCTGCTCCGATAGCCGGTCCAGCCCACGGCTGATGTGAGCCCGGCCGATGATTTTGGCAACGCTCGAGTCTGTCGCCAAAATGCCAATGTCTGCCGGGAATAGGCTGTATCGGTACGCAAAGGCCAGCACCAGCAGCAAGATGGCGCCAAATTCCTCGTAGACAGGCTGGTACTCCCCCTGGTCCTCCTCGTATCGCCAGCCATCCAAAAGCTGGCATATGGGATCCAAGATGGTCGGTAGCTTTTCGAACAACAGGAGAACGTCCAGAGACTGGGGCTTCTGGGCCAGCTGGCTACAGAGTATCTTTAGGGACATTGTATCCTTGCTGTTACAGAGTTGCCGTAATAACTGGTATCGTCGCAAGCGTCAGCCGTGGCCTACCCAAAACACAGCGAAATGGCGGGCAGGGGTTGGGGAAGCAAACCTCTACAAGCGCCTGGCATACTGCCCCGACATTGCCGTCCATCTTGTCCATATCGCGAACAAGCGCTTGGATCTTATCAGGGTCAGATAGACAGCTTTGAACCAACTTCTCCTTGGAGTATTTCTCCTGGGACGGTTCATACGACATGGAACTCTCTCCCAGAATCCGCTCTACGTGTTCGCGCTCTATCAGCCCGTGGAGAGCGCAGGCAGAGCAGAACTCTTCCCGAACACTCTCTGTATAGGGGTTGTTATTTCGCGATTCGTCAAACATGAGTGACGCGGTAGGAAAAACGCTTGTATCGACTTGAGAAAGAGCCTGAGTGATACAAAATTCGGCTGACGGCGTTGAAAAGCCGGGAGGGCAAAGTTGACCGAGTATCAGGGGCACCTTGTTTGTCAAAAAAGACCGCAGCAGGTGGGCGTCTCTGGGGCCTTCGTTCCTGAAAACAGCGTTTGCAAGCAAGTCAAAAGAGGCTAAAATCAGATCAATCGCGCTCTGCTGGTTGTTTCCCTGGCCAAGAGGTCAGTAACCGAACTGCGAGAGGGAGGGTAGCCTGACACTATCGAGCGAGGACGCTCGGGTGTAAATTACATGAGGGACAAACCTGGTATCTATTATTCAAATATGAGAAAAAGGCATGGTCGTCTATAAGTGGTCGGCCAACAAGCTGATACAACAGTCAGCAAATAGTGAAATTCCCACGGGGGACATTGAAGACGTCAACGAACAGAAGCGCCGAGGTAGACGTATAAGCCCGCCCTTGTGTTTGTTATTGGCATATCTGGAATCATGAGGTTATCCAAACCCACGGTAGAGTCAAGAAGCTCATCCATGGCATTGGCAGCTTGGTTATTCTTCTCCGTCGGATCCAAGGGGGCTAGAACCTCTGTTCTGAACATTTCGAGTTTTTCCACGAATGGCGGGACAGGCTGAAACACATGCACAAAAGATGTAAGGCTGTCTGAGAATTCTTTCCGTAGCGCTGGTGACAAATGGTAAGCATATATGACGGGCACGGGGGTAAAACTAGTCATAGGACAGATGGTGACCACAGGACGCATACCTTTGGCGGACGGGTGGCTAATGATCTTGACGAGAGCCGGGTTATCGACTAGCCGAAGCAGTAGAGGCACAAAAGCTGCCCTCGAGACCTCCATATCGTGGCGAATCTGGGGGTCCTGCAGGGTGCCACTGAGCATTTCGGCAGCCATGGAATTGGACGCAGCAGCAAAGAGAGACATCCATTTGGAGGTGACGTGGATAAGCTCGAGCGCCGTGCGCGAATCCTTGGAGGCAGTGCCTTCGACTACCAGCCGTATGACGTGATAGAACATGACTTCTTCGAGCCAGGACGAGCTTTTCCATCGAGTTCGGGATGGCCGTAGGGTATCGTGCTGGGGATCGCGCGTGACGTCGCCTAGCAATGTCTTTTCGTGCTCGTGCTCGTGTTCGTGCTCTTTCGGCGGTGCATCTTTTGCTTCCTGTTCTCCTTCTTTCTGTTGCTCTCGTTCTTGTGGTGGCTGTTGTTGTTGTTGTTGGTGGTGGTGGTGGTGGTGGTCTTGGTCTTGATGTTGATCTTGGCCATGGCCTTGTGTTTGCAGCGGCGTCTGCGCGTGCAGCGACGAGTATCTGTACAGCGACCGGAGGATGGACACGGCGTCAATGTACCGCAGCTGGGTGAGCACGGAGACGTACGGCGGGATCCGCGGGTCGGGGCTGACGCAATTGGACGCTTGCGGCTGCAGCAGGAAGTCGGCGATGACCTCGGGGGTCAGCGGATGCCTGGCGAAGACGAGCTTGACGTATTCCTCAAAGGGGCCGGCGTCGAGGCGCTTCGTGAGGCATTTGGAAACAAAGTCGGACCAGCACTTTACGGAGTCGCGGAGAGCCTCTCTGGCCGTGTCGCGCGGGTCCATGATCATGGTAGGCGGCGCGCCTCGTGGCGGGTGGGAGAGAGGAGTTGTGGTATCGAAAGCGCGGTAGAAGTGTCGCGGGCTGGGATGCGTTGTCGCAGTTGTCGTGGGGGAGATGGTGATGCTGCTGGCGTGACGTCGCTATTTCTGCGCCGCTGTCGGACGGGGTTGTTCGGGGCCTCGGACGTCGAAGACTGGGCCGATTGTGAGGCGGAAGTCAGAAGCGTTGTCACGGACTGGATGCCCTTGAAGGGTAGGACGGCCAGCTCGCCTCAGCCATAGAGCCCGTCAATTCGTGAGAGGCGGATGGTCCAAGTCTAAAAGAGTAGGTTTCTCTGCTCTTTCCCTGCTCGTCTCTCCCTCCTCTCCTCACCTGTGCTTCACGGTGGCTGTTGGTGACGCAAAGTGCTGGTGAAAGAGAGACGAGGCTGCGGGCCTGGAGTTGCGGATCGTTGGGGGTCGCATTCTGATGCTCCAATTGTACAGTGCAGAAGTACTTAGGTACGTAGCTTTTACCTTACCTTATCGAGCACCGGACAGTTCGAGCTTTGATTGGATAGTGCTCAGTTGCAAGTGGGGTGTTGACGACCTCAAGTGCTCTTGCCGCATCGGGAACTACACTCATGAGAATGGACCAAGTCGGAGATGGTTGCAACAAAATGCATATCAAGGTAGACAATACTTCACCGCTGCAGCAGCAGTCCGGGAGACATAAAGTACCCGAAACTGCCGTGCCTCTTTGCTGCTAACGAACTGTATCAGCTCACTGCATCATGAGCAGGTTCGTGAGCTACATGTGACGGCACCCAGCCGTGAGTCACGGCAGCTCCCATTATGAATATCAATAATACCAGACACAAGCTTCTCTATATTAAGCAACCATATCGCCTGCTGCATGCTACCTGGTTGAACAAGTCCCTCTAGATGTTCCACCCAGATGCTGCTGCTTCGGTTCGACTCAGAACGACCCAGGACAAGCATTTGGCCTCCACGAAGAATTGCGAGCAATGAATACACCCACGGCATCGTTCCAGCATCTGGATGTCTCTTTATGGGGAATTGCATAGGAAAAGGAAAATGGGATATCTGATCAGAAAAAAAAGAGAAGTAAAGGACACCGACTATGAAAGAGAGCAGGAATAATTAACCCACAAGTCTCTCTACTAAACCACCATCACCACAGAATACCACCGTCGCAACAACAACAACAACAACAACAACAACAACCCCCTCCCATTAGGATGGCACTCCTCATATCTGCCCACGATGGTGTTGCAAACGCTTACTTCTCGTACGTCGTCATCAGCGTCTTCTTGCCAGCGGCAATCAAATGGCAGTAGTCGGTACCCAGGAATCGGCCCTTGGCGTAGTGGATAAGGAAGCTGAAGAGCTTGAACGAGCCAAACTGGCCAGTGGCGCGGCTCCGGCCCAGCGTGATGCCAACCATGACCTTGTTGCTCGGCGTGTACGTGGGCATGACGCCGCCCTTGAGGTAGATGGGAAGCGCCTTGATGAGGTGCACGGCCTGGGCATCCGCGACCCCGGCCTTGCATTCCTCCAGGCTGCCGACGTCGCCGAGGACGAAGATGTTGTCGTGGCCCTTGACCTGGAGAGATTTAGTCTGAAGGATGAAGCCGTTGCTATCCAGCAGATTGGCCGGCACAAACGAGCTGTTGGGAATGCCGCCGGTGGTGGGGACGTAGGCCTGCGTCGTGAGCGTCGTGACCTTGCCCTCGGCATCCGTCAGTGTCAGGATGGTGTCGCCGCCCGAGTGCTCCACGGCGGTGACCTTTGTGTTGGGGATCAGCTTGACGTTGAGCTTCTCCAGCTCCGTCTTGGTCTGCTTGCGGACGCTCTCCATCAGGGGCGGCGCCAGGGGCAGCCTGTCGTTGTAGATGAAGTAGACCTCCTTGCGGCCCTGCTTGGAGTACTCGAAGCCCAGCTCGCCCGCCGTCTCGGAGCCGGTCTGGCCGCCGCCGACGACGGCAATGGTCCTCGCGTTTTCGATCTGCTGCTGGAGCTCGTGCAGGCGCTGCTTGGTCTGCTCGGTGGTGGCCATGGCCTTCCACGGCATGTTGTCCTTGGACGAGGTGCCCGTGGCTACGACGAGCGTGTGATAGTTGATGGTCCGGCTGCCGCCATCGTTGAGGGAGACGGCGACGGTGTTGCCGGTTGGATCCAGGGCGCTGGCGGCGCCGAGGACAAACTCGAACTGGTCAGAGGGATACTCCTTGAAGATGGGCCGGAGGTCGATCATGGCCTTGTCCTCGGACAGCTGGCCGGGCACAATGACTCGGGGCATAGCAATGGGCCAGTGGAAGTGAGTGGTTGGGGCCACGACGATGAGGTTGTATTCCTTGTCCTTGAGAACGACGTTGCGCATGGTCTGGCGGATGAGGGGCGCGGCAGCCACGCCGACACCGAGGATAACAATCGTCTTCATCGTGGACGAATCGTTGCCTTGCTTCCGTTGAGAGCGGAGGGTTCAGAGACGGCTTCAGGTGGGTTCTTTGAATGGTGTCTGTGGTGATATAACGCAGGAAACGAAGCACAGCTGCGAAAGAAGGGGACCTCGGGCTGAATATATAAGGTACTACCATGCCCGATGCATGCATGTACATGATACTCCGCAGCCCCTCTACCCCTGGTGGCCGGAACGAAGCTGTCCAAGCAGTGACACGCAAGGGTCAGGATGTTTTGTCAGAGCACATGTGAGATGCCGTGCTTGGTGACCCAGCCAGATCCGCCGGCTACTACCTACCGTCGCTCAGATTAATAAGATATGATGTTCGGCATTCTCGTCAGATGCGAGGCTCCGCCCGGCTGATTGATAGAAATTTCACTGCATGTCCGCAGCAGACAAGAGGCAGCAGAACAAGGGAGTAGTATCTAGTAGTATCTGAATGCCAGTTCCTTCTCAGACGCGCGCGCTACATCTGCTGTCCCAGCAAGGGCACTAGCCTGCACACGTCGATGATGTAATCTCAGATCTCTGCAACCTAGAAATCTCGGATACCTTGATTAGCAACGAAGGGGGCAGACGAACGGAGAGATGCAGAGTCCAAGCTTCAATACAGAATTTTGACAGGGACAAATGATCATCTCAGCTGTTTCCTCACTATGGAGTGCGCCATTTCCGACATGCCAGCGTTTCATCCTTCGCCTTCTTTTTCTCTAATAAGATCAATAAGAGCACGACACATATACTATAGTACTAGGCACCATCTTGAGCTATCTCCTCAGCATTCCAGGCCCTTTTTCATATTGAAACCAAGTCTTCAAGCTCAAAGGCCTTTCAACTGTCTTCGGATTTATTCAAGCAGCATCACAAACTCAAAAGAGACCGCGTTCTTCTTGTAATCAACCCCCAGCAGCCGCGCGGTGACCACAAGCTCTTCTTGGATACCCGCAAGCCCGCCCAGCCAATCAGCGTCGTTAGCGCCGGCTTCCCGCTCGTCTCGCCGGCGGAGTTTGCAAATTAAAGCTTCCATGTCCTTCTTACTCAACCGTTGATGTACGATTATACTATCGATTTCGAAGCGATTTTTGCTCAGATGGGCATTGTCGTAAGATATTGGCGGAGGTAGAGAAGCCAGCCATTTCCATCAACAGTATCATAGCCTACATGTATGTTCTTTCTCTTCTCACCTAAGCATTAGAAAGCACTTGACCATGTCCAGTCTCCTCATAATATATATATCTATTCTACTCCCTTTTTCTTTCAAAAGCATTCCCTTCTCTGCTTGCGGAGTTGGAAAACTCCTCTTGAATCCCCCCATCACATCACCCTCTGTTAAATTTTAGGATTGTCTGTCAAGGAGCTTCGGCTCCGGAGCGATCCCACAGGGAGTGACTGACTTGAGCCAGCTTACCCGGGAGTGGCCGCCTTGCGGACGGCGCAAGAAAAAGGAAAAGGAAATCATCATTTACATTGATAGACCTTGTTTACGAGAGGCATCACTGAAATGAAGCAGTAATTTCAGATATACCTGATCACTAGGTATGTAGATGCTGTTCTTAAATGCTTTGCCCACCTGACGAAGAGGGAGTTGTAGTTGCCCCCTTAGCCGCATTACCTATCCTATGTTTGGTGGTCTCTTGTGGCTGAGTTCCCTCTCCTCCAAGCAAAGTTGCCTCTCTTTGTCTCATGAAAAACACTAAAAATCGTGTTGCGCATGCGTTCGCTCTCCGCTAGCGTCCCTCAACGCGTACATCCTCTATGCAGGGCAAAGTCGTTGACATACGCGGAACTTCGCTTCCGATGAACTGGCCAACGGCCGATCACTTGAGACACGGCTAAGCAACTAAAATAGCATCCGCCTTCCGGGATATGGAGACGAGAGTCCAAGTTACGGCGTGTACGAGGCGTTGCTGCGTTTAATCACGAGTGAGCTTGAAATATACCGGCTTGTCACTGTATTGTATATGACCTGTTCGGCGCCCCTTACACAATTCTTCGAATACCAACCCAGGAAGAACTCTCTCCCTGCCCAATCGAGTTTGTAGAAAAGCGGACTATATCAGAATGAGATCTCCTAGAGAATGAGAGTTACAACCGCCACCCGCATCTTGTCTCTCACCGCATCAGAAAAGGCGGCTTCGTGTAGTTTCGGTGGACACATGTCTTCCTCCGCTTCCTTGCCTTGCCTCCCCCACCTCCCCTGCGTGATGGGTTGCCCACGATGGCGGCTTCGAGATGAGCGCGGAAAGGAAAGAGCAGGAGTGGCAATATAAACACGTTGTGTGATTTCCCCCCTCCCAGTTCCGCGGGCTGTTATTGCTGTAGTATTGACTCTGTATATGGCTTAGTTATCCCGAGTATTCGGAGTCTATCTCGTTCAGTCCGGCGATCATTGCACCCACGCACAGACGACAGAAACTCTCCCTTGCTGTGAAAATAGGCGAATTGCCCGGGGTGGGCAAAGGGGGGGCAAACAAGGGCGGCTGAGCTGGCGGCACTGGGAGCCGACAGGTTGGTCTTTATCTCTACCTGCTTTCCTCTGACAATCTCTTGGCTTTTTCCATGCGAGCTGAGTGTCATAAGACATACATACGTAGATTCGAGTGCATATAGATCTAGGTACCTACGTTGAAGGGAGAATTCATATGTAGATATGTGTTGTGATCTCACCCGGCAGGTATCTATCTTACCTTATACAGTAGACTCGACCTGTATAAATCCCATTCAACCTGCAAATGCTAGATTTTGGTATCTCGCTGTTTCCCGCTTTATGTATTGCAGCCTGCATTGCCCATAGACAGCCGGGACAGATAGAGTCTTGCTCCTCGTCTTGCAAGCCAGCACATGGTATCTTCGTCGGATATTATCACCCATATCTCGATATGCGCGAGGGCCATCTGAATGGAATGCCTGGAATTCGATCGGCTTGTCGTAAACTGCACCCTATTTGGTCTAAAGCCTTGGCCTTATACATGCCTTGCCGATCCCCCCCTCTTACCCCCCATGCATTGCACCTACTACTTTTGCTTGTTGGGCGCGTATATACCTACTTAGTAGGTTGTCTCTGCTTGTAGGGCATGCGCTTTGTATTAGGTAGTATTTCGGAACTCATTTGTCCTTGCGGTGGCTGTTGCTTGCCTGTGGAGTCCCCGAACCCAGGCCCCGGCATGTCTGAGTTCTGGGATGCGACTTCTGATCTTGGCGGTGCATCGGTCACTTCTCAGGTCCGAAAGATTTCGGGATTTCCCAGCCAGCCAACCAGGTGCCTGGAACTCTACCCTCTCCCCCCCACATCGTCAGTGCAGCAGGTACAGGCACCAAACGGCGCCGTATCGGGTGCGAGGGCCTGGAGTGTCTCGGTACGGCTGCGGTACCGGCTCCTGGGCGTCCAGCGCTGGCACTCGCAGAACGCTGAACGCGGCCGCGGCTGAGCAGTACCTCTCTGATGCGTGGCGATGTGCCTGCAGGAGGCGGTATCCTGGCTTATTACGTCAGGGCTGGCTCAGGTACTCTAACCGTACCCTTTTCACGATGGCGGTACCTCAGGCACGAGTCTCGCGATCACAAGCGCAGATCTGAGGTGTTCCTTCCAACAGCAACCTGAACCCAGCCCGCCATTTAAGCACCCCCCTGTCAGCGCCTTGCGGCTCGCTACACACACCCCTCCCCCTGGCCCCCTCCACTGCATCTGTGCCTCTATTCTTCCCTCTTGTTTCTTTTGCTTCTCATTAGCACAGATATACGAGGCCGATCCCTAGGAAATTGCCCGGCTTGTTTAGCCTTTTCGATCTTCTTCTGATTTTTTTTTTATAAAGATCTGCTCCCTTGAAGGACCCGGCAGTTGTGGAATCTCTAGTTTCTCTTGGCCAATCTGCTCTTCTCTTCGCTTTTACCGAATTGTCTCGCGCTTGCCCAGAATTTATCTTTGTTATCATCCTCCATCAAGCATCGAACGAACATCATTGTTCTTTTCCCAGACATCTCAACGTTGTCCCCATTTCGTGTCATTTCTACTGGACCTGTACAATACACCACTTATCATCTTATATCCAGTTTTCTTCTCAACTCTCCCTCCAGTTCGACAAGCCATGGCGGCCGTAGCTCCTCCCCTCGTCCCCAGAGAGGTCGACTACATCCCTACCGAAAAGCTCATGACCATGACGCCAAATCACCTCCGGACAATGGTCATGAGGAACGGCGTCCTCTCCCCCAAGAAGGGTCCCTGGACTCCCGAAGAGAGCCAGAGGCTGGTAACGTTGGTGCGGCTCATGGGCCCCCAGGACTGGGTCAGCATCGCCTCCTTCATGAGCTCGCGCAACGCAAAGCAGTGCCGCGAGAGATACCACCAGAACCTCGACCCGTCGCTGCGGCACGACCCCATTAGCGAGGACGAAGCCCGGGCCATCATGGACCTGTACGGCAGATATGGCACGGCCTGGGCGCGCATCGCCGAGCATCTGCCCGGACGTAGCGACAATGCCATCAAGAACTACGTCAACGGGCTCGTCAACAAGACCAAGCGAGCCGAGGGACGCCATCACCAGCACGCCGGGAGACGAGGCTCGAGGCAGTCTATTCGCTCCGACATTTCTGCTTCCGCTGCTTCTCCATCCACGACAACCACCCCTGCCACTGCTGTCACTTCTTCGACCGTCATCTCTGCCCTGACTCCGTCGCCGCGCGGCTCTCACGCTCTTGAATCACCCACATTTTCCGACATGGCCGACTCGGACGGCGGCAACTACAACTACATGCTGTCCTCGGCGTCACCCTGCAGACACTTTACAGAGACTGCCGCAGCGCCTCACCGTTCCCCTCCGGCATGGAATCGGTCGCTGGCCCATTCGCCAGCTGCCCCTTACCCACATGCACTCTACGAAGCGTCTTCTTTCGAGCAGAGCCGCATTGGACACGTTCAGCGATACGATGGGTGGCGTCCCTCAACTCGTTCCCCCGAGCCGTCGTCATTCACGCACACAGTTTCACAGCACTCTAGCTCGGACCTCGCCAGATACTCGCTGTCTGGCCCGGCCTCGCGAGAGTTAACGAGGGGGCTGGGAATGCAGAGCAATGAACTGCCCAGGATAGATCCTCACTGGGCAAGGCACGGGGTGCAGCCATCTCTTGAACTGGATGTCGCCACCGCTCGAGCCGATCCCAGGATGAATATCGCCAATCTCCTCGGATAGGGCTCGACAAATATGCCCTGGCTGCCCATATCGAATCTTTCTTATTCGCATACTCCCTTCCCCCTTTTCAAGTCTCCTAATTATGTCATTCTTTCACCCTTATGTATTCTATATCCAGTTTTCATTCTGTCCTTCTCTTTTTCTTGATTTCTCCATTCATATTTTCTCCACCTTACTTTATTTCATAGCCAGTCACATGGTTTAACAGCCTGGTTAGGCATCGGTTTGTTGGACAACTCAGGGCGTGTTGCATGGGAACATTTGGTATATCAGGGACTTGATGCATCATGGTAGGCGCTCAGGATTATCATGGCATGTCTACAAGACGAGGACACTGCAGGGAATTTCATTTTCTCTTTCGCAAATTGGATCACTTGGACCTTTTCCGGTGTTTATTGCATAAATTCCCCCAGCTTCTGGCAAGGTAGTCGGCCTTGCCCTATCTCTCTTCTCTTCTCATTTCTTTTACTGCATGGGAATTGAACTTGTATTATCTTGATTTGATTTATTTTCCTTTGTTTCGGACAGAAACAGATTTCCTGTGTGGTGGTACCGAGGGCTTACTCGACAGGACCCGTAATGGCTGCAGATCAGCTGGGAAGGGTCCTGTCGAAGTGTATCAATAGAATAGAATCATCAGTCACGTCGACAATCGACAAGTTTTTTTTGGATCCATTTTTTCCCTCACATCTCCAGCTCAAACTCATAAAACAGGCACCATTCAGCTGTGGTTCTCCTGTGCTGAATTGCGCGGATCAGCCGAAAAAGAAAGACGCCTCATTTCGGACTCTATCTAAGCCGCCACACCAAACAAAGTTTTCGACCCAGCCCTCCGGATCAAGGCAGATTGGTCAGAATCAATGATATAATCGACTGAGAAAGTCCAACATCCAATACCGTTGGAAATCAATTGCTTTGTGGCAGACCAGCTCCAAGCGTCCTAGGATACTGACTCGACAACTCCGGACTTACACTACACTCAACCCCCCCTCCCCTCTCTTTTGTCCCCCGATCGCGAGCCACGACCCTTTTCCGCTGCGATCTGGCACCAAGAGAAGCATCGGGAACGCCTCTAACGGCCGGCGGATCCCTAGTCCAGCGACTGGGGTGGTTTGACCCATTCTGGGAGGAATGGTCCCCTCTAAAAAAATTGGACAAGAGGGAAGGGAAAAAAAAAATCACTACTACTAGATAGGTAGGCTTGGTAGGCACTTGACGTTGAGATGGAGCCTAGAAACTCAAGCGTGACTGTTTGTTTGCATGGGGAGCCCCCTCCCCCCTCTTCGACCCCCCCCCTTCCTACCATCTCATCCCTACCAGAAGATCGTCTCTTACTCCAGTTCGAACAACCATCTCTTTTCTCGCCCGTCGACCCCTGCCGAGACAAGTGATTTGCAACGGCTAGTGTACCAGTAAGGCAAGTGATACGCCCTGTTCGTCGGCAATCTTCATTTCTCTCCGGCTCCCTCTTCATCCTACCTATTCTTTTCGCATCCTTCATGCCCTCCCCCTCAACCCTCCCCCTTCCTTTGTTCCGGTATGGCGGGAATCTTGAGGGTTGAGAGAGGGAGGGGTATCGGGGGCTGGCTGGGGGGTCGGGGGGGAGAGAGAGGACCAACAGCCTCGACATGCAGGTACAATGGCAGCTGGAAATCTTGAGGAATCCAGGTTTCTGGATGGACAGGAATGTGCCTTTGTTTGGGGTAAGATAGATACGTACGTGCATACGTGTTTTAGTAGGTGCTAGTAGTCAGCTGAAGAGCAGTAGAATAGGGGGGGTGTGGGATAGGAAAAAAAAAGGGGGGGGGGGGGGGGGGGGAGCGGGGGACGGAGACTACGACGTGATCTGGGCAAACTTGCCGAGGCACGTCGAACACAGAGGCAAGGAATTTGAAATACCTGAAAGATAGAGCAAGAACAAGAGATCCAGAACTCCATACTCTTCATCTTCGGGCGTGCGTCATTCTGATTCCCCGGGACAACAATGACAACCCACAAGCAAAGGCTCGAAGTAAGAGGCGAACTTGAAAGAAAAGAAAGAAAGAAAGAGAAACAGGGCAAGAATTCCTGCGGAATCCCTCTCGCGTGCTCAGCGCTCGTATAAACCAACCAAACAAAAAGAGCCCACAGCAGTCTGTACCTAAACACTGGACAACAAACATGGCTTTCTCTTTCCCTTGTTTCCTTTTCCTTTTTTCCCTGGTGGAGAGTGTGAACATGTGCTACACCTAAACATTCCATGCTGCGCCAGCCTGAGCTTTACCGGAAACAGGCACCACGGGGTCCCAGCCATCTGGTTGTGTTGGTTAGACAGAACAGAACAGCTCGGGTCCAGGACGTTCCGCGGTCGGTAATGAGGCGCCCTTTTTGGGGAGGGGGGTTTTACTCCGGTGCGCTGGGTTCGCCGCAACGGTTTTTTGCTCCTGCAAAAGGTCTTGGGATTGTATGTACGTGTGAGGCAACCCATGTGCATCCTAAAGCATTCCCCATGTCTTGCCAGCAGTGTAGACGCCAATATCTTACAGGTACTCCTAGGAGGACATACTATCTATAATCTCTTTGAATAAGCCAAGTCCAAAATAAACTCAGTTCAAGACAATACAATCATGCGAAAAAAAAAACATTTCTTCTTCGTGGTGACAATGGACAACATGTAGGGACGGTAAAAGCCAAAGACACAGCAGACACAGGTCAACATGCCCCCATCTTCATGAAATGCTATATGCACACACCCCCCTCCTCTCCTTGGGGGAGGGGCGTCAGCGCAGTAAATCCCGAAAATTTTCGGACGCACCTTCCGAAGCCTCGCGCTGCTCAGCCCTTGGCGAGATCCGCTGCCGAAGGCGGGGCACGACGCGTGATTGGCCGCCGCCTGGGCGGGTGCTGAGCTTCCCGGGACCAGGGAGGGATGGATGATGACAATTGCAACAACGGGTGGGAAGGAGCAGGAGCAGCAGCAGCAGGAGGAGGAGGAGTCGCGCCTACCTAGTAGTCAACTAGCATCTACCTAGAGTAGGTGTTCCTTCCCACCTGGACTAGAGCATGCAAGGTCGTTGCAATGCAGGACAGATTGCAAGAGAAAGAGAAAAAAAAAAAAAACAAGGCAGGGATGTGGGAGGGACATGGGCAGCAAGGAAGGATAGGATGATGCTCCCCCACCCTCGCCATCGTGCCCGCAAAGAGCCCATCAAACTAACCGTTTTCCTTCAAACACAATGGACGAGATCTGGCCCGTCTGAATCAAACACCGTCCCTTGCTTCACTCGACCCCTTGTTTATGATCTTTTGACTTACTACTTGCCTATCTTGATTACCATCTTGGAAAGAGAAAATACGTCCCTTTGTGTGTGTGTTTCGTGCCTCGGCCCCGAGATTGTCTCTCTTCCCGGCTCTCCTCGCCCTCAACCGCCCCATGTCACGTCCACCTCTCCTCTCCTCTCCCCACCGGCATCTCATTCTCGCACCTTGACACTCCGGACGCCAGCAGGGGCAACCTAAGTGGCACATTCAATCATAGTAACTCGGAATATGACGAAATAGGGCTCAGGTGATGCTATCATGGTTACCCCTGATATAAGCGTCTTACCGCCCAAGCTCTGGCCTCGCTCTGCCCCCTCCACTGCCGGGACTGCGAATACTGTCCTTCCCAGACTGTAGGTAGGTATTCTTTTGATTTCTCGCCTTCTCCACCTAATGCTTGTCTACTTAGGTACTGGATGTACTAATCGGTCTTGCTTCCATTTTCAAGGGCTGCCCCGGCATGCCACCGTTGCGAGGAACGGATCTCGCCAATAGCTTGGCCGTCGGCCTGGGCATTATTCCTAAACAAGAGCTAGACAGGGAGCCATGGGTGACCAGAAAGAAGCCAATGAGCCCAACAACACGAACCAAAGAGAATGGTGGAAGGGGTGCAGCCGAGAGGGGGGGGAGAAAGAGGGGTGTCCTCTTATCGTTTCTGCTACCAAGGCGAGTAAAAGAAACGAAACAAGGGCATAGAACCCCGGCCATAGGTGCCAGGTGGTAGACAGACCAGTGTGTGCTTTCTCTCTTTGTGTGTCATGACATTACCTACTCATGGCAGCACATACCATGACTGCCTCCTTGGCCTCCTACACCCTCCAGATCCCCTCGCCAGGTTCTCCCCTTTCGCTTTCGAAACTCCCTTGGGCTTAGCCCACTTCTACCTTGATCTTCTTCCATTTTGCCCCCAACCAACGTCATCCATTCGTTCAGATAATTCCGGTGCCAAAAGGCTGGTTCCTGGGAGACCCATGCCGTCGTTCAGCTTGCTCACAAACCAACAACACAAAACAGCAACAACAACAAAGCACGAGCCAGTCCAGCTCCGACCCAACCAACAAAAACCAGCCTACTTATACTCACTTTATACCCGCCGCTTGCCGCAGACCTTACTTTGAACTCTAATTCGGACCCGAGGAGCGGGTGCTGGTCCCGGCAATCGATATAACGCACCCGAGCCAAGACAGTCGGGTATATAGACCAGCACATTTGTCCCCTGTTTGCCGATCCGGGGCACCGAGTGAACGTGTCTTTGCCGTCAATTTTTTCTTTTTTTTCTTCTTTTTTTTCTTTCTCCCTAACCTTCTTTTCTTCTTCTTCTCTTCTCCCTTGTCCCTCGATCTATGACTCAGATAATGAAAAGTAGCTTTGGTGGTTGGATGTCGTTGATTCGCCCACGCCACTGGGCCCAGAACCTCGTCTTTTGCCACGAGATATTGCGAAGACGCAACAAACCGCACTCGTCACCGTAGCATTTTTACCTTACCTTGGCTGTGCTTTGGGTACTTTGGCTGTTGTTGGCTGTAACTACTGTCCACATAGGCGCCTACTACTACTGTTCTACACTCTAGATGGTCGGGTGCCACTCTCTCGTCCTTCGACCCCTCCCCTCCCCCCTGGTTCTTTTTCTCATCAACATCTATTTCGCACATTCGCAGGCCCAGTACAAGTATTCTCTTTCACCATCATGAGCCAACATAGAGCTTGCCAAGTACTTGTCGCGTTGTGTCCGCTTCGAGTCTTTGTCGCGAGATATTCAAAGGGAAAAAACAAGAATTGTTGGCCTATGTTGAGACTCGGCCGCATTTTTGTTGTTCATATACATAGTGAGTGTCTATTTAGCACTTCAGTTGAGCTTTCTTGCATGCTAATATCATACCTTACATACATGAAGATGGAAATAAAACGCTGCTAGTGTTTTCTATATACACTACTAAGGTGTTATGAAGGAAGTTTATACTCAAGCTAACAGGATACAGCAATCGTAACAGGGATCAAGGTCTGTAAAAGCATTGTTTTTTTGTCATAGCAGTAGCAAGAATAATAACTATAATGAATTACATTATGCTGGGATGATAGGGTGCGGGATAGCTTCTCCCATTGTCAGACAAGGGTTGAGAACGATGCGTCAAGTACTGGGACGGTGGTAGGTTGTTTTAACTGCAGCTGTTTTGGAAAACATCAGCCACCAGTCATTGAATCGGGATGTGTATGTGATCCCAAACTCCCTTAGACATATCACGCAATAGAACTACGCTGCTTGATGATGGGACTGCTGAGTCGAGAGGACAAGACATGACGAGTACGATATCAACCTCGAACCATTACCACCTAGCCCAGGTCAGCACTTTACGCACAACTATCGCATATGCCGCATCTGATCTCAAATGGAAGCATCTACGAGCTCAGCCATCGTCATACGACGAACTTTGTAAAAGCTGATATAATCGAGATCTCACCAGCTTCGGGCAACCCCCCTTTCCAAGAGCGAAAAAGACATCTATATATGCTCACTTTTTCATCTATCCCTAAAATTACACTTGACATGACGTCCGCTAGAAGTACACACTCATACAGCTCTTGTACAAAACCCCCCCTAAACACTTCCAACATATCCCGACTTGGCCACACTGTTGACAAACAGCTCGCGGCACCGAACCTTGCTCTCCAGCCTCGCGCACAGCAGAAACGCGCCGCTCAGCTTCCGGTGCAGGCTGTACGTCTCCTCGGGCGGCGGCGCCAGCCGCTCGTGCAGCATCACCGGGATGAGGGCCTTGACCCGCTCCGTGATGGTCTGGTCCTTGAAGTCGTAGACCTCGGGCGCCGACGCGAGGAACGGCTCCGCCAGTGTCAGGACCGACTGGACGTGCGCGTCCAGCATCGTCCTGCTCTCGTGGCCCGTCAGGTAGCCCAGGCCCTCGGAGAACTTCTTGACGCCTTCCCGGTCGGACCGGGACGCGGCCTCGAGGAGCTGCACGTACTGCGAGATGAACTCCTCGGGGTACTCTCGCGAAGCGCCAAAGTCGAGCAGCTCGAGCTTGTTCGTCGCGGCATTGTAGAGGAAGTTGGTCCAGTTGGGGTCTGTCTGCATGAATTTGAACTCTGTAATCTCCCGCAGGCACAGCCGCAGGATCTGCGTGCCGATCCAGTCGCGCTGCTCCTGGGTAAACGACTTGACGCGGGTTACGCCGATGCCGTCCAGAAAGTCCATGGTCAATACTTGCTTGCCGGATGCCTCTGGGTACACGTCAGGGGCTTCGAAGACGTCCTCTTCGCCCCGGAGGAGTTCCTTGAAGCGCTTCGCGCATTCTGCCTCGCGCAAGTAGTCGCACTCCCAGCCCAGCTCCAGTCTCGCGTTGTCAATCGTCTTGTTCAGGTAGAGGCCCTTGGGGAGCAGCTTCGTGGCCGTCAGCAGGATGCCGAGGTTGTCCAGGTCAGAGTTGATGGAGTCGGCCACACCAGGAAACTGGATCTTGACGGCCACTCGCTTCCCGTTCGACTTGAGCACGGCCTTGTGCACCTGGCCAATCGACGCCGCGGCAATAGGCTTCTCTTCGAATTCGCTAAACAGGTCTCGCCAGTCGGAGCCAAGGTTGCTGGCCAGGACCCGGTCCCGCTGCCACGCCGGCATGTAGTCCGCTCGGTCCTGAACCCGCTGCAGCACCTCCTGGATAGGGGCTGGCAGCATCTTGGAGTCCTGGAAGCTCATCATCTGCCCCAGCTTCAGAGCGGCACCCCTCATCCGGGACAGCTTGGCGACCAGTCTCTCCATATTGCCGCCACTGAGCAACACGGATCCTTGGCCGCCGCCCCCAAAGGCTCTGCTGACGCTCTCCGTCACGGCTCCGCCAAGCATGCCGGCAGCCAGGCCGCCGTAGTTGAGGATGCGGCTGAATCGGGTAGCCGGCACTTTGGATTCCCGCAGCTGATAGCTGGGCACGTTTGCGGGCGGTGTTTCGGGGACGAAGGCCTCCTTGACAGCTTCGACTGTTTCCGCATCCACCTTGCCGGTGTCTAGCGGCGACTCTTTTCCTGGTGTGGCCTCTGCTGCGGACTCTGACGCAACCTGGGCTGCAGCCTCTTTTGTGCTTTCTGGTGTAGCTTCCGATGTGGCTTTGGGTACAGCCTCTGATACAGTTTCCGGTGTAGCCTGAAGTGTGGCATCCCGTAGAGGATCCCGCCGAGCTTCGGATTCAGACACCTTCGCCTCGCCTGGCGTTGACACGGAGGATCCAACAGACTCAGAGGTCTGACGCTGAACAGACCCAAGCTCCGCTACATCAGCGCTGCCACTTGTAGACTCGAGCCTAGTACTCAAAGGGCTGGAAGTTGTTGTCTCAGCAGTATCTGCCGCGACTGGAGGAGGAGAAGGAGGACGCGGCCAATACCGCAAAGGGTGCTCCTTTCCCGGCCCGCCTCCCACAGCCTGTCTTGTGCTCCTCGCCGGCCCTGGTTGTCTGCGTAGTGATCCCAAGATCTGCGAGCCCCGCGCAATATGGAAGACGTTGATGTCAGCTCCCTGAGGCACGCCCAGCTCTTCGTTGAGCTTGTCTCGATCCTGATCATGAGTCGCAGAAGATGTCCTCGGCGCTTCCTCTATCCTCTGTCGCACAGCATCGTCTCCTGACAAGGAAGTCTTGAACGCCGGCTGTTCACGGACCTTGAAATCTTCCACTTTCAACCCCTCTGAAACTGGCGTGGACGAGTATGAAGCCGCAGACTCGGACGCTTTCCTGCCAACGCCCTCACCGTCCACGCTCTCACTCTCCACCGCCTGACTCCCACGAGCAGACTCATTCCGCCTTGAATCGCCCGCCTGCGCCGCACTGCCGACAGCCTTGTTCCTCAACAAAGCTCCCACGCTCGACGTCTTGCTGTAGACGTCTAGCTGCCGGCCCCGAAGAGCGACATGCTTGGATGCGACTGACCGAGAGGCATTGAGAACCGCTGCGAGGTCAATCGCAAAGTCCACAAACCCCATGTGAACTCGCCGAATCCGCAAACAAGAGGGAGACGTGAGAAGGAAGGCAATTGGGGAAAGCAATGGCTGGGTATGCTCCTAGTAGTGACGATCGAGGCTTTTTGATATGGTTAGTGAAGCCCATGAAAAGGCCGCCAAGTTTTAGCTATGTATGTCGTCAAATTATGCAGTTAAGCGGGGCGACGAAGCTGCATGTCACCAAAGCAGCAACAGTGAGGCAGAGTCTATGATTCATACAACATACCTTATGTCTAGAACTAGGTGCTTAACTGTACAGGCTCCGGAAAATGCAAAGAGACTTGACTGATTACACGGAAATGAAGTTAACTTGGTGCTATTGTGATTATAATTCCAACTGTGAACTTGTATGGCCAACTGTCGACCTTCTAGTGAGCAAAGAGTATTTCTGGTCTAAAGACACATCCTTGCCATCCCGCTTTTCCTATCAGAAACGCCATGCTAATCCAACCTCCAAATCAAATCTCGAAATGAAATCACACGATAAAAATAGGAATAGAAAATCAAACTCCCAAGGAGTGCTGCTCTTTGAGGCAGGGAACATGACAACAAGCAAATGTCCACGTCGACAACACACCATCACTCTGCTTTGGGTGGCTTCCTGCTGACACTCTTCAGAAGCGAGCCTTTGGGCTTCCTTGGCGTTGCTTGCCCAAAGGGTTCGCCTGCTTTCCCCCTCAGAGGCGTCGCCATCTTGCTCCATAGTCGCTGCGCAGCTGGTGTCAAGCCTTCCGATACTCTGGGGCCGCTGGTGAATCGCGGTGTCTCCATCGCAGTCGCCTTGCCTGTGAACCCCCTCCGTTGAGAATCACTCTTAGACTTAGAGATGCGCTCCACCATTCGTTCATGAAGAAGCTCTCGCTTTCTCTGGTCTTGTATCTTGAAGGGATTCGTTGCATCTCCAGGTCCCAGATTGATGATAGGCGCGGGCTGGGTTGCAGCACCGTCGCCGTCTTCGTCATCTACAAAAGCGTAACCGTTTACCCGAGGAGTTTCGCCGCCGCCAACAATGCTGGAATCGAGATCGTTCTGACGCGGCTTTCCCGCAATGGCGTCGCGCACCGACGACATGGTCGGCGACGGCGGCCGTTGCGGCACGTGAGGCTGTGGCATCCTTGTGTTCTCGTAGCTGATGGAACGTGGCGCCATTCGAGACTGCTCCTCTGCGCTCTCGGCGACCGTCTTGACGCCGTCCTCGAGGCCGTCCGGGGTAAACATTAAGCCATTCCTCGGGGCTGCGTTCCACGCTTCCGGCCGCGCCGGCCGCTCTTCAACATCCTTAATGGCCAATAAATCTCTCTTGAACCCGTCATCAACCAGGCTTCGAGTCTTTTCCAGCCTGTCGGTGACCTCTTTCTGCTTGATCATCTGCTTCGAGGGCAGCTTGTTTCCGCGCCAGAGCCAAGCGTACTTATCAGCCCTCTTCTGGTTCTGCCTGTCAATCAGCTTATAGAAGCTCTCGTTGTCCTCGCTAGTGTAGGTCGCCTGAAATGCCGACAGGCTCAGGTTGAGGTCCAGCTTCGGCTTGTCTTGCGCGACGCTTGTTGCCATCGACGCTGGTGTATCCCCGACGAAACTAGTAGGTGTCTGGTTGCCGCTTGTAGCGTTGACTGTTGAGGCTGATCTGGCGGGTTTGCGACCAGGTGTCATGACGCTTCGGAGCCTTCGACCGGCGCTTGTTATCCAGGCCGCATCCTTCGACTCCAACGCGTCCAGGTACTCCTGTTGAATCTGCGTCTCCAAAAGGCCCGGAAAGAAGTCTCTGGCAATAATCTGAGAGAGGGCCTCGGTGTAGGCATCCTCCTCCAGCACCCTTTTCGGTCTCTTGATCTTCTTTGCTGGAGGCGGAGGTGGCATCAGGTCAGTGTCGGTCCTCTTGCGCACCAGGGCGCTCGAGGACCCGGCCGCGGAATCCATCGCCAGCCGCGTCAAGGCTGAGCTCAATGCACTTTGTGAGTCTGTGGCGTCTAAACTAAGTCGTGAATCGAACGTTTGTCATGAGCGTCCCATTTGCCGTGGGTCGAAACAGTGGTGGTTTTGTTCCTTGAGTGACGATGTGAGAGATTGTGGTGTTGATGCAGAAGTCGAAGTTGGCGGCCTTTGACGTTGGAAACGCATTGAACAAAGAGCAGAGCCGCTATGGGGCAAGTACCGTGCGGTTGGCGGTACTTTGGACCACTGCCGTCACTACAGCACACCCCTTGTTACTTGCCCCACAGTCGCCACCACATGTACACGCGCACTTTGCACTTGCACGTCATGCATCTATCCGATCAGCTGGCGCCTGGGTGGTCACCCATTTGATCGGGCAGACCGTTACAGAGGCCACAGGCGGGCTCTAGGGCTGCACAGCGGCCGAACGTCGCCCCCGACAGTGCTGGAGATGCGTACCCACAGGGCACATGGCAGCGGCAACAGCGCAGGGCTACAGGGGGCGAGGGGCGCATCGAGGCCTTGGAGGCTGCACTTACAGTACACCTCATGTACGGCACTTGCAGCCCCTTCTCCTCATTCGGGACCATGTTAGGCCCAATCGAGAATCCACTTCGCTTCCCCAGTTCTTTATCGATTCTCGATTCCCATGGAACACCACCAAAGGTTTTGGGCTCTCTTGCAAAAAGTCCAACTGCTTCCACTTCTCCCTCCAGATCCTGCGCCTGCGACGCTGCCTGGCTTCCTCGACGAAGAGAGCGTCTTTCTTGTATAGAACTCTGCCCGAGAACCATTTTATCTCCGAATCCTGCGAAATTTCCCCGCGAGAGCTTGGCGCACACGATACCCCAAATCTCGAATCCTCGGATCTCTTCCCCGTCTCCCCGCGTGTTCCAGTCCTGATTATCCTTCTTCAAGATGTCGCAAACGGCTGTCGACTTGAAGAACCAAGGAAACAAGGCTTTCGCAGCTGGAGATTACCCTGCGGCAATCAACTTCTACACCAAGGCCATCGAGGCCGATCCCACCGAGCCCACGTTCTTCACCAACAGAGCCCAAGTCTGTACATCCGATCTGCACCGGCTTGTTGTCGGTACCGTCGACGGCATCGTGGCTGACTGGTTCTCTCTCTAGGCGTACATCAAGACAGAAGCATACGGATATGCGATTGCCGACGCTGACAAGGCACTCGAGCTCAACCCGAACCTGGTCAAGGTAACCATGACTGCCATCCGGATAGCTTGACATGTGAGTGGTCGGCAAGCTAATCGATGGACGTTTTCTTATATAGGCATACTTCCGCCGAGGCCTCGCCCGCACTGCGATCTTGAGACCCAAGGAGGCCATCGAGGACTTTAAAGAATGCGTTCGGCTAGACCCCAACAACAAGGATGCGCGACTCAAGCTGGAGGAATGCAAAAAGATTGTGCGCCAATTGGCCTTTTTCGCAGCCATCGAGGTGGGCGATGAGCCTTCGGCTGCGGAAGGGCTCGACCTGGAGCACATGGTCGTTGAGGAGGGCTATGACGGAGTGCGGCTGGGCGACGAGATGACCCAGGAGTTCATCGACGACATGACTGAGCGATTCAAGAACGGCAAGCTCATTGCCAAGAAATACGTCTATCAGATCCTCATTGCCGTCAAGAAGATTGTGTACGAGGAGCCCACGATGGTGGAGGTGGACGTTCCTGAGGGAGTCGAACTTACAGTCTGCGGTGACACTCACGGTAAGCAAAACATATCGAGCCGAGGTTATCCTGGTTGGCTATTCCCAGGGGGCTAATCCGTTTAATGCCATATCCAGGCCAGTACTTTGATCTCATGGAGCTGTTCCGGCGCAATGGCAGCCCATCTGATAAGCATTGGTACTTGTTCAACGGCGATTTCGTCGATAGAGGGTCTTGGTCTACCGAGATCGCATTACTGCTGTACGCCTACAAGTGGCTGCGACCCAAGGGTTTCTTCCTGAATAGAGGAAACCACGAGACGGACGACATGAACAAGGTGTACGGCTTCGAGGGAGAATGCAAGGCCAAGTACAACGAAAGGTAACTCTTGAACTTTGATTCTGGGTATTGCTGGGTCTCGAGGTTGACTGACACCTTGCGCAGGATATTCAGGCTATTCTCCGAGAGCTTCTCCGCATTGCCCCTGGCGACGCTGATCGGATCCAAGTACCTGGTTCTCCACGGCGGCTTATTCTCCGATGATAAGGTCACGTTGGACGACATTCGCAAGCTGAACCGACACGCACAGCGCCAGCCCGGTCAGGCGGGCCTGATGATGGAGATGCTGTGGACCGATCCTCAAGACGAGCCCGGCCGAGGACCCAGCAAGCGAGGCGTCGGCATGCAGTTCGGCCCCGACGTCACCAAGCGTTTCTGCGAGAACAATGGCCTCGAGGCCGTCATCCGAAGTCACGAGGTGCGCATGGACGGCTACGAAGTGCAGCACGATGGCAAATGCATCACAGGTACGTATCAAGTTTATTTGAAGATGATACATCCCATGTCTGTATGTCCACAGAATAAAGCTAACCAAGACACTCTTCTTTAGTCTTCTCCGCCCCGAGATATTGCGACTCAACCGAGAACAGGGGCGCTTACATCAACATCGGACCTGATTATAAGCTGCGATTCGAGCAGTTCGACGCGGTACCGCACCCGAACATCCGGCCAATGGTAAGCCTCCCTGATGCTCTCTTCCCCATGCTTCCGCTAGAACGAGTCCTGATGTGATACGTAGGCTTACGCTCAAAACTCCCTGATGTCGTCTCTCATGTAAGACTTGAAGCCAAACAGAGGACAGGCGAGTAAGGACTTGGAAGAGCCTGAGAATGTTTCTCTAGCACCTAGTTGTCCAAAGGGGTATCAAGTTAGAGAAAAGAGTGAAAGAACCTGAGAAGGACCTGAGAAAGACGGCCATTTAGAGGCACTACTTAGATATACCCCGTTGTAGATTAGGTATTTCAGGTTATGCAGCACCAATGCCTCAATTGTTCCACAGCTCATCTTGTCCATGGCTCCCAACCATTGCGCCAAGCCAGTCAGAGCACTGCTTGACCCGCAAGAGGAAGTCGACGCCTCCATCGCTGGAGCCCTTCCAGGCCGTCAGCGCGGCGGCAAAGGCCCCCAGGTCATCTCGAGGAACCCGGATCCAGCACTCCGAGGCCTCGACCTTGAGCACGTCGAGCGGGATCGCGGTGCCCGTCAGCCCGAGAAACTGGCGCAGAGCAGCCGTGCAGTACGACTTGACTTGGAGGTTGTCGAGCTCGACGGCGGCGGCCGCCTCAGGAGGGTTCGTCAAGAGCTCCAGATGGATGTATGAGAACGGCGGTGTCTTGATGGTGCACGTGAGGAGTTCGTGCGTTTTGGAGAGCCTTGACTTTTCGAGAATTGATCTTTGCGAGGCTGGGGCTGTTGCTTCAGACATCTTTTGTATATGATATTGCGTGCAATGCGTGTAAGTTGTGAGAGTGGTTGTTTGGGTTGGCAGCTGTTGATGGGTGAAAATCCAGATTGCGTTTGGTGCATGATTTGCGTTTAGATGCATCGGTTCATAGTGTCATTCTGGGTATTATTGGGCCCTGATCTGTACATTTGGCTCACACAACAGCCATCCCTACTGATGATCGGAGTTCAATACTGTGGAAATAGAAATTAGAACATAATTAGATTTCGACATAGAAAAGCCAAATTGAGCTATCTTTCCATCTACAAGAAAAGACATGACAAGCAAAGATTGGTAACTGTTCAAAGAGATTCGAGCTCCGTTGTTAGCACAGAAAGGTACGTACCTCCCATGCGTCTCGGAAGCAATTCCGCATTAGCGCCTTTCCCGCCAACCCAATCCATGGACTTCTATTCCGTCTTCAACACTTCCTTCAGCCTTGCCAACCTCGCCCCGACAAATCCCCATCCTCATCTCTCACACTTCTTTCAAGCACTCCATCACATCAACCATGTCCAACTTCGTCACCCCCGGCCAGCAGCGCTACCTGCGCGCCTGCATGGTCTGCTCCATTGTTATGACATACAGCGTGCGTCTCCGCCTCCCCGAGACTTCCCTCTCCTTGTCTCTCCTACCACCGGTAGAAACGCGAATCAACTCCGCTAACCCCCTTCTTAACCCCCCAACAGCGCTTCCGCGACGAAGGATGCCCCAACTGCGAAGAGTTTCTGCACCTCATCGGCTCGCAGGACCAGATCGAGAGCTGCACCTCCCAGGTCTTCGAGGGCCTCATCTCGCTCGCCAACCCGGCCAAGTCGTGGGTGGCCAAATGGCAGCGCCTCGACGGCTACGTGCCGGGTCTCTACGCGATCAAGGTCTCTGGCCAGCTGCCCGACGAGATCCGGTCCTCGCTAGAGGATGAATACCGGATACAGTATATCCCGTACGTACAACGCAATCGATGCACACGACTTGGGTATCATCGACAGGAGGGACGCTAACGTGTGTTGACAATGCAGGAGAGATGGCACGCAGACCGAGACGGATGCCTAATACAAAGGGGCAAATAGCACGATATGTCATTTAGCGTTTAATACGGGCGAATACGGCGTTATAGGTTCGGGAATTGAGAATTTATTAGACCTCAAAGACTGGGTAGTCATTTGAATTATTATTCAAGACATTATGGTATCTGTGGAAAATGCAAGCGTGCTGCGAATACCTCCATTCTATATGTAACCGACGCGCCGTGGCCAGATCAGAATTCCAAAAGAAAGAAGAAAAACGCCATATCAACCCATCGTAAATGCGCCCAGCACTGTGCCTAATTTGTCCTTTGCTTCTTACCACTGGGCATCCCGAATCCGACAGAGCCGCTGGGTCGCTTTCTCTCCATTTCTTCCTTCATGATCCTCTCGGCCTCACTCATCTTCTTGGGCTGCTGCAGTATGGAGCCCTTCTTCGATCCTGAAGCCAGCGCATTCTTCTTAGCCTGCGCAAAGACGTTCTTGGTCTGTGGTTTTTCGCCGAGCTTCAAAGACACTCCGCCAAAGCCTCCCTTGGTCGCAGCTGGTTTCGGTTGCTCCTCCTTGGGGGCGGCCGTGTTTGTCTCCGCAGACTTTTCGCCGCCTTTAGGTTCTTCAGGCTTGTCCTTCGTGGCGTTCGGTAAAGGCTCGTCTTCCGGCTTGGGCTTAGGCTTCGCACCAAATGACAATTTGATTTTTTCACCCTCTTGTCTCTTGAGCTCCCTGCCTTCCGCCTCCTCTTCACCCTCTGCATCGCGTTTGCCGGCCATCTGCTGAGCTCTCTTAATCTGCTCTCGTATCATGCGCTGCTCGATTTCTTCGTCGCCCTGGTCTTGTGCTTCTTTCCTCCTCAGTGCCTCTTGTCGTCTGAGGGCGTCGGGAGAGTTGTCGATCCAGCTGATGTGCAGTCCCTTTTCCGTCTCCTCAACCCGACATATGCCTTCCCTCCCCAAATACTTTGCAAACTCGGTCAATGACGGCCACTTTGTCGCGTTCATGTGAATGTGTTCCTTGTTGGCAATGTATTCCTGGTAGAACTGGTTCAGGTGCACCTGCTTTTCTCCGTGCGCCGTCCGCAGCAGCTGCAGAAAGTCCTTGAGGAACTCGTCGCTGTACTGGTTGATGAACTTCTTGGGGTCCTCGCCGACGACGAGCATCTGCCGCACGTGGCTCTCGGACTGAGTGTGCATCTTGAAGCCGTTGGCATCGCGGCATTGCTTTTCGCAGACTTGGCAGTACCACCGCAGGCGCTGGAGGCCTTTGGACTTGAGCTTGTTGCTCAAGTGTTTGGTCGAGCCGACCTCTGCTTTGGGCATTTTGTGTTGTTTTCGTAAAGAAGTGAAGCCAAATGTCCTGGTATTTTTTGTTTCAGAATGAGCGCTTTAGTGTAGCCAGAGATTGGAATATGAGATTGGGCTATCAGGTTGATGGCAGCGGCAACTTTTGATTGAGGGTGCGATGGATGAGTGAGGTAAGTACCTATCGAAGGTTTGATTGTCAGAGCCCAAGTTAAGGCGCGACTCAGCCTTGCAGGGACAAAAGCTTATCTCTTATCGCCACCTTAGCTGCTGCTGACATGGGTCTAGGGGGTGACATTACCTCAGCCTTACCGTAGGATCTCTTAGCTCGGCACCGACAATGATTACTGTTGCTGCATCAACGCCACTTCAACTTTCTTTCTCCATACCTTAGCAGTTACATGACCGGCATCTTGACTCTTCAACTGCTGCTTCGTACTTCACCCTCACACGGCGATAACCAAGACCGCATCTCACAATGTCTGAGCGAAAAGTCCTGCAGAAATACTACCCCCCGGATTTCGATCCCAACGACATCAGCCGCCGTCGGGGACCCAAACCCACAGGGCCGAGAATCCAAACCGTCCGACTCATGGCTCCCTTTTCCATGAAATGCCTGAGCTGCGGCGAATACATCTACAAGGGCCGCAAGTTCAACTCGCGCAAGGAGATCCGACCGGACGAGAAATACTTGGGCATCCAGATCCTCTTCTTCCACATCAAGTGCACGCGATGCAGCGCCGAAATCACCTTTCGCACCGATCCACGAAACACAGACTATGCAATGGTCAAGGGCGCCATGCGCTCATTTGAACCATGGCGAAACAAGGAACTGGCTGAAGAGACGCTGGAGGAGAGGCTGGATAGGCTGGAGCGGGAAGAGGCCGAAGCCGCGGGCGAGGAAGAGAAGAACGCCATGGAAGACCTCGAGGCGAAGAACGCCGATGCTCGACGCGAAATGGCTGCAGCCGATGCGCTGGACGAGATTCGACAGAGAAATGCGCGGATACATCGTTCGGAAAAGGAAGGTGTGGATTTCGCAGACACCATCATTCGTTCTGGAGATGAAGAGCGCGAGCGGCAAGAGAGAGAAGATGCTGAGGCTGCCAAGAGAGCATTTGCGGCAGCCGCTAATCGGCTGAAAACTCTTGGCCCAGAGAACCCTGGCGTTGTGGAGGAAGTCGTTGAAGTTGCTGAAGTGTCTGGGCCGATGAGTGGTGATAAGGCCGTGGAGGCTCCAGCTGCCTTGGATTCCAGCGCGGCGACCAGTTCCATGCCGCCGCCGCCACCGCCGCCGTCATTCAAGAGGGCTGTGAAGAAGAAGAAAGACCATGCTGCTTTGCTCGGTATCAAGAAGAAGCCCTCTTTAGTATAGCGAATATTGCGAGAAGGGCGAGGGCGAGGGCGGGAGCAGTTGTTGATTTGGAATCCGAACTATGAGATATGGAATAGGTTCGGGATCATCCTGAATTTTCTATGCGATGTACATAATAAGGAAAGAAGCCTTATACAAGGCGCGAATGGAGGATACACCTGGGTCGCATAATGAAAATTTTACGTAGCGTTTCTTGTCACATAACACATTCGATCATCTCACATCTACACGAAGGAGCATCAGAGGTGGTAAAAGTGAATACAAACGAGTGATTGCATTGGATTGAAACCTCATCAGTTCCATATTGCCTCGTTAACTTGCTATTATCCTCCATTGAAGGTGGCTTCAACAGCCTGATATAGCCTGACCCCCCCTTTCGCCATTCCGGTGACCGTGTATATACCAGAACCCAAACAATACCCAGACCACCGCGGATGGTTCTTCCATGCCATAAACCGATTAACGCCATGCGTGTATCATATATGTTCGTTAGAGAAAAGAGTAAAAGAATTAAAGCGAGCGGCGATTAGCGAATGGCTCGAGTAGGCTCGTCATCGAAGTGACGCAACAAATTGCATTTTCGGCTGCGTTGCAAAATCCGTGTTCGAAGAAGACGTTTGTGTCTATACTGGCAGTCCAAGACGTGGACTACCTATGCCATGATATGGTTCGGCTGCCGAGCTGTCCGGGCAGTACCACACTGTGGGCAATGCCCAGGGGTAATAACTGCACCATGATTGAAACTTTGCTATGATGGCGAGTCAAGCGAGATACGCGCGCGGGAATCGAAAACGCTCGAAATCAGAAAAAAGTAAAGCTCCGCTAGACATGACGCCTCATTTTGCTTTTGGACACCCGCAGATCAAACGCGGGAAACTAGATTGTGGGAGCCGTTCCGTTGGTCATGGATGTGCCGACCGATGATCGGTTTCTGGAGCCGGAACTTGACGATGACAGGCCGCCAAAGGCCTGCATTTGGCGTTTCGTGTGGTCGTGGATGAAGCGGGAATAGCTGGAGATGCTCTGCGGAGGAGGAGGGGACTGGGGGATGGAAACATTGAAGGCGTCTTGTGAGCTCGGCATCATGATTTGAGGTTGTGATGAAGCTTGGGTGTTAAGGTTGTTTGAGGTTGAGTGAGTTGGAGACTGAGCGACTTCAGATCGGAGAGGCTGATGATAGATGAGAAGTTAAGGTGGTGGTTGAGGTTGATGTGTTAAGACACTGTATTATGATTGTAGATTGTTTGTCGTGTAGGGCTGTCTGAGAGGAGAGAAGAAGAGGTTGATATAGACAGGAGTAAAAGGCGAGATAGTGGTAGGCAAGGCTGGAGTAGGGCGTCGATGACGTATTACGCGAGATGAAGCAAGTAAGGACAAGGCTGCGGCAGGAAAGAAGCACAGATGTCGTCGTGGCGAGCCAGAAAGGAAGGAACGAGGCCCAGCCGCGGATCTCAGGGTCTTTTTATAAATCTCACCACCGGGGTCCTCCACCCAATTCTTCCCCCTCATTCGACCTCGACATGCATCTCGCCGACCAGAGACAACGGCTGGAACCCCTACTGTGCTGTACATACAGTAATCAGAATGGGCTGCATGGGCAAGACTACCTAGTAGGGGTCCTCGACAACCACCATCTCTGCTGTGTACATACCTACATTCAGTACAGTGTTATGTATTGTCCCCTTTCTTTGCGTCTCTGCCCTAGACCCCATAGTCTGCCTCACACACGCACAAGCAACACACACACACACACACAGGACAAGCCCTCACCCCCTTCCACGCCCCTCCCCCTCCGCAAGCCAAAACGGCCGCTCTCCATACATACAAACGAGCTGATCGGCATCTGGACGAATCAACCGGCGGTAGCTCAGGTGAAAATGGCGTACGACCTGCTAACAAGCGCTGCAGTAGCACGTCGACAAGGGCCTGTTCCCTGCTCGAAGCCTGCTGTTTGGCCACCGCGAGTGATGCTGATAATCGCCTCGCAATCCCCATCGGTCCTAGACGCCTCCACCGCCGCTCATCCACTTCCTCCGCATGAGCTCGACACCCGTTTTGGACCGGATGGGCTGCTGCTTCGCTCAGGGTCCTGCTGAGGCCCACGCCACCACAATCATAGTGGAGCGCCTTGGTGGGATGGCGATCGTCGTCTGGCATGCCACTGCGTACAGGTACTCGTACTGTCTTGTACGGTGGACATGTGTAAGAACGCTTTCCCAAGGCTTCTTCCAAGTTTTGGGGGCGGACAGGCGAAAACGGTGGCCCCAGGTCATGGCTACCGTACAAGACAGTACGCAAGGATCTGTCTCTGCAGCAGGCCTTGGAAAATGAGCAGCAGCAACCCAGCGTGTGCCTCATGCTCGTCACGCGCATGTCATGATGCCTCGCTTTGCCCGCTGCGAAGGCCGTTTCTGGTACGGATAGGCACTCTGCAGGATCTATACCGTCTTGGCCGTCTACGCATTCGGCATCGTACGGTGATTACGCGGATCACTCCTTACGTGCAACCGTGGTGCCGCGTCCCAGCCATTCGTTCCACGAGCATGAATACTTCGCTGATGCTTTGTTGCTCGTGGCGGCTGGCAACTAGGCTGCAATCATCCTATGGAAGGCAATGCGGTAATAATGGCACACCAGCAGGACCATTCTTATCCACGACAAGATGCACCCATCAATGGGCCGACAACCCGTACCTATCTCGCCATTTTCGAACAGGCCACTGTGGGTGGGATTCGAAGTGTTCGAGGCCTTCGCTTTGTGGCACAACAGAGGTTGACAAGGTTTGCGACCAGACATGCGACTTGTCTCGGCACATGATTGACATGGGTATTGAGCATCAGCTCTGCTATCTCCATTCTCGAGCTTCCGTCACGTTGGAAAACCGGGCCCTGCGGACGTTTACACTGGGCCGTTGGCCGATGCTCGACGCGAGATGCAGCAAGTTGTACTGTGGTACTGTGCATGCCCAAAGATCTCCAGAAGACGAGAAGATGTGGACGAATTAGACCAGCCTTTCAACTCCTTGGCTCATTAATTGCGTCTTGCTTTTTGGTCCAGTCCCAAGTCGACATGCTATGAGACTTTAGGGGAACTCGCTGCCATCGTCACCACTAGCCAAACAGAAGACACGGACATGTTCAGTGCACAATCACATAATACCCGTCTATTATGGCTTTGATCTCAACAAAGTTTACGCATCGAGATCTAAGCGGCGCCACTTGAGATTACCTTAACATGATTCTTTTCGAAGAAGAGTTCCAACTGCCGTCTTCACATGGAACATGAACCACAGCGACAGAAGCCCAGATCCGCCTGCTCTTGGTTCGATTCCACCCTCTCCCATGGCATTGCGCCGTCCCGTCTGAATGAAGTCACAAACGGCACAAGGAGGGCAACAGTACGACGAGGGCCTCGTCTGCCATGGCGGCCGTACTGTAGGGGCCCGTGCCGCCGAATCAGCAGCAGAAACCTGGCTGGACTTTCGACTGAAGCCGCGGTGCGTGATGTCACCTTCGGCCCCACAGGGGAAAACGGTGACGGTGATTGAGACGTAAAAACGCTGCTCGATCCGGGCGACGTTTTCGCCTCCTCCGTCACGAGCTCCACACGGACGGCCTTCGACGACATAACGGTGCGTTTGAGGCATTCCTTGGAGGGCTGCCACCTCGTGTGAAAGCTTCCACTTGGTGTTGATGATCGTCAACCTTTCGGCTCTCTTGATCAAGGCTTGTTAGTAAACTTGCCAGGCGCTTGTTCAATAACACACAACCCATCGCTTGCTAGGGTACGCTTCATACGGAGTACATACGTCCGGCTTCCCCAACGACGTTTGGATGCATGTTTGAATCATTGGGGTCCACCTCGAGCAAGCTTCAAGGTTCCTGCGTCACAGACCCAAGATCGACGTCCTGGCTTTTCGACAAGGTTCCCTGTGCCAAGCGAACCAAGCTTTTGCCCACCATCGCATCATTTCCCCAAGCTCTCGATGGAGCCTGGCCTAATAGATCGTTAATCCTTATTTTGAGTTGCCTTCGTGAGGCTCGCCGTGTTGGACGGCACCATCCGCGAGGTTTTCGACGTTTCTGTGGACCGAGGGTGTCTCTACAGGCCAACCAGCGTGGCTCGATCCAGCAATTCCATGTATCGTCTCCCAGATCTTGTGTGGCCGTAACCGCCAGTTTAATTCATCTACACCTGGTGATCCACTCCACGCCACAGCATGGACCCCTTTTTTCCTCGAGACGTTCTTGCTGCGTTTTGGGGAGAAGCTGGCCAGGTGAGCGAGCGGCTCACCCACTTCACCTTGCTGCACCTATTCAATATGTCTTCAAGGGGTCATTCAGCAATTCAACTGGCACCTAAAGAGGAGACGATCATGGCCCCCAACGAACAATCCGGCACTCATGGCCCTGTCCTGCAAGAAAGCCAGCATTGCCCCATCCGGAAGACTGGGTGCAGACCTTGTTGCCTGGCAAAATGGTCAGCAACAACATCATCATCCGCATCATTCCGTGTCATCCTTAGGTTGAACTGTTGCCAAAAAGACGGCGACTTACCTAGAGCTAGAGAAGAGGCTATTCCCAGTGCAATAAGCAACAAAGGACATGCACATGTAGCTTGTGGGGGTGTGATGAGCAAAGAGAATGCCATTCACGTCATGCCCGCATGGCTGTGTATGACGTTGCGCGGACCTTGCTATTTGCCCCCTTTCAAGGCAAAGAGTCGACCAACCCTATCTGTGAGGGCCACACGAGGCTACGCCTGTGTTGTGACAGCAGTAGGAAGGGTTCTTCCAGAAGACGAGAAGTCGCATACACCATGCGAATAGCTTCCAGAGATTGGGCTGTTGACCGATCGCTATGATGAAACTGGCGTTCGAAACCTGGCCATCCACATAGCTACCGTGCTGGAGCCAATCGATCGATAGAGACCGCTAGGGTTGCATCCGACTCGCACGAGCAGCGTCATATCCCCGACTGTGACGAAGTGGCAACTGCTTCCTTTCGCTTTGCAACTTCTCCTCAGGCTTATCGTGATACAGCAGCGAAGATTACTTGTTGCCCATTGGTTTCTGGCCCTCAACGCCTTAGCAAAGAAGGGCCGCTTTTTGAGGGTTGGCGATCATACGACGTCGTTTGATATCACAGACATGGAGCAGTTGACAAGTCGGCCTTGAGGTGATAAGTCATGACATTCCTTTGACCCAACCCACGCGCGCTTAACGGGACAATCGAAACAATGAGATGCAAGTCATCAGTATGCCGACGGGCTGCAGTAGCAGTACCAGCAACTTGCCTCACACCATCTGGGCGATTAGCTTCGGGGATTTATGACCTCTCAAGAGTCTCCTCTGATACTGTATGAAGCAATCTCTAGATTTTCCATTAGGGGCAAGTCAGCCTGTGACGCAAAGACTTGGGTTAGGGTAGGGAAGATCTGCGGTCTTGCAAGTGGGATTTGTCTTGTGTAAGCCTCTAAACTTAACTCTCCTGTGCTTGATTGCGATACCATGAAGTTGCTGGGGCTCAAATCTTGGCGACGAAGACTTGCTTTCTGGTATTGACTTCATGAGACAATGGCTTCCACCAACTGGCAGCCATCATCTGGTTGCCGCTCGTAGACCTAGAGACGACCCAGAGAGAAGGGTAAGTGAATAGAACCGGTTATAGCTCCTCGCTTTCTGCAGTAGTGTCTTCCCACGCCCGCTAGGTCCAAGGAAACAGAAGTGAATTATTACAGAACCTCCGTCATAACGCATGAAGAGTACAGTGCGATACAAAGACGGCCATGGAAAGCAAGGTGGTAGCAAGTAGTAAGTGAACAGCCGCGGGCATTCCCTAATGACGCCTCGACACCCTCTCCAGGTGAGCCAACTCCTTCTTCTCCTTGGACGCCACCTTCTTGCGCTTCCGCTCAATGGCCCTGTCGACCTGCCCCTTGCTCATGTTGGCATACCTGTTGAGCAGCAGCTGCTTCTTCTGCTCGCTCTTGCGCAGGTAGAAAGGCTGCTTGCCCTGCGCCACCAACTCCTTCTCCTTCTTGCGATGCTCCTGCAGCAGCCTGGCTTCCTCCTCCTTCTTCTGGCGGGCCTTTTTCTTGGATTCCATTGACAGCAGCTGCCGCTTGAGCTCCTCCTTGGCATACTCGTCCTTGGTCTTCTTGATCTGCGCCCGCAGGTCCGCCATCTCCTTTTCGCGATACTCGTCCAGGAAGGCGTAGTTCTTGGCGAATTTGGCCTCGTCCAGCGGGCCCGTCAGGACGTCGAAGCGCGGGTCGCGGGCCTTGCGGCGCGGGTCGGGCAGGATCTCGCGGCGTCTGCTGACGGGCTTCTTGGATGTCATCTCCTGCGGCGCGTGCTTGGAGCTTCGCTTTGATGATGTGTCGATCCGGCTCTTCTTCCTCTGCTCTCGTTCTTGCCTCAGCGCCTCCCTTGATGATGGGGCTCCTGGTTGTGCTTCGTCCTTGTCCTTGCTCCCATCGGCGGCCTTTTTTCGTTTCTTGTCGGGCGGTGGTAGACTGGCTGCTGCGCGGGCTAAGGCGCCAAAGGAAATGGATGAGAAGTCTGTCTTGGGTTCATCTTCTTCGGCTTCTTCAGACTGTTGGAAGACATTCGAATTAGTAAACGTAGATCTAACTCGAAGAGTATTGTTGCCTGTGTGTTGCATAAAGCTGCATACTTCTGAGCCAGACCCTGAAGCAGAGTCTTCGTCCTCGTCGCCGCTGTCGACTTCTGATTCTGACACCTCTTCGCCTGAGGAGTCGTCGCTGGCACTCAATCCAGGCTCCCAGTCCTCTTCGCGCCGAGCTTTGACACGGCGTTCGAGCCCCAAAGCGCCGAGTTTTCGTTTGGAAGACATTGTCAATGGGATGCAGAATTGGTGTTTGTGTTAGTGTACTAGTAACCAGTAGCAAGTAAGGTAAGGTAGTCGACTTGAGGATCCTGCCATAATAACGAGACGCTACTAAGCTGCAGCATCTCGTGCTAGACAAATTATTTTTCTGGAGCATATCTTATCGATAATAGATCCTGGCTCGCTACCTGGCCTTGATGCATATACTATGCAAGTAACCGGTATTGATATGGGACTTAGCGCCCAAATTTCGATTCAACACCAAAATTCCCCATCGCCTCTCATTAGGTAGTTGGAACAAACGAAACAACCAAAACAAACCTCAGTCCCCCGAGCAACTCCCACCACCTCTCGGCATGTCAAGTTGCAAAACTTGGATCAACACTTGATGTGGCGTCGCAGAATAGCCTCACAGCCTGGCTGTTTCATACGCACCCTTTCAACCGCTCCCCGAACGTATTCTTATACCAGCAAAGGCCGACGACGACTTCCTCACCGCAGTCCCCCGCGACAACCTCCTCCTCCCTCCAGGGCGCCCTGGCTCAAGATCCGCGAGAGTCCAGATCCGCCGCTCGCATTACGCCGCGCGACCACGGCCGACTACTGTCCCCTAACGAGCGAGCAAAGCAAGCAGGAGGCCACAATGTCGCCTCAGACCATTCAGATCCCGGGGCTGACCCTGCTCAACAATCTGGCGGCGCCGCATGCGATCGCAGCGACCCCGGATGGCGGCCTCGTCAGCGCACCGGCTAAGAACCCTCAGCCAAAGGCCAAAGCGCCATACGCGCCGCCGCGAAAAGCCAAAAAGGAGAACAAGAAGGCGAAAGCGAGGAGAGTGCAGGCCGAGTCTGAGGCTGCCGCTGCCGCTGCCGCTGCGAGTCGCACCGCAAATGCACAGGCTTCTGCTCCTGCGCCTGCTCCTGGCCAGTTTGGGTATGATGAGCCATTCCTTCTGTCACATTGACCTGATGCGCTTCTGTAGGCTTCATCACTGACCGGTTCTTGTTTGCAGCTTTAGCGACTTCAGGAATCCCAATGCCAACTTCGGCCTCAACTTCAACCATCCCAATAATTTCGGTCTCAACCTCAACGCCCCCCACAACTTCGGCTTCGACATGAACCCCTTCCACAACCACTTCTTCAACAACATGATTCCGAACAACTTCACCGCACCACCTCCCTTCAATGCTCTCAGACCCCTCCCACGAGACGAGCGCGTCGCCCCCAGCGCGGCATCCGGCGGCATCCCCGAACCCACGCCCCTCTACATCAAGACCTCCCTCTCCCAGCCCGTCACCCTCCGCCAGCCCCGCCGCATCCTCGTCATCATGGACCTCAACGGGACGCTGCTCTACCGCCCCAACAAGCGCAACCCCTTCAACTTCATCCAGCGGCCGCACGCGCGCCAGTTCCTCGACTACTGCGTCGACACCTTCCACGTCGCCATCTGGTCTTCGGCCCGCCCCGAAAACGTCGACAAGATGGTCTCGCAGCTGCTCTCCCCCGAGCAGCGGAGCAAGTGCGTCGTCATCTGGGGCCGCGATCGCTTCGGCCTGTCGCCCGCCGACTACTCCTCCCGCGTCCAGTGCTACAAGCGCCTGTCGACCATCTGGAACGACCCCCAGGTCGCCGCCTCGCATCCCGCCGCTGCCCACGGCCAGCGCTGGGACCAGACCAACACGGTGCTCGTCGACGACTCGGCCGAGAAGGGCCGCAGCGAGCCCTACAACATTCTCCAGCTGCCCGAGTTTGAGGGCCTCGCCAACGAGCCTGCCGACGTGCTGCCCCAGGTCCACGACTACCTGAATACGCTCTGTTACCAGGCCAATATCAGCAGCTACATACGGCGTCATCCCTTTAGAATCGACGCCAACTATAGACTGCCGCCATCGCAGAAAGACGGTGGCATGGCATGATGAGAGATCAAAGTCCAGTTTCTGAGACTCCTTACGCTGTTTACATAGATTCATGTGCTCTACAAGCACCGTTTTATGATGCATGCCTAGAGCATACAACTCCCATAGTGCCTTTACTAGATACCCCCACATTCTCACTTCTCTTTACATATTGGCTCTTTCCATCATCACGCGATACACAAGGAACAGGCACGAGCACGAGCAGCTAGACATGTTTTACGACTTTGTATTGTTGGTTTGGCGCGGTGCATAGCCCGCTAGCCTTTCGCACAGGACTGCTCAGGCGTGTGTATCATCATTTCCTTATTTACCCATAACCCATCATCACTTCATGATTGTAACTCGTCAACCTCTTCCACTGTGGTTCTTTATTTGAAGACCTTGCCGTCGGCGTGGGGGTACTCCTTGCCGTTGACGACAACGGGCTTGTCCCAAGACCACTGAGCCTCGACGTAGGCACGGTCCTCAGGCTTGCTGGGGTCGAGCTTGGTGAACTCGTAGCTCTCGTAGTCGGGAGCGACGTCAAAGACGGGCAGGTAGTCCTGGCCGCGGATGACAAAGGCACCCTCAATGACGGAGTCGTTGTTGACACCGTAGACGGAGGCGCAGCCGAAGAGGTACTTGCGAGAAGCCTCCAGACGGTTGTTGAAGCCGCCGATGAGGTTGTTGGACATGAAAGTCATGGTAAGCTCATCGTTGTACTTGTAGGCAACCTTCCACAGGGAGTACTCCTCAAAGTTCATGTTGTCCCAGAACCACTTGAGGGCAACGGGGGTGTCGTTGTTGGAGTACTGGCGCTTCCACTCATCGAGGGGAATGGAGGCCTTGGGCAGGGCCTCGAGGGGGTGCTTGGCCTTGGGGGCAGCAGGCTCCTCCTCCTCAGCGGCGGGCTTGGGAGCAGCAGCAGGCTTGGGGGCAGCGGCAGGCTTGGGCTGCTCAGCCTTCTTAGGGGGGGTGTTGGTGAGGACAGGGGTGTCGATGAAGGCAACCTTCTCAGCGACGGCAGTGTAGATGGGCTGGTTGGTGATGGTCTCGTACCAGCGGGTGACAGCGGGGTGCTGCTGGCGCCACTGCTTGTCGAAGAACTTCTGGAAGCCGCGGTTGAGGAGGGGAGCGCTGAAGAGATCAGCCAGGGTGATGCGCTCACCAACCAGGTAGGTGTGGTGGGTGAGGTGCTCCTCAGCAGCGTCGATGGCACGGCCAACCTCCTTGGCGATGTCGTCGACAGCCTTCTTATTGTAGGGAAGGGCGCCGGTCAGGAGCTTGATCCAGGTGCCGACCTGGGGGGCGATCTCGGAGTTGAAGAAGGACATCCATCGCAGGATGGAAGCGTAGCTGTCGTCTGTTAGACGATTTTGCTCGATTAAATTGGGTGAAGAAAAAAATATGCGCGACTTACTCCTGCTTGGTCTTGCCGAGAAGGGTGGTCTTCTCGTTCTGGGAGGTGACTTTATCGTAATGTTAGCCAAGAGCACCACACACCTTGTGACACAGTGAAAGTGGAGAGTTGAAGGAGAGAGATAGTGCAGGATCAGAAGTTGTCGTTATCAACACAGGAAAAGTTTTCATAACAATTCTTTCAGACAGGGATAACTTAAAATACAATCATCATTTTGGCGTGAGGCTGCAAGGGGCCAGGTCGAAGGAAGAGGGACCAGAGACAAGACGTCCAAGGTTCGCAGAGTGATATACATACCGTAGATGGCAATAGCAATGCTCTCGCTCAGAGCAAAGCCGTCCTCGCCAAGGAAGGCAGGGAACTTGCCCAGAGGGTGAGCCTTGAGGTGCTCAGCGGTGGGCTTGCCGGCCTCGACGAGCGAGACGTTCAGCTCGAGGCCGTTGGCCTTGGCGACGGCCTTGGTGGCGACGGCACGAGGCTGGTCCTGTAAGGCACGAAAAAGGTAAGCATGTTGGAAAGTTGAGCAGAGCAGAGAGATTCTTTGGAGGGGAGACGAACGTTGGTGGTGAAGAGAGTTCCGAAGGCCATTTTGACTGATGTCGTGATGCTTGACAAGAGTTGTTTGAGCTTGGGAGAAGAAGGGAAGAGAAGAAGAACGGGGCGATAGAGGAATTTTTTTTTTTCTAATGAGGGGATGCAGTCAGTGCCCCGCGGTGGCTGGTGAAGCAAGCTGAAGCAAGGATATCGGAGTGGGGTCTTGTGGCTGTGACGTGGCTGGTGTGATGCTCAATTCCATCCGATAAGGCAGTAATCAGCTGCACTTATCTGCACGTGATGCGCCGGTTGAATGTCGCACGCAGGCTTCAAGCAGGCGAGGTTATCGTGGGCAAAAAGATTCTGTGGTATCAAGAGCGAATCGTCATTGCTCGAATCCGCCCTCGACCGACGCCCGGCAACAATGGCGACCATGGCAACTGGCCTGCGGCACGCAAAGTGCGCAGGCTCGATTGCCGCAGCTCAATGGCGGACGGCAGTGCTCCCGCGGTCGACTTTCTCACTCGCCATTCGCTCAATAACCAGCGACTCGCAAAAGACAACGCCTCCCAATCTCGAGGTTGAAGTCGCCGCGTCTGTCCCGATCCCGTACCAAGGCGTCACACATGCCCGAGTCGTGCCGGCAACGCCGTCCTACTTCTCGAGAGAGCCCCAGTTCAACGACTTATACATTGGCATCTCCAAGCTGCTCACCAAGTACAACCATCTCCCCACGGTTCCCCCCAGCGAGGCGCCGCAGATGCCATGGACGAAGTTGGAGGAGATGCGAGCACAGATGGGAGAGCCCATCAAGGCGTCACATTACGCAAAGGTCATGCGGGTCGCCAAGCGCCTCAACCTCATTGAGCCCAGTCTGCGGCCGCAGGAGGTCAAGGTGGCCCTGACGGAGTTCACCAGAGACATCAACCCGTTCTTGAACATGCCAAACCCGATCACAATCGACAAGTTTGGACGAGCCGTCGGCGTGGGCAAGAGAAAGGAATCAACGGCCCGAGCCTTTGTCGTGGAGGGCACTGGGGAGATCCTGGTCAACGGCAAGACGCTGAGCGAGGCTTTTGGCCGGGTGCACGACCGTGAAAGCGCAGTCTGGGCCCTTACGGCTACGCAGAGGCTGGACAAGTACAATGTCTGGGCCTTGGTTGAGGGAGGCGGCACGACAGGACAGGCTGAGGCTATCACCTTGGCCGTTGCAAAGGCGCTGGTTGCTCACGAGCCTGCATTGAAGACGGCTCTAAGAAGAGGTATGATCTATCTAACTGTTTGGGCTCCTCAGCTTGTTTATCTCCATCTTCTTCTGTTATTCTTCTCACTCGCTTGAAATCTTTATGATGATTGCTAACGTTGTGTCTCCCGCATCTAGCTGGCTGCATTACGCGCGATCCCAGGACAGTGGAAAGAAAGAAGCATGGACATGTCAAAGCCAGAAAGATGCCTGCTTGGGTCAAGCGATAGAAGCTGTATGGGCTTGGATTTTCTGCAGCATTTGGAAGCTCGACCGGGCAAGATTACGCAGATGTCCTGCGTGAGGCCAAGCCTCGGGGGGCGCTTATTTGGGATGCCGAGCGCGATATTGTACATTTACGCAAATTGTATTTATAGAACCCCAGACGTTGCTGCTTTGGGGGCCGTTTGAGCCGAGTTGGGCCCAAGCTGGAAAGCATTAAATGTTATAATGAAGTATGACCGAATCGAGCCTCGTGGTCTCTACGAGGCTGTGGGCAATTACTAGGTGGGCACATGGCTCTCTGCTTGCCACTCGTACGCCTTTGTAAGAATGGAGTCAGCTGTGCAGAATCCTTTGACTTACATGTTGTCAGCATTGTCAACGCCCAGCTTCATACGATGTTGAAAAGGGTTAAGGGACGTCATCGTAGGCCCTTGTCTGACTCCCTTGCTCGAGCAGGTGAGGCTCAGCTCAGCAGGTCGACACCCAATGATACTGTACTTCCGAGGGCCCTCTAAGGAGACAGTGATGGACAGCCTGAGAGACAACGCATTGCTGTCATAGTTGAGTCCCGGTGCGTCACGCCTCCCTGGGGCTACCGTGGAAGTGGCAGTGGCAGTAGTAGCACTTATGCCACCCATGGTGAACCATGCAAGCCCAGGGTTGCGAGGCTGACCGGCCCGTTCCTGCGACATGCCGCTGCAACATGTAGCATCCGGCGCCGGTCACGAGTTGCCCATTGAAGTGCGAAAATATGCAGCCCCCTTTCCCCCTTTTTTCAGGGCCGCAAGCTACACTTCGACGACCCGACGCCATCGTGTCCTCACTTACATGGTCGCGAGGTCGGAAGTTGCTTGTCCCGGGTCCAGCAATGTCCAGAGCCGGCCGTGCCTTTGTTGATACAGCCAATCCAACAGCCATAGTCTTTCACCGCGCGCTTTCAGTGTTCAATTGGTGCATGCTCAAGTACGGAGGACGAACCGATGTCTTCCGGATCGGATCCGGTTTGAGTTGCGCCCGACCCGGACCCCCTTGGCGAGAGATGGTATGGCACGAGAGCCAGTGCAAGCCACAACACCGGACATACGAAGACTCAGCTCAAAGCCTCCTGTTTCTGTTTCTGAAGTTCCAAGTCCTATGCCTGAGGTTCCCTTTTCCCTCCCCTGCCAACAAACCAATGACGTCGGCTCAGGTCCCGCCGTCAGCAAGGGTATTAGGCAGTCTCAGCCGCGCGAAGCCACTCACTCTTCTTTCTGTGCCATGTAGATTGTTGTCCGAGCTCGTCGATGGCCGGGGCCAGGGCAACAAGGAGCAGGGGGAGCGGGTACGGCAGGATTATTAGGCGGCCAATGGAAGACGGCATTGGTCACAGAGGGGGGACGCAGGAGGGCTTTCTTTTTCATCCATTACAGACATTGGCCGTGAAGGATGCCGCAATTGACGCGATTGCTGCTCGCAGTTCGGATGTGTAGCGGTTGATACAGCCTTTCGAGCGAAGTCAGCTCTTCATAGCGCCCTGACCGAGTTTCAGGCAGCTGAGCCAGGCCAGCTATGACGAGCAGCGAGTGCTATGAGATCGTACGATGGCCGAGCGGGAGTCAATCAGTAACTTGGTGCCCGAGACACGGGCGCTTATTCCGTCTCCATCTCCCTGAATGCCTTGGGTATGCATGACAGGCCTCCCCGGGCTTATCAGAACCCGAAACTCTCGATGCAGGGGACACGGCAAAAAAAGGACAGCTGGGGTAAAACACAGCCAGGGACCATACCTTCGCACTACGTATCGTAGTATCCGCACAGAAGCAGCTGAAATGTCGGTCATCAGCCTGGCAGTTACTTGGCGCAGTGGCGGTGACGGGAGAAGCCTGCAATAGGAGTATCTAGAATTGTGCGTTAGCATTTGTAGGATGTTGCCAATACCTTCATCCATCCAATGCCCTGCTCTACTCTTGCCTATGCAGCTGCCCATATCTCCCTCCTTGCCAGGCACCGAGACTCGCCCTGCCCTGCACCAACCCTTAATACGATGTTCGATCGTGAGGCCAGGCGAAATCATTAGTCTGTGCTACCCACATCTGCTACATCTGGTACGCCTCAATATGCTCGATCACTTCGAGTCGTCTTGAATGGTTCTCTGTATCCCGGTACTCCGTAGCAGCACCAATACTCCGAGAGGTTTCTGGGAGCAGTGTCACTGTAACTATTGCAACATCAACATGCTACGGAGGCGTACCTAGAGTGAACTGCTACATGGAGGCAGAGGCCCTTTGGACAGTGAGACATCGGACCACCCTGCCGACTTTCTCGACCAGAAGAGGCTCATGCTAATGCCTGTAAAGCGCACGCCCTCAGCCGCGATGTCATCCATTGGTGATTTTTTTGGGGGGGGGCATGACGAGGGACTCGCTAATGATTCGTACTTTGAGCTTCGTACAGAGACTGCTACCATGATCCTATTATTAACCGAAGCACCTGCTGCTGACACGCATGAATGACAACGTACTCATACATTAGCCGTGCCTTGTCATAAGGCTCTTCAAACCGAGCTACTAGTGGAAAGTCATCTGGGGATCGATGCGTAGCACAGGGCTCCAGGAATAATCCGTCTTTGTCTCGGTTTTCGAAATCCTTCGGTGGCTTGCGCTTGCTCATTGTTAGATGCCCATCCGTCAGTACCTTTCTACTTCGCTAGATCCGCCAGCAGCTCGCCAGAATGCTCCTTGATGCTGTTTCCCAGGCTTCGATGGTCCGAAATATGTTCCTGGCTGCTCACGCTACAAACAAGCCCAGCCCCCATCTCCACACCCGCTCTTGCGGCTCCGAATGGCTGCTTGTCGATGGAGTCGCTGTGGACCGGAGCCGTTGGCTCGCCTGTTAGCACGGCCCTAGCGAGAAGCATTTTGCCTGTATTTGCCAGGTCCGGGCTCGCAGATTGGCTGCCGTCGCCGCGTCCGGGGATTTGCTTGCAGCGAGTTGCAGCATGGCCTGTCCACTGGAAGGTTCCTTGGCTGTGGACTTTGACGCATGCTGCACATGGCCTTCCCGCCCGGCGCCTCCACTCCGCGGTCAAGTCCTCCCAATCCCGCCATCCCCTGTTCCTGGCGGTGTCGCGGTGCCTGAATATCGGTATGTAGTGGACGGGCGTCGCGTCGGTGGGCTTGACGAGGTTGCAAGAGAAGAGAAACAGTAAGAAGTTCTCTTACTTTGGCAGACAGAGGAAGAAGAAGAAACAGATACTACCTACCTTAGGTAGAAGCACAGAAGAAAGAAGAATGACGCAATACCTACCTAGCCGCAGCTTTGGAAGCGCCTTCCTCATCTCTCTACTCTACCGAGGGGCAGGTGCAAAGACCACGCCTTCCCTTGTCTCTGATCACAGCTCGCTCCTGCCTCGCAACAGCCGGCAGCACTCACGTGCGCCTCCCAAATCGGTCTTCAACCTGGATCGGTGTACCTGCATCATGATTCATCTCTGTGATGGCATCAACCCGGCCAGGTTGGCTGCCTCTGCTGGGGCGATGCTGGTGATACCGGCTGGGTCATACGACGCACAAACGAGATCCAATATCTCGATTCCGCCCTCGAACTGAATTCCAAATCCTCACAGGCTCTTGTTCTGCGCCTCCGTTCCCAATCCATCTGTCTTGTCCTCCCTCGACTCCCAGCTTTCCTCCTCAGAACTCAGTTCAGCTACCATCTGTCAATTGCCCCTGCAGATGCCTTGTCCGACAGGTGTGTCGATTCCAGTGGGGGCGTGCTTTAAACAAGCGACACAACCATGAAATTGCTACACTACTACTACTAGCAGTAGTAGTGGTCGGCATGCCTTGGATCAGAGATTCTTGAGCTATGGCTTTGCTTTGCTGTGGGTAGGACGAGCGATCCCTACATGTGAAGGGTGGGCGTTGCGTCCCGTGATTTGCTCGTTGGCATCCGGCGCCCTTGAATTGGCAGTGCTACTCTGACCGAGACACGCAGGCAGAAGTCAGCACAGAGGATGCCCCAAGAGGAAAACGACACACTCAACTCAATTGCGTCGATTGTCTCGCCCAGTTAGGCACGATCCGGGTTGTCGGGACGCCCCTCGTCAGACACGGCCTTTAGGCTGGCCGCGCGACGGGATATTTCCAGCCCTTGGGGCTTGGTAGCTCTGGCATACTGCTGCTGTTTCTGATTGACGGGCGACCGCAATCGCAAGCTGAAGAGCAATTCGTCTTTGGTCTATGAAACTTCGGTCATCCCCGTGCAGTGAGCTAGCTGCCCAGTTACTAGGCCAATTCATCCCGGCAAAACACCCAGTCACCAGGCGCTATCATATACCATTATCTTTAGCCATGGTCTGGCCTGGCGCCCTGAGCAACGACGTGATCTTGCTGGCTGCTGGGAGAGTCGAGAGTCGCGGCAGAGGCAAAGCAATACTACATACACATGCTCTATTGGAGAGGATGCCGTCTCAACAAGCCCCCTGTCCGCTTTCGGTCATGCGTCATTATTCAGCTCCTGAGGATGTGACTGATCCAGGTCCTAACTCGACTGGTGACAGGCAGCGAAGCGTCTCAGGCGCCCTCCTCATTCATGCAGAATCCCTGGGCTTCTTGCTGTTGTTCTGGCTGTTGTTGTCATGCAGTGGCTTGCCGTTGCGATCCTGCGCCCTGCTTCTAATCCGCGTTCTTTTTTCTGATGAATAGGCGGACCGGCCACCGAGACTCCATGCACGGAACACAACGCTCGTCAGATCCGCCGGCAATCCCTAGGCGTCCTACGGAGTGAGCTGGCCAGAGGATAAACTCATTCACATGTCGAGCACCGGCTCTTCAATGCCTTGCAGCCGGCTTGCGTACCGACAAGCGATGCTCCATGTTCCAGAAGATGGGCCTGAGCCTCGTTGACAGGATTCTCTTTTAGCGGAGAAAAGCAGGAGTGCCGACTCATGCCGCCAAGCCCAAACCATCGGCGAGCCCATCCACTAACCAAGTGAAGATGGGAATCCACCGTGTTTCGTGTATGTGGTCTCTGGCGGAGCGCACGTCAACTCACCTTTCGATTTCCATCCTGGCCAGGTCTGGATCTTTTACATTGTGGCTTTCGTCCAATCGCGCGTCATCTACACACCTGTTGGCTTGCGGCTTCGCAAGGGCACAGGTAGAGTGCTGCGTGCGGGCCACTGATGTGGCCTCTCCGATGCCCTTCACTCTTTCGTCCCCGTCTGAGGGGGGCACCCCTGGCCTGTCCTCCAAAGAAGCCTTTCTTCCGTCGTGCCGGATGACCAGGGGTGGCCACTCGCAGATCCCCAATCCAAATCGTCAATCACAAACTGCCCTCTAGCCTTGCAGACTAGTGGCAGCCTACCGACTGTATCGCCCCAAGTTGTCTTTCCTAGGGCCGACCAACGCAAGGTACCAGAATACGACATTATGCCCAGCACCCCGGGTCATACCAAGCGCATGTCTTGGCCGATGTGGCTGTCGTCAGTCGCCATTGACAAGCAGCCCTGCTCTGCGTTTATGAGTTGCCGCGCATTGTATGGACCCCTACGAGGCAGACGACACACTGGGACTGCATACTGCTGACGTCGCTCTTCTTCCTCTGCCCCGTCCTCCCACACTCGCCCATCCGCGGGCTGGTGTAATAGCGCTCCCTCGGGGAGCGAATAGTACACACCTGTACTCGGATCTGGGCACTCTGGCCTCCTTTTTCGCGGTCACTATTACTCTGCTTTCGACCTTGTTCTTCTCCCTCTCGCTCTCCCCTCCTTCCATTAGCGTGGATCTCGGAGTAGACGGCCTTGGTCAACCATCTTACGAGTACCCCCCTCGGTATAAGACCCGATGCTTCCTCCAAGGCCAGTCACCCGTCAGTCTCCAACAAGGCTCCATCGACTTAGTGATCTAGTACACGGCCTGCTACTAGTTTCTCGGTCGATTCCCCGCTGTTGCTGTTTTAAATGCCAGCCGGGTTTGCATCCTCACCAGCGGCGTCAGCCATTACAGTGCCTACGACTCTTGTCGCACTTCCCACGCCCACATACACCATCCGATTGGCAAAGGTCTCTGCCCTCACCATCTCTCATTTGGTCTAGGCCTCCCTGTCTCCAACCCGTTGGATTGCTGGTGCCGTTTTCTCTTGTGAGCGAGCCCACTCTTGTCAGATTTGGAAAGGGTAAGCATCTAATATTGCAAAGAGAATAATAGGCCCTCTCCCCCAAATCTCGCTCACGGATCTCCCACCTTGAACTGTCACGACCTGGCTCCAACTCTTTCGCTTCCCAGCAACGTGCCGTTGCTTTACCTAACGCTCTTTATACAGGCAGCCGGACACACATACTACTAGGTCGACCTGGTGGAACCTACGCCTCTCTGGTGCCCGGTCCCTGACGTACTGCCGTTCGGGGCATGATGAACCAATAGACAGTTGGCTCCGCCAAATCCAAGCCCGCCATTGAGAATTTGCGAATTTGCCCAGAGGGTAACCGTCTTTGTATCCGTTACATACGAAACCTCGTCGAGCCGAGAAAAAAAAAATCTCAGACACATTCCTTTCTGTTGCTAGACCGGTCGGTTCTTGAGGCTGGTTGGATCTTGCCAACAGGATATGACCTCGACGTCTCAGCGTGTCCTCCTAGACTGTCTGCTTCTTCTCGTCGTTTGGGGCCGAATGTTTTAACGGCTTCCACTCATAAGCTCCATGTTTGCCTCATGAACAGATCCTGTTCGCACTACCACACACTCGCTCAATAGTCGTCCACGGACAAACAAGAATCATCGATTCGCACTGCTCTTTCATACTACCACAAGCTCGTCTTGAACACCGTCACTCGTTTGTACCCGGCCAGCGGTACGTCCTAGAAGCTGTCCCTTTCGACCTGTCGGCACACTCGTCTCCAACAGCACTTGCTCAGCGCGCCGATAGGACTCAGTAGGAAATACTTCGTACGACAGAGCCCATCGGGGCATGGACAATCCCAACCAGCATAGAAGGCAGAATGACCCGCCTGGCCATCACACCCCTTCACACAGGTACTCAGCTCAAGGTTCTGTAGGCGGTTCTTCTGAGCGCTATCGAGCAGCGCCCCCCCTCACATCTTCCTCAGCACCAAGAGGCTTGGGAGGCGCACCGGCCTACAGCACGTACTACCAGGAACCCACGGCTGCATTCTCGACGCATACAAACATGCCATCGACGGCAATGGCGTACGGGTCGGAATACGCCGCCGATTCGAGACCCCAAACCCAGAGTTTCGGGGGCTACAACGCGGGTATGATGATGTACAACGTGCCTCAGCCGAACACGCAAACTCCAGTCTACGAGGCCCAACACTTTGGGCAACGGCAGCAGGCAGCAATGCAGATGATGGCACCGGATGTCACATCAACATACTTTAGCTCCGAAGCCGGGGGTGCAGCAGCAGCAGCAGCAGCAGCGAGCATGCAACACCCGAGCCAGGGGAGCAGCGCATCGGCCGGGGTATATCAGCAGAGCCAACCCATGAGCTACGCTGGAAGCATGCCTGCCGCAGGCGCCATGCAGCAGACTTCGGGAGCAGCGGATTCTGCCATGGCGGAAGGGCAAGACTATGCTTCCTCGGGGCTGCAGGAGAAGTGGCAAAACTACCAACGGCAACTGGGCTCTGTGTTTCAGGACATCTCAGCCAACTCGTTGGAAAGGGCTGCCGAAACACTACTGCACGTCTCCAATTGGTTGCTCACGCAAGTGGTAGAGCTAGGTATGGAGAGGCAAAGAAACCTGCTCGGCTTGACACTGTACTTACACGCAACACAGGACTCAGCCAAGATGATGCCAGCCTACATGCCGAGAGGATCAAACTCTGGAACGACTTTAACCACGCCTGGTTAGCCCTCTGCTTCCGGCAGAAGGAAATCATGTCGTCTGGCCAGCAGTCATCGAGATCCCAGGTTGTCATGTCTCAGGAAACGATCAAGAAGCTAGGCGACGAGCTTATCCGGCTATGCGATGGTATCGAGAGCCATGGCTTAGTCGACTATCAATATGGCGTGTGGGAGGATCGAATCGAGACGAGTATGTCATGGCTGCCCTCCCCTCCCCTTTCCTTTCCTCTGGGTAGTGCAAAGAAGCTGTTCTAACTGGCCGCCTAGTTCTCGAAGAATGCCTCGATCTCTACGATTCCCTCGAAGCGGCCGTCGGTACGAGCGGAGGGTCTCGCTGATCTTCTCTTGCTTTGCCATTACGAAGACGATGACGACGACGCGGAATATGTTTACGCCTGTGAATGATCTAGATGCCGGCTAGTCTAGTGCCAGCACGGAAGATGGCTAGGCACCTTTTCCTACAAGTTCTTTCCTGCTCTCCATCTTCTAGATCTTCTTTCGAAGCTGCCCTCGCACTATTGGAGGCTTGGGTCATTGTACAATACACAACGGGAATGCTCGGCACGGCCTTTACAATGGCGCGGATACAACTATCGGCAAGATTAGGTCCCATGAAATAATTTGGAAGGAGGAAATCCTATTGCTGGGTCTTACGGGTTACTGGACGGAAGGACGGATGGACGGACGGATGGCTGGATGGATGGGCGGGATGGAATTATGGGTTTTGTTTTTTTCTTCTTCTTTTCTTCTTTCTAGTGCGGGATGGATGCCTATGTCGGGCGTCTGCGAGACGCAAGGGGAGGGTGAAGCCAGCGTATCAAGTGATATGTCTGTATACTCCCATGGCTGTGTCTTGAAGAAGCCGGCTGACGGCGGAAGGGGGGCCAATGGCAAACCCGCCTGCGCCACGGACACACAAACACCGACGGGGCAGCAGCAAATACGACGACGCGACAAACACGGGCATGGCATGGCACCCCGCCCTGGCATTGGCCGGCGAGCGGCTGACAAGGCGAAAGTCCTTCTGGCGAATTGGTACAACCGGGTGGGAATTGATGGGAATCTTTGGTGGGTTTCATGGGCAGGACAGCCTCGGGAGCGGACAAAGGGGCCTTGCGGCGTTGAATGCTTCGACCTCTCAAGGCAAAGGTGTTTTGTCTTTCAGTTTTCTGCCCTTTCCTTTCCTCTCTGCCTCTGCTTTCACATTCCATTCCTTTATTCACAAGCTGTCCTCGGTTTCTAATAAGTCATCACCTCGACCCAACCGTCAACGAGGAACTTGTGCACAACCTTCACCAGTTGGCTTGCTTTTCTCTGTATCTCTTTTCTTTCTCATCATCTCCTTTCCCCATTTCTTCGTGTACACTATGTGTATCATGTGGCTTTAGACACTTTTTCTTTATTAGAATGTAGCAGGTTTGAGCCCTCGAGGGCTGTATGAACCGGCTGGGGGGGGTGGCATGGGAAAACGACAGCTAGATAGCAGACAGTCCGGATTGTAGGCTCTGAGGGAGCCGAATTTGGCACAGATAATGCGACACAAGGCCTTGTAGTTGCGAGCCGCATGTGATTTCTTTGCAACACTTGCGGCGTGGAACCTGAACTGTGAGTGTCTGGCTGTCGAGGCAATGGTACGGCCAATCTAGATGCTGAGATTTGACGTCGGAGCAAGTCTGCGGCCGCCCAGTGGCAGGGTGACACCTGTAAGAGGGCGTTTCTTCTGAATACTCCCCTTTGCTGTCACCGCGCAGGCTCCCACCGGGGGATAGAAGCCGGGGTGCCGTCGGTATCCGTGTGGATGCCTGAATATTGACTTCCAGCTGCACCCGTGAAGGCCCTTGGCAAGCATTGGGTCTCGGGTTATACTTGTTTGAGAGTCCATTAGAGGTAGTGAGTAGGTGATTGCACCAGAAGTGCGTCATGGGTCATCCAAGGTTGGCTACTAGTCGAATACCGACGGGCGAATGGGGGTGCTCGAGGGTGACTGCTCATCACCGCAGGTGGGCATCGTATAGTTGTCTCAGTCTGGGTTACATGCAGCCATCAGCTTTTTTTTTTTTTTTTTTTTTTTTTTTTATTGCTTGTCCTTGCCAAGGCTGCAGCTGTAGTGGCCATCACATGCCACTTGCCGAGAGGAGAAGAAAGGACCATTCTCCTTCGAACCAGGAGAGCTCGAAAACTGGTCTCCTTGGGTGGCTATTTGATGGTTACTTCGTTGGATATGTATGATCAAGAGAAGAGCCCTTTGTTCGGCTTCAGTGCCCATGGATATAGAAATGTCGTATGGAAAGCTAGGCCCGGCTTCTTCTCGTCCTAGAGGCATGCTAATGTTGTGGAGGTTTGCTACATAGGTCGACCCCCGGATCTGCTGCATGCAGTCTGGTAATAGTATCTGGACTGCATGTGAGTGACTGATAGATTCGTGACGAGATTGGCGTCGGGGCAAAGGAGCCGTGTCTTGGCTTCGTACCTAGTGTCGATCGTAGGACAAGAGAGACGATACCCCGGATGCAGATCCAGCTGTGCTGTGCAGCTTGTTATGACGTGATGGTGCGTTAGTAGAACTTTTGTACGTGGCAGTGTGTAGCATGATGAGGCCTTAGCAGACAATTAGTAGTAGCAGTAAAGGGTGTGTTGAAGTGTTTGGATTCCGGGGGAAGAAAGGTTGACTCGTGAGGGAGAGAGTACATGGAGAACGAGGAGTAGTAACTTAGGTAGAGCATGATGGGGAAGAAAGGTACCTATGGTGACTTATCTGTTTGCCGTACAATCATTACAGATACGAGCTGGCACGAGTTGTGTGGTATCGTGCCCTTACATGATTCTAAGTGAACCTCAGCACGCCCAAGTCAGGCCGATCGAGCCCTACTCCTCAAGTGTCAAGAAGGATAGCACAAGGCTCCAGCTCTGCCAAATCGAATCAACTCCCCTTTACCTACTCCGAGACAAGCCCACCGTGTGGCCTGTCGAGCCAGCCACAAGCATTCAAAGAATCGAACTCTGGCTGCTCAGGGATTTTCCTGCGTTTGCTGCGGGTGCGGCGACGTGCATTGCTTGGCTGGATCGTAGTGGTTACACTGTCTGAAATGAGCATGGCGGGCACACGGGAAAACCCCCCCCCCCCCCCCCCCCCCGATGACTGCATACGAGCTGTGTAGCGCCATCGGAGCTGAGATTGCGAGGCAGGCTGAGAGGGAAATCGTGCAGGTCCAAGACTCGCAAAGAGAGGTTTGGTATTCGATGGGCTGGCAGACGTGCTTCACGTGAGATCAGGGAACTAACTCGAGTATAACGTGAAGAGATGAGAAGCAAGAAAAGAAGAAGAAATGCGAGCGTAGATATTTCATGATCATAACTGCTGTATCCCATTGTCCACAAACCTCCGCCGGTCGTGGCGGTGGCCTACCCGAGACCAACGCCGTCCCTTGCCTCCTGCTCCTCTGTAGATGACTAGAACTGGTCTTTATATCGCCGCCATTCAGTTAGCACATCAGAGAACAAGAAAAAGAGAAGTAAAGAAACGATTGAAGAAAGTAAAAAAAAAGGGGGGAGGGGGGACAAAACGCACCAAGAGTCATGCTCATGCTCACGTCGGTATTCTCCACCATCTTGGTAAACTCCTCAAAGCTAATCTTGCCGTCCTTGTCGAGGTCCGCCTCCATGATGGTCTTGTCGACAATCTGCTGCAGCTGCTGGTCCTTGAGGTTGCTGCCCACCATCATCTTGAGGACGATGAAGAGCTCGCCGTTGCTGATGTAGCCGTCGCGGTCAATGTCGTACACCTTGAAGGCGAACTGCAGCTTCTGCTCCTTGTTGCCCTTGCTGCTGAAGGCGCTCAGGCCCGAGACGAACTCTTGGAAGTCGACGTCGCCGCCGCCGTCCTCATCGAAAATGGCAATCATGCTGTTTTGTTTTAGTTTGTCATTGGCAATATGTTAGTCGGTGTGCTGAGGAATGAAGGGGGATTTTTGGCGAGCGCGAGCGGTGTATCAAGACTTTCGCTGGGGACGAGGGTGGTGAATAGGGGGGAAAGGAAAGGGGAAGTCGAACCGTGTCGCAAGCGGGTTGGAGGAGATCTGAGGAAGGCTGAGGAATTCGTCACGCTCGATCGTGCCAGAGTTATCCTGCAGTAGTCCAAGGAGCAGTTAGCCATATATGTTTCCCTCTCTGCCTTTGCAAGCAGCAGAGCCTCGTCATTCGTCCATATCGCGGGCAGCCAGCAGCCCAACCGGGAAAAGTAAAAAGAGCCCAAAAATGCGCTTTGCTGGTTCCTCCTCGGCTTTGCAATCGCGTACCTTGTCGAGCTTCATAAATCGTTTTCTTAACCGGTCGACCTCTTCTCTGTCAACTATGCGACAGCAGGAATTAATTAGCAGCTGCATAGCCGGGAAAGGGGAGGGGGGGTGCAATGACGGGCAGCCTACAGTTGGAGCCCTGGACGATGTTGTCCAGCACGGTGCTGGTGGTGTTGCCCATGTTGAAGGCGCAGCGACTCTTGCGCTGGATTTCGTCTCGAGCGGAGGGAGGAAAGATGGGGAGCGAGGCTTCGGGGCGGGTATCGTGGTGTTGGAGCGGCGTGGGTTTGTGGTTTGTGGTTGTGGTTGTAAGTGTGTAGGGGTCCTGTACTGTAATAGTAGAAGAGGCATCCACGGGTTATGCAACTCGTTAGTAGTACTGTAGGCGGAACTGCACAAAAGGCGGCGGCTCTCCTAGAGGGGTACGAGTACTAGCTGGTCATGTGCACGGGCCATCAAATTGGGAGCGCAAGTGGTCGTGAAGCAATTGACATTCTATACGGGCATGTGCATGTACATGTACATATGCAAAGATTGATGAACCAGTCAAGACAAATAAATGGCAGCTAGTCGAGAGAAAAACAATGGGGATGGCGAGTTTGCAGATTGTGCATATGCATCACGCTGTAGCTTTCCGTACCTACTGTGGCAGATGATGCATCATTTCAATCAGATAAGATTGAGTTGGAGCCAAAAGGCTGAAATTCTATGTACTGCTGTATACTCCGTACTGCAATCATGGCTTCCTACCTACCTAATTCAATTGTGAATCAAGCAACTCCACAGACCAAATGTCAGTATGTGGCACAAGAAGAAAAAAAAAGCATCAGAAGGATTAGTCAAACTGCATCTCAACGACAATCAAATTCATCTACAAGTCAATCAGTGATGAGAGCAGAAACCCATCATTGATATTGACATTACTTCACGATTCAACACTTCCGTTCAAGGTAAGGCACGTCCTCAAGCTTACCTAAGGAAACGCGCGCCTTGCCGACTCTCGGCCCAACTCCGGAACCCGAGCGCGTTCTTTGGGCTCCCTCTGCCGCCCGCCGCCCAGCCAACCAGAGGCGGCAACAGCCCACGCGGGCCCTGTTATTTTGTCCCTAACCACAACTTCAGGGGAGAGAAGACAGCACGACAGCGCCCAAAAGGAGGGGGTGGCCCGAGCGCCTGCAAAGTACCAGCGTCCGCCAAATGCTATGGCACCGTGACCTGACGCCGCCGTTCCCGTCGACTCGCTGGAAAGCCCCCCCAAGCGCCCCCCCAAAACAGTGCATTGCCCAGCGGCCGAATCCAACACAAGGGCCGCGCATTTCCAGGCTTTGCACCAGTGAAAAATCTTCGCGCGGCAAAACAAATCTCAACGTCACCTCATCGAACGCGAGCAACGAGCCATCAAAAAACCCCAACAACACCCCCGGAACCGCCCTTCATTCATCGACAGGCGATTCGGGACGTCTCGATTTATGACTTGAGCTCTTTTTTTTGCGGATTTTCCGCTGGCTTTCTGCCGTCCTTCACCACCCTGGCAACATGTCATCCCGCAAAGTCCGAGTCAAGAAGTTGACGGTCAAAACCCTTCTGCCCGTGCTCAGAGAGGATCAGATCGATGCTTCCGAGTATGAATCACTGCTTACCGAGTCGCAAATCGCGACCGGCGTCGACCAGACCGAGGAAAACGTGAGTCCTTTTCACCACCATATCCACGCCACCGCAACTTCTGATATCACGTGCTTCGTCACGTGGACCCTCCTCGACCGCTCCCCCATCAGCTTCATGGCATATACGGAGCAGTGCATACCTACCTATGCTGGCCTGATCCAACCTCACATGCATTCATCTGCCTTGTTTTTTGTGACATTGTTTGATCTTTCTTTTCTTTTACTTTTCTTTCCTTTCCTTTCCTTTTTTTTCTGCTTCTTCCCAGATTCATTTCTTTCTGGTTGCATTGGATCAGGCTTCTCTCTTTCTTTGCAACCGTCGTATCCCTCTCTCTTCATCTTTTCTTCTGGTCCCTGCAACTATACTGACTTGTTTGCGTCTTCTTTTTTGTGTCTCTGTAGGAATACCACCTTCAATCGATTTTGAAAGAGGCCGGCACAAGCAATGACCAAGAAATCCCTGTGCCTCCACCGCGAGAGAGCGACATCAGCTATGATAGCCTCTATCCCGCAGTCTTCCACAAGCCTTCCTCCTATATCCGATTCTCTCAGACGGTGGAAGAGTGTATCAGCTGTCATTATGACATGACAACGGAGGACAATGAGTTTCTCAAGTCATATAATAGTAATCCTCCCGCGGCCGGGACGCTTAGCGAGGATGACTTCGAACGCATCATGGAGGTGTTTGAGGACACCGCGGCAGAGCAGACCCCCTTCGCATCAGTCGACAACACTATTGTCGCCTATGATATGATGGTGCCGGGTCTCAATCAGCTTGGCTCTACATCCATATTGCAGCACGCCAAGCAGATATATGAGTACTGGAAGGCCAGGCGGCAGGAGGCCGGCAACAAACCGCTGCACCCGACCATCAAGTTCGAGACGCACCAGGAGACTGACGACACCGACCCCTATGTCTGCTTCAGACGGCGGGAGGTGAGGCAGACGAGGAAGACGAGGTCGCGGGATACCAAGATCGCCGAGACGCTCAAGCGTTTCCGTCGCGAGCTCGAGGATGGCCGCCAGCTCATCTTGATGGCATACGAGCGAGAGATGATGAAGCGGGATCTGTTGCAGATGGATCGGGCCATCTTCGAGGAAAGGGCCAGGCTAAAGCAGATCAAGACCAAACTGGGCATCAAGGGCGACGACGAAGACCTCGTCAACCAAAAGGTATGTTGCAAACAAAGGCCAGCTTGGCCCTGCACACGACTTATGCCACTTGGCACTGACCCGGTTGGAAATACGCAGTCCCAAAAGCGCAAGCCTGCAGAAGCCCCCGGGGCCCCGCGGCCACCAACACAGGTGCGCGCGCCTGTGCGGCCCGATGGGCGCTCACACGAGCAAGACCTTGTCCTGCTTTCCGACCAGCTCGCGGAGAAAGAAAACGAGCTTCGTAATGAGATTGAGACCAAGGTGCAGAACCACCGGCGATGGAACCAGAATCATATCGATCTCACTCGAGACCCGCTGTCGCCGGTGAAACCCCTAGGGATGGAGCTCAAGTTTAGACCTGCCAAGACGCAGTATCTGATGACGCCGCCGGCGTCAACGTCTTCAGACTCGATGGATGCCGATAACGCACCTGAGCCCATGGATCTGGACAAGCCAGAGCTGCCCGTAGTCCAATTCCGTGGTGCGGACATGGACGACTCATCGCAGACCACCCAACCGGCGTTTCGTCGTCGCATCGGCCGACTCCAGCGGCTGTGGATCGATAGGAGGGGCCTCTCGACGCCTAGACGGACAGATTCGTACGAGTACTCGGACCGGTGGAAGTATGACTCTGACGATGAAGATGATGAGCCACCGGTGTATGAGGTTGATCCCTTTGACACGAGAGCCCTCAAGTTCCGAGCCACGATTCCCCTTAGCCCATACATATTCCGAGCGAGGCCGACAGTCCCTCCAGAAGCAGTCAACGGCGCAGCAAACGGGAATAGAGTCCTACCGCCGCCGCCGCAACCGCAACCGCAACTGCAGCAACAACCGCAGCCGCCGCAACCTCCTGCAGCTCAACAAGCGCAAGCGGCATCATAAGAAACGCTCTCTCCTCCCCCCCAATGGATCCGGTACCGCATCCTTGTATGAGTATGGGTGTGTGGAGGTGTATATAATTTTCTCCCCTTCTTTTCCCCTCCCATCACGCTGGTGTCGGAGGGGTTATCAGGACCGGATCGGACAAGGGGGGGAGGTTTGGGAAAAGGAAGGATCTTTTCAAGGGAGATGACAACGACCGGTGTATAGTACCTAAGCCCTTGGTCAAGGCATTGCAAGGAGTTGGGAGTTGGGGTCGGTTCTTTAGGATTAGAAGAAGAAGAAGCCCCCCAATGGGAGCAAATGAAAAATAAAAACCAACACACAAAGAAAGAAGAAAGAAATCAATATAAACCGGAAAGACGCCGCGCTGGTGGTACTTGGCCAGACGGCAATTTGCATCTTGATCTCTTGCGGCATCCAACTCGCGTGACGGCATGTATAAAAGTTCGGCGTCCGGTGGACCAGACAGACAAGAAGTCCTAGCCAGTCTCATTATACGAGCGCTTTCGCAAAGCGGGTGTCGTGACGCAGCCCGGTCTCACCTCGCGGCGACCGGAGCGGATGACGTGAGGGGAAGCAGGCTGCGCAACCTGAGCTTTCGTCGACGGTGGTGTACGGTCGAGTATCGCCATGGGACGTGGGCAGCAGCAGATCACCATGCCGCTGGAAAGCTGGCAATGGCCGGCCACTGGAAGCTCCGGTCTCTCCCGCATGGTTGGGAGCTTCTGTCTGCTGCGAGGGCTGGTTGGCGTCAGCTGTGAGATCTTGGGGAAGAGGAAAGAGGACAAAGGCGCGGGACAACACACCCAGCTATGTCAAAGGGGGATTTTCCTTGCCGCGCGGGCACGAGAGACCCGGTGCCATCAGGAAACACGGAATGACCCTTTCCGTCAGGCCATGCTGGGAGGACGAACGCTTCAGCAGAGCCACGGCTCCAGGACCGGAGAAGGGATTTTGACCCTGCCCTGGGAATTTTTTCTCTCTGCTGCTTTTTCCCAAGCTAGAGTGTATGATGGGGAAAAAAAAGGTCGAGGGAAAAGAAAGGTTGAGAGTGGTTGAAGTGTGGACCGCGGGAACCGGCCGCAAGTGGATTTTGTTCCCTTTGGGGGGATTTTCCCGCCCACACAAGCAGGCACTCAAGGGAACGGGGGGGACAAGGACCGATACCAGACAGGCAGGTATCAAGGCCACGGCACGAGCAGACGAGAGGGACCTGTGGTGGTGGTACAAGAATGCTGTGATGTAGGTAGTAGGTAGGTACAAAGCAAGCCTACAGGGTCCTGGGCCTTGGGACGAGGGAAGGCAGATTTTAGTGCGAGGTGAGCAGTTGAGGGAAGCGCTAAAGGGGATTTGCCGACTTGGTTGACAGGGTCCGGCCGGACGCTGGAGGTTTTTTTTTTTTTTTTTTCTCTCCCACTGGCGGGTGGTACCAGGTACCTCGGATAAGGGCCACACGTTGGCCGGAGCAAAGGGTCGCGGTACTTTTGCTGGGCGATTGGACTTGGCTTGGATGAAGTCGGATACGGTAGACTGAAGACAAGAAGGAGGAGAACTCGCGATGCTCATGGTCAGGCAGAGGTCACAGGGACGGCAACGCTTCGGCGTTGAGTGACGGAAGAAGTACCATCTTACATAAGCCTGAAACGTCAATGCTGCTGCACGTGGACAATGATGATGTAGGCAGGCATGTACGAGAAATTGGGAAGGGAGCGAAAGGGTTGCAGCTGCTGCTGCTTGCTGCTGCAAGTGAGCGACCGCAGCGCCCCGCTATTTTCCGTCATGGGCCCTTGATACGACAGACGACGAACCCCTCCATTTTTCCGTTGGCGATGACTACCAGACATCAACATATTGTGCCAAAATCCCCCTGTTAAGCTTGCTTCGTTTTCACGCCACGGATACATTGCGGCCTTCTTATTGTCGTCTTTACTCTAGAGTGCCTTACTCTTGCTACCGCAGCGCACGCACGCTGCAGAGCCGATACGGCGGGTAGCACTTACACAATTCACCCTCTTCTCCAGGAGCCGCTCTACGAAGAGCTCAAGTCTCGAGACATTGAGCATTCGCGCACCTGTCGCAAACCGCAGCGCATTACTTCGAGATTCTGCACATCTCTTTGTCTAATATAGATCAAACTCCACAACACAGCAGTCCCAAACTGCCCAGCATGGCTGCTGTTGCCGCCGCCGCCGCCGCCGCCGTCTCCTCGCCATTACCGCCCTCGACATCTCCCTCATCAATCACAGCCACAACATCCACAACCACGACGACCACAACAACAACAACAGCATCCTCTCCCCCAGCAGCAGCAGCAGCAGCAGCAGCAGCAGCAATGTCCTCCAAATCCTCCTGGATCGCCCTCGGATGCGAAGGCTCCGCCAACAAGCTCGGCATCGGCCTCATCCGGCACACGCCCACGTCGACGACGATCCTCTCCAACCTCCGCCACACCTTCATCTCGCCTCCGGGCACGGGCTTCCTGCCCAAGGACACGGCGCTGCACCACCGCACCGAGTTCGTCGCGCTGGCCCGCCGCGCGCTGGCCGAGGCAGGCGTGCGCCCGGCCGACGTCGACTGCATCTGCTTTACCCAGGGCCCCGGGATGGGCGCGCCCCTGACGAGCGTGGCCATTGGCGCGCGGACGCTCGCGCTGCTCTGGGACCGGCCGCTCGTCGGCGTCAACCACTGCGTCGGCCACATCGAGATGGGCCGCGAGGTGACGGGCGCCGACAACCCCGTCGTGCTCTACGTCAGCGGCGGCAACTCGCAGGTGATTGCCTACGCCGAGCGCCGCTACCGCATCTTTGGCGAGACGCTCGACATCGCCGTCGGCAACTGCCTCGACCGCTTCGCCCGCGTCCTCAGCATCAGCAACGACCCGGCCCCCGGCTACAACATTGAGCAGCTGGCCAAGAAGGGCACCCGCCTGCTCGACCTGCCCTACGTCGTCAAGGGCATGGACTGCTCCTTCTCGGGCATCCTCGCCAGCGCCGAGGCCCTGGCCGCGCAGCTGCTGCAGCTGGGGCCCGGCCCCGACGGCGCCGGCTTCACCGTCGAGGACCTGTGCTTCTCCCTGCAGGAGACCATCTTCGCCATGCTCGTCGAGATCACGGAGCGCGCCATGGCCCACGTCGGCAGCAGCCAGGTGCTCATCGTCGGCGGCGTCGGCTGCAACGAGCGCCTGCAGGACATGATTGCCAGCATGGCCAAGGAGCGCGGCGGCAGCGTCTTTGCCATGGACGAGAGGTTCTGCATCGACAACGGCATCATGATTGCGCACGCGGGGCTGCTGGCGTACAGGACGGGCTTCCGCACGCCGCTCGAGGAGAGCGTGTGTACGCAGCGCTTCAGAACGGACGATGTGTATGTCAACTGGAGAGACTAGGTGGGCCATTCAAGAGTGAAAAGAGTAAACTGAAACATACCAAAGAATAGACGAGAAGAGAGAGAAAAAAAAAGTACAATGAAAAATCACGATAAAGAGGGTAAATTTGTAAATTTGGTGGGTTCTGTTAGAGAGCAAATGGCACTGTATATTGTGCTGAACATTCCATCCCATCCATACCTGTTGCCCATCTAGGTATCTAATCTGACCAGTTCATTGCGAACCCCTTGGAAGCTCTACCGCATCCAGCCCTTACTTCACCATACCAGCCCACTAATGTAAGAATCCACAGTCTTGCCTTTCACCGTCCATTGGGAGAAATAGCCATATATCGGGGCAATGAAAGAAACACAGAAACCAATGATGCACCTGAAAACTGTAAAAAAAAAGAAAGGAATAGTACATGTCAACTGCCCTTGACTCTTCACGACTATAATCGTTCCTTGTCTCGTCCTCGTTCCGAGATTGCTTATCTAACCTTCATCTGTAGAGGTAGGCTTGTAGATGATTGTAGTGACATACTATAGGACAAAACGACGTGTTAGCATAATTCTGGGTATACCTTCTTGACTCCGGGTTCTGGCCCACCTTGTTGTGATATCTAGTCGTTGCCGACACGGCCAATACATTGTTCTTGATACTGCTGGTCGCCAGGTGATTCAGCACAGTATGGTTAGGCATGTTGAGGACGCTATTGTCGTCCTTCATAAGGGTAGCAGCGTTGAGGATCGGCTTGCCCAGGAACCCGGGCAGGCTCGGCGGCGTCGTCAGCTTCTCAATGGCAGACACGGCGTTGCGGTAGGCCGGCGACTCCTCGGGCTGGTCGAAATCGAGCAGGTACTGCGGGATCTCGCTGGTGTAGGCCTCCGCCGGCAAGACGGGCTTGCCCCTGGCCACCTTGGGCTCCTCCTTGGACTGGGCGTCGGCGCGGGACTCGCCCTTGTCCTTTTCGGCGTCGGCAGCCTTGGCCGCTCCGCCTTCCTTGGCCGCCGAGGCGCCCTCGGGGCTGACCTCGATGTAGTTGACCAGATTGTTTCCAAAGTCGACCGTGGTGGGGAGATCGGGCGAGGTCTGCATAATCCCATCGACCAAGAAGCGGATGTGATGAGTTCCCGGCAGAACGTGAACCGTGGCAGCAAACACACCAGGCTGGCCCTCGCTATTAGAGGCATGATTGCGTTAGCAATGACCGGGACTAAGACGAAAAGAAAAGAAAAGAAAAGCTGCGAGGTCAAAGGCACGTGCCGCTAGGCAGCAGATGTAAGGTTGAAAAGACAAGGGCACATTGCAAGGCTCCAGGCAAGACGCGGGTAGCCAGCGCATAACGCATGTCCGAAATCATCATGGCACTTACACAGGGCGCAGCCGTAGCTTGCGGTTCCAGTGGAAAATGGTTCCCGTCACCCAGATCTTTTCACCACCGCCCCTCCACTCAATCCTGGTGGCCACAACCGGCCTGGTCTTGTCGACGCGCAATTCTTCGCCCTCCTCGTCCTCGGCCGTGCCGGCGCTGAGCGCGGAGCTCTTCCTCGTCAAGGCATCCGACGACTCGCCCAGGTCGAGGTCGGCAAAGGTCTCGTCGGGCCCAAGGATAGGCGACCCAGGCGTGTGCACCTCCTCCTCAATGGGAAGCGGCAGGCGAGGCGGGCGCATCATGTACATGTCCGTCAGGCTATTGTTGGAAAAGTACTGGGACTCGAGATAGGGCGGGACGGCGGGGATGTGAGGGCGCGCCACAGAGCCGTCGATGGGCACGGCGACGGGCTTGGAGGGCTCGTCGCGCACAATGGGCCGCGGCTCGGACGGCCTTTCGCTCCCGGCGGCAACGGCGGCGGTGACGGCGGCGGCGGCGTTTGCGACGGAGGAGACGTTGCTGCTGTGCGGCGAGCCGCTGAGGGAGGAGACGGCCGTGGGAGGCAGGTTCTTCGGCTTGGGCACGGAGGCGGCGATGGAGCCCTGGGCCTGGAGCGAGGACGGTTCCGGGGCGGCGGCGGCGCGGGCAGCGTGGACGGGGATGACGTTGCGGGAGCCGTCCCTGCGATGCTGAGGCTGGCGAGGAGAGTCGGCGGCGGCGGCGGCGTCTGACTGCTGCTGCTGCTGCTGATGCTGCTGCTGGGGAGGCGACCCGGGCCCGCCCGCCTTGTTGGACGCCGAATGGTTGTTACCCATGGCTTTGGGACCCGACCAGGGGGGGTGGGCGGCAAGGGACGTGTGGAAGCGAGCGCGAGAAGAGAAGACAACGAGTCCCCCGGGGCAGCAGAGGATGGGCTGCTAGCGGGAGCAGAGGGGGGTTGCAGAGGCGGCCGGTTGGCGGCTGGCCGTTGCACACAGAGGCGCTGGCGAGCAGGGCTGGGGGCACAGCGGGGGAGGCTCGCGTGACGATGCTTGCGAGGCCGTGGTTGGACTGCGGCCCTGCGGAGAGGATCAGACGGGCGGTGGGGGTTGGACTCTCGTCGATGCGTGGTGTGTCTGCGTCTGTCCGAGTGCTGAGCCTTGTGCGCGGGAGAGGTGGTATGTAGTCGCAAGTAGTGGTGGTGGTGGTGGTGGTAGTAGTAGTAGTAGTAGTAGTAGTAGTAGTAGTAGTAGTAGTAGTATGGGGCAAGGTGGTAGTAGTGGAAGCAGTAGTAGTAAGTAGTAAGTAATACAGGTGACAGATGGATGATCTAGATCGGCTCCAAGGATGATAGATAGTACGAGTAGTAGTAAGTAGTAAGGATGCTTGGGGGCCGAGCTTGGTCTTGGTCGACCGGTGACGGTCCCGTGCAGTCGCTTGGCTGTGGCGAGGAACCCCGACAGGCGGCAGGGCGGCTTGCAGACAGACGATGGCAGATGCTGTGAATTACCTATTACCTGACAGAACCCTTGGACTCGGTCGGTCGATGGTCCACGACGCAGCCAAGTCAGTCAATCAGTTCATGCACCCGACAGCAATCCGCCAATTCCACCCAGCTGCTGAACCGATCCGGGCCGCGAGTAGGAATTCTCAAGGCGCCAGAGAGAGAGAGGGGGGGGGCCTTTGGTAGGTTATTTTGCACTGTCAAGGCGTTCTAGCAATCAATCCCAATCAGAGTCCTCGAGCTCGGCTTCCTCTTTTCGGGCGTCTGCAGAACAAGCTGCTCGTGGGGGTTCCCTCCTCTTTTCGGCCTTGTCCCGTCCTCGTCACTTTTCTTTTTTTCCTTTCCCTGGCTGGTCCCTTGAAAATGTCGTGTCGTCTCGTGGCCGCCCGTCTGCAGGACACGATCGCGGGTTGGAGGCAAGCTGGCCAGTAGGATCGAGGCCCGTTCAGAGGGGGGGGTGGTTCGACGAGTGGGGGATTCTGCCCTTCTTATTATGCTGAGGAGCACCCGACTGACGTCTTTTTTCCTCTCTTGGCGCCTTTCTTACAGGGCATTCCAGCGCCCGAGTTAGGGGACGGGCAGCTCTGTCATGTACCGGGCTACTTTTGCCGGAGAGCGACGACGGCGTCAGAACGAGGTCCCTTGTACTTTTTGCAGTGGGAAGCCGCAAGCAGCCCCTGCAACTGGCACATCTGGAAGACAATTGACGGACCTTTTGCAATGACGACACCATGGGCTTGGAAGAGCCGAGTAACGAGCACTTTTTTTGCATCTGCCGGCGCTGTCATGCTGCAGAAGTCAGTGACTGTTTCGTCATGAATAATAATATATGGCGTGCATCTACCTACGCACGCTTGGCTGCATTGATCCCGTTCATTGTGTTTTCTGTTCGGCGTTATCAAGACAGCAGGTGTAGGCAATATTGGGCAAGCTCAGCACAGGAGCTTCGAGCTACCTACGAACCAGCTAGAACATCAAACTGGCTGTGCTAACTCCCGACTCAGGTACTAATAAGCCTCAAAGCTTCCACACTTTGGCATTTCTCTTGCGCCAAAGTAAATCCCTCTTTGAACGCCCAAGGTAACTAGATATGACTTATCAGGCGACGACTTACTGATGAAAATGTACTCTACGGGATAATATGGCCTGACACCAATTGCGTGGTGAACTCCGTATCTGATTTGCGCCACCATCTACATATCGTCTACCAAACAAGCATCACTTCGAGTCAAGCCAACCAACAAACGACTCAAACGCTCCCAGTCAACTCACCAACTTATCAACCAGAATACAGAGCCCACCTTCCATTCTTATTCGCACCCGTATTTCCTCAAAGAAGAGGCGTTGCCTGTAAGACGAGGTCCAAACTCCAGGTTAAGCCCCGCCACACTTCTCCAGCCACACCTCTCTAGGTACCTTACCAGCTCACCACTCACAAGCCCATCATCAAACCCCCTTCCATACCTCACAACCACCCCCCTCATACCAAACAATCCCTCCTCCTCCTCCTCATCCTCCTCTTTGCTCCTCCTTCTACTTTCTCTATCTCCTCGGACATCCCCCCCCAAAAGAGGAAAAGAACCATGGACACGTCCACCGTCATCGACTACCTCCGCCTCATCAGCCACTACATCGCCCTCCTCGGCCGCCTCCTCACGCTGCCCCTCCGCCTGCTCATCTGGACGCCCCTGTCGTACCTCGCGCGCGCCCTGCGCATCGTCTTCTTCCCCGTCTTCTACCTCGTCGCGTATGTGGCCGGCTGGTTCCGCGGGATCGTTGATTTCATAACTGCTCTACAGGTGTGTGTTTTACTCTTTTCCTCAACCATCATCCTTCATGGAATGTCACCGTCGTCACTTGAGAGCTTCATGCTGTTGAAACCACCTTCACATGTTAGAGTGATAATGAAGCTCCTTGCTAACGAAAGCCTCTTATACACTACGATGTAGCCGCTATACACATTCGTACGTCTTTTCCTTCCTCCTCCCCATCCTCCTCCTCCTTCTCATCATTCCTCCCCTCCCCAATCTTCACATCAAAAGAGAACAACAAAACAAGAAAACGACGCTCAACGCTCAATGTAAGTGACCATACAAAATCTAACACCCATCTCCTCACAAAACAACAGCTCGCCACCGCCGCCCTCGTCGGAGCCTTCGCCGGCCTCACCCTCGCCACATCCTCCACAGTCATCACATCCTATCTCGGCATGCAAGGAGATACAAGCCGCAACGGCAACGGCAAGAGCAGCAGCAGCAGCAGGAGCAGCAGTGGTCGTTCTCGCACACCCTCTCAAGGCAAAGATCCTCTGTCGTCCTACTACTCATCGCCCAACACCCTCGTCAAGGACGACTCGTCTTCCAATGAGGGGGAGTGGTACTGGCCAGACCCTTCCCCTTCCAGGCGCCGTCCTGCAACTGGGCTCCTGTCGCAGACAATTCTCGAAGAAGAGGACGATTCTGATGTATGATTTTCCTGTTCTGCTTTCATGGTTTTCACAATAGGCTAGTCGTGCATTCATAAAGCGTTGCCCGGTTGTTGAAGCGCGTTGTTGTTTCCTGCGTCTCGTTGACTTCATAGACTCAATGCTATTATCCTCTGCCTTCTATAATGCTAACCCCTCCCCCACTCACATACTATGGGCAGATGTCAAGCAAGCCGTTCGGGCAATAGCGGGAAATTGAGACTCAGTTGTTGCAAGTCTCCACGCTGTTGTGCCCCCAGTGCCATTCTACTCCCCCTGTCCACCCTGGCGCGGTAATATATAAACAAGTGGAAGAGAAAAAGAAGAATTGTAGAGAAGCTAATTCAATGGGATATCATAAAAAGTGCAAAATGGCTTGAGCAATAGCCGGCCACTCCTGACCATACATATGTAGAGGCATATATATGGTATGTATATCTAATGACGCGAGGTCCTTTTGCGAAATTCACCGTCGGTACATGTCTCGATCTGTGCGATCTCGGTCGCGATTCCTATCGTGGATGGGCGAGCGGCTTCGACTCCTGGTTCGCCGGTCTCTGTCATATCGTCGGCCGCTGTCCTTGCTAGTTGGGCGTCGTCGATCATCACGGGGCCGGTCGTCGTCCCTGCGCCGTCCTCCGGCCTCCTCCCGGCCGTAGCTCGGTATGTACGTGTCAATATCTGGCCCACGGCCCGGCCCGCGGCTGCGAGGCGGTCGATCTCGATCTCGATGGTCAGCGTCGTCCCAGTTTGGCGGGCGGTCCTGGGGAGGCCGCGACGGAGGCCCGCGCTCTCGCCACGCCGGTCGCCTATCGTCGGGGCCTCTGAAGCGGCCTCCGTTGACACCGTTCCGGCCACTCCCGTAGGCGTCGCTGCTGTTGAAGCCGGCGGTTGCTCCGTTTGCATCGGGTCCCAGGCCAACTGTTCCTCCCTTGGGAGCAGGGGGCAGGGCGGCCTTGCGGTCGTGGAACTTTCTCCGGTCAAGCTCGTGACTCTCCTCATAGGTCGGAAGCTGATGGGGCTCCAGTGGTAGGGGCTCCTTCTTGAAGTACGGATGTTGCAATGCATCCACGGCATTGATGCGCGTCTTCCAATCCAGCTTCAGCAGGTCTTTCAGTAAAGAAATCGCCCCAGTACCGTATCTGCAAATGGGGGAGCAGTGTGTGTTAGCTTGAAGTTCGCTAAAGAGGCAGAGCGTGGATGAGGGGCAGCATACTCTCTGAACCGGCTCTGGAGATTGCCCGGTCGTGGTCGAGGATTCAGGTGGTCACCCCCTGGCAGATTCTTCCATCCGGGCATGTTCTCATCGGTGGGCGATCCCATGAGATCCCAGATGAGCTCGAGTTGATGAGCGTCGCTCTCGCCCGCAAGGATGGGCTTGCCAAACAGCATTTCTCCGAAGACGCAGCTTTAGAGTGTCAGCGTCGTGGCTCAATGATACAAGACGGATCTTGCTGCATAAGGTAGGAACAATGCCAAAGGATAAATGGTCTTACCCAACACCCCACACGTCGATGGCGGTGGTATATTGCCTGAGCTGCAGCAGAAGCTCGGGGGGACGATACCACCTTGTTACCACCAACCCAGTATAGTCTCGTCGGCCCTCTCCGACAGGATGCCCGGCCCTAGGCGTTGGCCCATCGTAGTGGCGGGCCAGGCCGAAATCAGCAATTTGGAGGATGCCCTTGTTGTTGATGAGAAGATTGGCGGCCTTCATGTCTCGGTGCAGGACGTGGTTTTCATGCAAGTAGCGCAGGCCCTGAAGAAGCTGGATCATGTAGCACTTGATCTGAGCCTCCTTGAAGTGGACGGACGGATTATCGAGGAGGCCGGAAAGATCGTGATCCATGTATGGCGTCACCATGTACATGATGGGTTTCTTGCGTTTGTCGGCTGCGCGTGACTCGGTCAGCTCTACCGTCTGGGCTAGGCGGCGGGAGGAAGAACAAAGACGCAAACAAAGGCGCAGCATATGAGGATTGAGAAAAAGACACTCACTCTGTCTTGTGGGGTGCTCCACAGCCATGTCTTCCAATCTCAAGATGTTTGGATGTGACAGAAGTTTGAGAAGCTTGATTTCTCGCAGGGCGGTGATGGGAAACTGAATGCAAGTCAGTTAGAGAGCAACGCTGGTTCGTCTCGTGATGCGGCCACCTACGCCGTCCTTTTCGTGATGCATTATAATCTTCTTGAGGGCGACGAGGGCGCCCGTCTTGCGTGATCGAGCGCGATGGACCTCACTGCAGCAGCATCGTTTGCGTTAGCCTCTCCATTGCTGGACATTGCTGAATGTGAAAGACAAAGGGGCCTGCCGTACCCAAAGGTTCCCTCGCCCAGCTTGCCTTGTAGCTCATAGTCGGAGATGCGCGAGCAGCCCTGAAAGCTGGACTTCGGTCTGGCGTGATTCAGGGCAAAGGTTCGCGGCGAGGTGCCGCCGGGAGTCGTTTCTGGTGGCCGGTCCATGACGCGCGCCGGGTGCGTCGAAGCTGTCTTGACGGTCTCAAGTCGCGGGATCAAGCGAGACGGGGGGGAAAGCGTCGACGATGGCTGACGAGGGCGGCAAATGACGAGGCGACTCTGGTTCTGCGTGTTCGAGGCGCGTTTTATGAGAGAGGCGTGGTGTGGTGGGCGCGCATTGTTCTCCTCCCGGGTCTGGCGAAACCCCCCGCAAGAGCGCTGTCGAGGAAGAGGCAGATAGCGAACGAACGATGCTGGCCGAGGACGAGAGCTGAGTAACGGAAATCCGCGATAAAGGGTTTGATAATTGCTCTCGCTGTCTCTGATGGAGATGGCAGCAAGCAGACTGGGAGGAGGGGAGAGGTCGAAGAGAAGCCGAGGAGTCGAGTCGCAATTAGAAGGAGAAAGAAGGAAAAGAAAAAGATGGGTTCGAATCGATCGATGACTTTGAGTCGGCGCTGAGCACACAGTCAAAAGATGGCGTTGCGAGGGTTTGCGCTTATCCCAATCTGATGTGAGAAGAGGGCCGTTGGTGGAGCTGTACCTGGATTGTACATTGGCAGCCGGCATGTGGCTGCGGGACGATGCAGTGCCTGGGCGGTACTGCGTTGACAGCGAGGCCTTGCCAGCGGGAACGGCCTTTGTTTCCGTTTGACTTGCAAGTTCAATGCAAGCAATTCGTATATCGAGACGAACAGCCACGCCATGATTACGCATGGATTGGGAGGAGTAGAGATCTGGGCTGGTGGGTGAATCGAAAGAGGATTGATGATGATGCTTGTCCATCTCAGAAAAAGTGGTGCATCTGCGAATCGATCGTCTTTTGTCTTCCTGGTGCCAACATTGCCATCTGCGGTAGCCAACTTTCTGGTCTGCCGGGTTCTACTATTGTACTAGCAGCAGCTTATGTACTGTGGTAGGTAAAGTGACGTAGGTATGCTGGGCTGGCGTATGTATGGAGGCGGCCTTTGTTCGGAGGACCTGCGGGACAGGCAGCTCCAACAGCTGCTCAGCATGTACATACATACCGTACTGGGTCTTACCTTATGTATGTATGTACCTATGCATCTTGCTGCATCCTTGCCGAAATTCCTGATGCTACCTTACTGTAATATGTTGTGCGATGGCAACTTCATGTTTGTCGCTTACCTCACCTCGCCTTGTCCGAAGAACCATCCCCGATCTCGATTGGGGACAGTAGTATCAACTGCGGAAGACTACCTACCTAGGTAGTAGTAGTACCAATAGCTTAACGGAACGAATACGGAATGGAATGATTACGGAACGGAGCCGAAGCCGCTCCTGCGTGACGAGGCCCGTCTGCGTTAGCAGTAGGAGCAGGTATGTACTACATAGCCCGGAAGTACCTCTACCCGACTTTTACGCTTGGTAGAACGGCATTCATTTCACATGTCATCAATCGTTCGACCTCAGTCCAACCCTGAATAGCTTCACCCATGTCCCCAACATCAAGCACTCTTACACTATCCCATGACAGCCTCTCCGTATGCGCTGGGTTAACACAAACTCGCCATACATACAAAGTACTTGCACCCCAGCCAGCCAGCAGCCCCCAAGCAAAAAAAAGCACTTCTCACACCTCCGATTTCGAGATTCTATTACCCCTTCGTATCCACTCCGTCGCCTCTAATAGACTTTTTTCCACACAGGCTCAAATGGCTGCGCATGGCCATGTCCGCCCTTTTCGACTAAACTCCTAATAAAAGGCTTCTCTCTTTCCCGTCCCTTTTCTCTTTCCTCTCTGTCCGCATGACGAGTTTTCTCGTAATCATTACTCTCCTGAAAACCCTGGTTGGAGACTGTTGAAACGCCCTATATCGTACCTTTTTCGTCTTATCTGGGGTATAAGTACTTCGTTCCACCGTACCTCAACCTCAAGTCGATAAGAACTGGCAGCTCGTTCAAACAACCTCCTTCCTGTGCAACCTCACTACCCTTTTTTTCTCTTATTAATCGAAAACTACAATCACCTCATTGTCTTCTTCATTCATTCATTCATTCCTCCTCTTCTGTCAATCCATTCACTTTTTGCAATTCCATAGCAGAGTTCTGATTTCAACCGCCGCACATGTCGCCTGCAATGACGAACTCGCCTCCCCTCAACGCCGGCCTGCCCGAGTCCCGGGTCCTGATCATCGGCACCGGAGGCACGATATGCATGCAGGAAGGGCCTGACGGCCTTGCGCCCACCGACGGCTTTCTCGAGAGCGCAATGGCGCCCCGAACGACGTTCAATGACTTTTCAGAGCCCAGTGGTGAGTGAGACTGTGTTGGATTATAAGTCAAGGAGACGGATGAGGGTGTGAACTCTCATCTCTCTCATATCGATCCAAGCATACCGACTAGCATGAATAGCATTGCATAGGAATCCAATGGAATATATAAGCTCTCAAAGCTGACCACCTCAACGCAGTCAAACTACAAGCCTGCCGCAGCGGCGAGATGGTCCAGCTCGACAGCCTCAGGACCCCCCCTACCGCCTACAAGCGACACGTCCGCTACTCCGTCCTCGAATTCACCCCCCTGCTCGACTCGAGCAGCATCTCCGCCGCCGACTGGGCCAACATGGCCACGGCCATCAAGGACAACTACCACCTCTTCGACGGCTTCGTCATCCTCCACGGCACCGACTCCCTCGCCTACACGGCCTCGGCCCTGTCCTTTATGCTCGCCAACCTCGGCAAGCCCGTCATCCTCACCGGCTCCCAGGCCCCCATCTTCGCCCTGCAGTCCGACGCCGTCGACAACCTGCTCGGCTCCCTCATCATCGCGGGCACCTTTGTCATCCCCGAGGTCTGCCTCTTCTTCCGCGACACCCTCTACCGCGGCAACCGCACCACAAAGGTCTCCGCCGCCTCCTTCGACGCCTTCGCCAGCCCCAACTGCGAGCCCCTGGCCAAGGTCAACGGCCTCGGCATCAACGTCAACTGGCACCTCGTCCTGCGGCCCACCACCATCGCCGGCTTCCACGTCTTCAAGCACCTCGACACCACCCACGTCGCCTGCCTGCGCGTCTTCCCCGGCATCAAGCCCGAGATGGTCGACGCCGTCCTCCACCTGCCCGACCTCCGCGGCCTCATCCTCGAGACCTTTGGCATGGGCAACGTCCCCGGCGGCGTCGACGGCCGCCTCACAGAGGTCATCCGCTCCGCCGTCGAGCGCGGCATCATCGTCGTCAACGTTAGCCAGTGCGTCAACGGCTTCGTCTCCCCCGTCTACGCCCCGGGCACCCAGCTCGGCCGCATGGGCGTCATCTTCGGCCTCGACCTCACCGCCGAGGCCGCCCTCGCCAAGCTCTCCCACCTTCTCGCCCTTCCGGGCCTCTCCCAAAAGGACATTGCCGACCGCTTCTCCCGCTCCCTGCGCGGCGAGATGACCGAGATCGCCCACCCCAGCTTCTCCCACCCGACGCCCCCCATCGACGCCGCCGCCCGCCTCACCCCCGTCGAGTCCGCCTTCGCCGCCCTCGGCTACGCCATCCAGAACGGCGAGATCGACGTCGTCAAGCAGCTGCTCGAGGGCGAGGGCAGCCAGCTCCTCAAGACGGCCGACTACGCCGGCAACACCGCCGTCCACCTCGCCGCCGTCTCGGGCAACACCGAGATCATGCTCGAGTTGCTCAAGCGCGGCGCCAGCGTCCACGAGCGCAACAGGGCCGACAACTCGCCCCTCTTCCTCGCCACCCTGAGCGGCAAGGATGACTGCGCGCAGCTTCTCAAGACGGCCGGCGCACATCTCTCCGTCGAGGAGATTGAGAGGGGGCCCTTGGCCAAGTATCGCCAAGAGACGGCATAAATCAACGCGATGCGATGGCATACACTGACCCGCGCATGCAATGTGAGATTTAAATACCAGCAGGGATGCTATGTAGACTTGGGTTCGTTAGAATTGGAGTCCTGAAATCGAAGCAAAGGAACAGGGCAATTGAGACAAAAAAAAAAGAGGTCGTCAAGCAAAGGCCTTGAGTCATCGACCCCATCGACCCATACAACCACGAGGCGTTAGCAACAGACTTGAATTATTTGCTTTGATCATAATACAATATTTGGAATACAGACTTTGAAAACAAACATGTAACTATCAGAGCCAATGCGGGGAGACTACTGCAATCCAACATGCTCACTGTATTGATATTGTATCAAAACAAATCTCATCCACTCTTCGCCGGCATATCATGCGTCGCCACATGCATGCTTTGACATCATGAAAAGAAAAGGGGGCCAAAAGAGTACAGGCAGCAAGAATCACCCACTGCCTCATGACAAGGACACAGTCCACCTTGGCGTGATGAATGGGTATAAAGCAAATATACCAAAGACTCCCGGAGCCAGTTACCAAGTCTTTCGACATCGCTGCGTGTTGTATCGCCGACACAATTTCAGCTCGTGTACCGTCGCCTAACGAAGGAAAAGATCCCCAACGCCGTTTCTCAGCGATCTTGTTCTATCTGGATGGTCGAAACCGAGATAGTCGTCTTCAGATGAGGCTATGTTCCATAACTCGTCGTCTACACCGAAGTGGTCCGTGGTTAGTGCAAAGGCATGCTTACGGGGCGTATAAGCGTGGACTAACCATCATTGAGATATTGTGGTTTCGAGTAGTTTGCCCTCCTTGCAATGGCAAACTTGATCTTTTCAAAGCTCTTGCCCTTAATACCTGTCCTCTTCTCGAGCCTCTTCTTTGTGTCGGCAAATTTCTCGCCCTTGTGATTGCGTTAGTGAACATGTACACAGGGCGTGACAACTGATGCCTTGCAATCACTCACCTCCAGGAGAAGGAATTTGAACGGAACCCCGTGAACTCTGTTGACTTCATTCTGGAAGTGGAAGACGTGGATGAAGTTGTTCTCATCGGCCGCCTTCTCCTCTTCTGGAATTCGTTCGGCAAAGATCTGGGTATACTCGTTGAGGTTCATGACAGGCTGATCGCGAGCTGGCTCCCGATAAAATCTGTTAGAACTCGTTTCGTACACCCGTATCCGTCCGCCTTCAGCCTCATCCGGAATCTTGGCCTTCTTGACCAATGCTTGTATCAAGTCCTCAATGGTTCCAGTCTTCGATACCAGCAGGTCAAATTGTTCCTAGAGCGCATCAAAGGTTAGCTTGACTGATGTCTGTCTTCAAGAGCCAGTTACTGTCTCTCACGTACCTCCTTTGTGATGCCCTCGCTCAACCATGTGACCTTGATGTTCTTCTTGGTATCAAGTTCAGCCAAGCTCATCTCCAGCACCTCAAAGTAGAAGGCGTCGTTGCGCTGCGTCGCGTTCAGCGTATTTGAGCCCATGGGACTCAAAATCTGTCGCAGTGTGGGATTTGTGCCCCGTCTTACGGGGGTCTTAGGGTTACTCGTGGTTGCATTGACCGTCCATAGCCGGATATGTGTTGAGGGGGCTTGAAGATGAGCTCCGACGCGCTCAACCAAGACGTCGTAGGTGATCTTTGTGTTGAGGACAAGCTCGAATGGGGGGTATTGCGTGGGGTCGGATCTGGTAGGGTGAGCGTGAAACTTGATGGTTCGCTTATGTTCCAGGAAGTCGTAGTATTCACGAGCATCCTCGACACGGTCCGACCATTTGTTGCTGGAGTCAATGTTAGTCACCATTGAACAAAGTGTTACCTGCACGCATGAATAGCTAGATTAACTTACGCTTCTTGAGACGCCTTGTCCGAAACACGCCCATTCTCCGCCTTCTTGTCAGATGTGCGTTGAAAGCAAATGATGTCACCATCTTGAAGCTCGGCAGCCTTGAGAGTCTGCTTTCCCTTCAGAGGCTCAATCATGGTTGGTTTAATTTCCTAAAACGAGGATTGTGTTAGCTCTTTCTGAACCAAGGCGCGGCGAGTCTCGAGTCTTTCCGTACCTCCCACATCAGCAATTTCTCATCGGAAGAGAGCTTATCGCCCCAGCCCATCTTCTGGAGGATCATGGGAACAAGATCGTCAACCTTCTTCTCCTTGCTAATGTAAATATGGCCCACGCCTTCCAAAGTCTGCTTTTCCACATCGAAATGCTTCAATAGCAGGAGAATAGTGTCGTTCTTTACGACGACGCCATTTGGCTGGCTTTGATATGAAGGCCAGACCGCTTCGCCGTTTTCATTAACCTCGTTGGCGACCTCTGCCCAAACGCGCAAGCTTGTGTCTCTGTGCGCAGCGGAACGAGAGAAGATCTCTTCGACAGTGGGCCTGAGGTCCATGATTGGTTGATCTGGTCGAATGGTCTTGTTTTGGCGATTCACCATCAGCCATAACCTGACGCGAGAAGGATCTTGGCCCATGTCGGAAGCAACCTGGGCTACAAACTCTTGCATGGGCGTGGCTCGACGAATGCGGTACAGCTTGGGGGCGGCGGGATCAACTTCGGGGTTGGCGTCAAAGACACAAAGGTCGGTGCCTCCATACTTGGCAAACGTTTCGTTGGTGATCACCTTGGCCATCATGTATAGATGCGCTTCCTTTTGTTCGCGCCGACGAGCCTCTCTTTGAGCATTTTCCTCTTCGAAACGCTCCCCTAAAAGAATGTCTTCTGTCAGCTGCGTTGGGAATGTTTAAGAGAAAGGGAGTACCGCTACTTACGGAGGAGTGCTGGTGTGTCTTCTTTGGTGACAGGGCAAAGGACTTTGTCAAGGCGAGATTGACGAATGTACACCAGCATGTAAGCACTGTTCTGGCGCATAATGGGTGCCTTCTTTTGAAGAGGCGCCCTGGGGTAGCCGTGAGGAGGTCGATATTCTCCGCCAAAATTCTCTTCCAAAACCTCCCTGAGAGTGGCCTTTGTAACCTTGTCGTCATCGTACTTGTAAAACCAGCCGTCCTTTGTTGGTTTGATAAACGCATAGTAGTGTCCGGCGTTGAGGTCGCCACTGTGGACAAGGACTCCGTGAAGCTGGTAAATCCAAGGCTCTGAGCGGTCGGCCTCTTCCATAAGGTAAGGGGAGGCGTCAAAGACTTCGGGAAATTCGTAGCGGTCATTGATCTTCATCATCATGTCTCTCTGGATGTCATACTCGAAACGCTTGAGCTGGAGGTTCAAGACGTCGGGAAAACTGCAGAAAATAACGCCCTTGTTGGCGTCTTGCAGCTTGTACTCGTCGCCAGCGAAGTACTGGTTTTCCCCGTCCATCTTCTCGACTTGGATATAGTCTTGGAAACTTTCCAAAAGGTTCTTGTTGCCGCTGACATTGAGCTGAATGTCCCAGAAATCCTCAATGCGCTTTGACTCATAGGGCACATTGATGCAAGAAATGTAAGTCTTGATCTTGCCACTGAAGAGCTCTGGAAGCACGTTTTCAGCCTTTGTGCCCTTCATTTTCTCCTCCATACGTTCCATGAGCTTTCGTGACAGCTCCTGCACGTCTTGCTGCTCGAAGATGTGTCTCGTCTCCCAACCAAAGGATTTTGTCAGCTCATTCGTGCCAACAGCCTGCTCGGACGTCTGCAGCTGGTAGAAAAGGCGCTGTAGAGCGTAGGCAGAGTTTTGCATAGTGTCATCATTCTCGGTTGGAATCTCGTAGATGGCCTAGGTGGGGTCAGTGACCAAGGTCCAATAGAGGTCAACACAGTTGCAGGTAGGGGACTACTGACTTTTCTGAACGCGTTTGTGAAATATAGCGACTGGAGAAGTGAGTTGAGGTAGCACGTGGCACCTTGGTTCTTGAGACCAACATAGCCCGTTTCCTTCTTGGAGTCGTAGTTGGTGAAATTGTGCCAGAGCACACCAGTCTCGTCCTCGACAAAACGGACATAGGCGGTTATGTTGGCGGTGTCGTTCTCGACCAGCGGGCGACTGTCTCCTTCCCAAGGAACGTTGAACATCCTCCTGATCTCGACGAAGCGGGTAAAGCCCCAATCGCCTTCTTCCTTGGTGAAGCGGTGGTGCGCGGCATGGTTGACGTATAAGCTCGGGTCATTAGGGTTCCAAAGTACCAAGCCAAACTGCACGCAGCAGCTCCAATTCTCGGGAATCTGATCAGGCTCGAATCCGTGCTCCAAGTAAATGGAGCACTGATCGGTATTGTTTCCGTGAGGGAACAGGAGGATGCGCCTGCACGTAATGATCGCGTTAGCTCGAGAGCGTAGATGAAGGCATGGAACCATCAACCGCGAGAAACCAACCATGGGTAGCCACCAGCGTGGAATATGGGGCCATGTTCTCGTTTGCCAAGGCTTCGCCAGTTCTCAACCGTCCATGTATGCTGATAGTCTTCGAGGATCTTGGGTTCGTCGAGCAACGGTGGGAGAACAACCTCCCTCATGGCGTCGTCTGCAACATGCCAGGAGTCAAATCAGCGGGATCGATCTTGCTTAGAGGATTTGCCATCTATCATTCGGCGGGCGGGGGTTACGCACAATCGTTAGCCAGAGGCAGATCTTGTAGCTGATCCGCCTCCTGCTCGGGGCCGCCCTCTGGACTGATCATGGTCACGGATTCTTTATCGGGGGCGTTGGGGACGCCGACGTAGTCGTCCGTGTCGACCACCATCTCGTTGGGGGAAGGAACGTTGTAGCTCTGCGTGCGGGTGACATTAGCTCGGGGTCGATACGGCAGCCCAGGCTGGTGGGCTTCGTCCTCTGACTGCATGATGATGGTAGACGAAGTCAACCGAGGTGGAGTGGAAGTGAGGGGCCCAAGGAAAACAGAAGGGCGAGATCGTCGAGCATGGACGTAGCCGGATGCTGACGACGACGCCTCGGAGCGATCGGAGAGCGTGGAGATGTCGACGAGCTGCGGCCCTTGACAGGTTGCGACCTGATGCCCACGCAGCGACGGCAATGAAAGAGGACGTTGCTGCTCAA